ACAGCCATTTACACTAGTATTTAGTAACTTTTAGCATAGCTAAAAAGTGTTTTACAATAGTCTACTGTACTGCGTAATGCTTGATTACTAGGCCTTACAAAAGTCCAATATACCACTTATAAAATATATTTTAAAATATTATAGTCAGTATCTTAAATATTGCCTTAAAATATCAGTATAAACATTGATACTGACAAGTATTATATATGATTTTAAAAAGTTTATCCAAAAAGCCATCTATTGAAAGTACTTCTCTAACGTTCCAGATGAGGCGGTGCCCTTTCGCACATCCATCCTGGTCATCACCATCGCCCAATATATTTTTATTTTGTATGACTTGACTTCTGATTCATGAATAAAGATTGTGAATATACTTGCAAAACTGGCTTTTTTGATGGCATCCACTATCACTGCAATAAATACTGCTTATTGTTTATAGACATTCATTATGAGCTATCGGGGGCACTGCAGGACCTGGCATTCAGCCCTGTTTATCATAAATTTTTGTGGCAGCACACTAGTAAGTCCGTTCTTCCTGCACCAAAGCTATCGGTTTCAAATACAAGTTTTCGCAGATTCCTTTGAGGCCTCTAGTGGCCAGTACTAGGTGCTGATAGGGGGCTGTAAATATATTTGTTCTGGTTTGGCTCTCTGTCCTCGTGTGGTGTACATTAGTTATAGCGAGCCTCTCGTGTCATTGAAAGTGTACAATGTATCCACATGATGAATGTTATTTGTGATGCAGTACAATGTGAACAGTTTGTAACAACTAGACTGATGCCAGGTGGCAGAACAGTCATGAAAGCCTGGATTTGTAAGTGGCATTCGCTGGTGTCTGAGCAAGGCTAAAGACCTCTAAAACTCCGAGGCCATACTTTCTCCACTTTCACCTCATGTGTTTCCTCAGTTCCACAATCTAACAGTCACAATGTCAGTTATGAATTAGTTCTCTCTGCAGCAAGTGCTTGGAGAGTAACATATACTACTCCATATTGCACCCACTGTCCCATCATATGATATGGTACAAATGGTTTACTGATGGCACTGCACATATCGTTAAACCACAGTTGTCTGTGAATTAATATTTATAAGAAGCTTCTCAGAGAGAGCAGATGATGTAGAGTGCCATCTGGCCTATATTCGCAGGGTGCGGGACCAGCAGAGCCACTTGAAGAGTGTCATGGAGGATGCTGTTCAGTGCAGTCTCATACAACTACATCTGTATCAGGTGGAGTTGAAGAGAGTGCGAAGACTACACATTATTAGATGGCATACTAGGAGTTAGTAGAGAATATAATAACAATTTCTTATATACAATTTAATATCTTGTTATAGGCACATTTGTAACAGTTTCTAGGGTTATTTTTTGTAGTGATTCTTATCGGCACATATGTAACAGTTTCTAGCATCATTTTTTGTAGTGGTTGTTATCACTTCAGGGTACCCTTCTGACCTAGCTCTTAGCTTTAACATGATCTATATTGTGTAGTAGCTAAGAGCCTCCCAGATGTCAGACAGACTATGGTACTAATACATGTCCCAGGGCATTATATGGAATTACCCAGGGCAAAGGCAGGGCATAGGCTGGTCCAATGGCACAATTATCATATGGGATATCCTATAGTACTAGAGTATTGATATTTATATCTCAGTATTACTGGTTGTCTCATGGTGTCAGGGGTACATAAGGATGTCCCACTATTAGTAAAAGATGTATTTTCAGGCTATTGTATGGTATTTTTAATACTTTGTTCTACACTCATATTGTATAAGCTCTAATTATAAAAACAGTGACTAGAATACTGTAAATAAGTGCCTTATTTGCACTTTATATATTGTAAAATATTTATAGAAAGCAGGATATCCCATATCAAGTATTGCGTAGGCATTTGTAATGTTATAAAGACTATATTACTATTGGTAGCATGTACAACAACTTTATTAGCTCATATAACAACTAAGACAGGTCAAACAACAATGTTTATTCTTGTGTTTTAAAATCAATTTTACATTTTCTGACATAATGTTTAAACTAACATGATATAATCTTTGGCATATAGTATGTATCATAGCTATACTAAAACTTTCACTAAGTGTCTTAAGAAATAGAACAACTCAGTCTACTAATATACTAGCAAAGGAGATATATTCTTGTCATGTCTCCTATCATATACTGTATTTGAATGAAAAAAGAAAGGCATTTGACCTAAGACTTCAGTCAAGTTACACTCAGAAATGCATTCACTGAATGACACCTTTGTATTATGGGATGTCTCTTTATGTGATAGGATATCCCATGTAAGGACCTGTCACTCTTAAACCTTAGTAATTCAACTGTTAGTATAAATCTCTAGATAATTATAGTAGTTTAATAGAAACTTTAGGCTAAAGAAGAGACTAAATATCTGTGAATCTTAAAATCACATCTTAGGATGTCCTTAAAATGAGAGATCCCACCTTATATAATATGCAAATAAAGCTTGTTTATATCACTATAGTCATTGTTTTTATAATTAAGGCTTAGATAATATGAGAGTGAAATAAAGTATAAAAACTACACATACAATAGCCGGAAAATACATCTTTTACTAATAGTTGGACATCTCTATGTACTCCTAGCACCATGGGACAACCAGTAATAGTGAGACATCTCTATGTACCCCTGGCACCATGGGACAACCAGTAATACTGGCATATAAATATCAATGCTCTAGTACTATAGGACATCCTATATGATAATTGTGCCATTGGACCTGCCTTTACCCTGCCTTTGCCCTGCCTTTGCCCTGGGTAATCCCATATAATGCCCTGGGACATGTATTGGTACCATGGTCTGTCTGACACCTGAGAGGCTCTTAGCTACTACACAATATAGATTATGTTGAAGCTAAGAGCTAACTTGGGAGGGTACCTTGAAGTGTCAGCAGGGCACAGAGGTGGGGTATGCACTGAAAGGCACCTCATACAGGGTATTTGCGCAGTTGGGCAGAGATGACGTTGGTGTGGGAGCCAGCACTACAGCTGAGGCCAGACAGAGATGCTTAGTCACAGCCCAAGAAGTCCAGCAGAGAAAACACTGCATAAGGAAGGCACTTAAGCTTAAAAATGTGCAATAGGTGGTAGAACAGAATAAGGACTATGCTGGAACATAAGGTGTGACCAGGACGAATGAGAAGTTGGAGGCATAGAGTCAAAGAGAGAAGTGGACTTTGACGACATCAGACCATGCCGAAAAAAGATGTGATGTTTTAGTAGTTCTCACAGTTGACACCACCAGGCAGATTTTGGCGAAAATCTCAGTAAAGTCTTCGTGAAGGGCAAAGCTCAGCAGAAGTGTGAATGGAGAATATCAGGCTGAGAGCAGCAAGGTATCCGGAAGATATCCCGCTTGTAATGTTCCAAAAATGTCCATATGATGCTAATCTGATCTTTTTGTAAACTGTCTTCTAATCTCAGAAATAGACTATCTACCTGAGCTTTGGCCCAAACAGCAGTGTACCTATGTTTTGTAGGATCAGAAGGTGTACACTTCACTACACCCTCTTAAGAGCTTGCAGTTGCAGCTTGCATAGTGCTACTGCCAAAAACTCTGAAGAAAAAAATTAAGAATTGAGTGAGAATTGAGTAAGAAAAAGCTGAACACCAGTAGTGTCTCAAGGACCAGTAAATAACTGTACCCCTCTTCAGACCTGTCATACTTCATTGCTGATGTACACATGAGTATTATATGTGTGCAGAACACATATACACCAAAATCTTTAGCAACATCAGGGAATTGGGATTCCTCCGTATGGAGGATAAATCTCCTCAGCTCCATTCAGAGCTGGATTGAGATTGTACCTCTGCATGGAGATGCCAGCTACAGACAGAGAGTGCTAAATGCCCCAAGCAAGCAGATGTATATAGACAGCATTGATATCTCTTTGTACATGCTTTTTCCTGATGCTTGCGAGTATGTCCCATAAGCCACATGCTGTCTCCATCCAGCTCCATGCAGAGACGCGATCTCTATCCAGCACGGCACAGAAATGGCCTGCTCCATATGATGGGGGGGGTTTTCATTACTCTGGGGCTCTGTTTGTGTAAGCCCGACCTTTCATACTTACCACAGAATGTGGTCACCTGCCTCACCACGGTCAATTGTTCACCATGTGACTAATGTGTTGCTTCCATTCTTCTTTTCCCCATCACTACTGTAGTGAAACAACCTTAGGTTCAGTCACACATCACAGGCCTCGTGAACTGAACTCGCTTAAGGGTTTGTAGCGCGTCATAGGTGTCTGTGAACTGGAAGCAAAAGAGAATGTCACCAGTGCTCACAGCATCAGGCATGGTGGACCATCGGCAGGCGCCTGCAGTGCATCTGAACTGAGCTTGAGTCACAGGTCACTCCTACACTGTGAACTGTGAACTGGGAAAGAAAACAGGTCACAGGTTACAGGCCGTGAACCTAAGGTCATTTCATTACAGTATTTGCTCCTCTATTTACATTCATTTGTCACTATTTGCTTTTACTCACTATACGTTCATTTATTCCCCTCCGTTGTGCCTTGCTCGCTTACCATACGTGCAATGCAGGTATGTTCTATAGTATCATGTATCATACCTTACCTGCTTACCATACGCGCAATGCAGCTGGTTTCCATTCTGTTGCCATCTGACAGGATCAAGTGTTCCCGACACCAGTCGGGTTCCACTTTTTTTTGAACATCGAACCAACCCTGCCGCGTGACTGGCATTTGTCTGTCGCAACTATCGGTCACCATTTCGTACAGTCGCCAACCACCTTCTATCGTGTTTCCCCTGAGGATGTGAGGTTAGGCTATCCAAGAAGCTGCTAGTTTGTCGACTGCCATCGACGACTCAGCTGCTCTCTCCTCTCCAATCTGTTCATCCCCTTTGGGAATTTCTGAAGCATCATCCCATTCGGAATCCTTCATTGTTGTATTGCCTGAAACCATTAAACCGTCTTCGATTCTGAGCACATACAGTCACCCATCATGGTGAACAAACTCGCTATCATTGATTTCCTGAAGGAAAGTCAACTGCCAAAACTTCTTCTAGGTGATCTGACTCCCTCCATCATCGACACCTGGCAGACCACCTGCGAACACCATTTTCAGAAGGCCAACCTTGCAGAGGAACTCCAGGTCTTGACCATTGCCTCTCGCATGGATGATCCCCACCTTTCTGTCTGATACGATGCCAACCAGGCCCGTCTTAATGCCTTCACCTTCAAAGACTTCCTTCTCAAAGTCCACGTGACTTACCTTCCCCGTGACTGGGATAGCAATATCTGTGATGAGGTCATGGGCTCCAAACAAGGAGACTGTCCTTTCTGAGACTGGGCCAACAAGGTACAGGCTAAAGCGGTGATCATTTCTCGCACTCTTCTTGCTCTCGACAAAGTCGAATTGCATATCCAGCTCCACACTGGAGTAAACTCTCACCTCAAATGCAAGTTGAACTCCTCTCACCATGCTAAGGAACTCAAGGATATCTTACTGTTCTCGCAGTGGCTCCTTGCTGTCAAACAGATTGACGAAGACCTCCATGAAGAAGACGATCACGTCGCATCTGCTGTCACTAAAGAATGTGTGAAGTACAATGCCTGTTCCACCAATGCCAAGTGTCAAGCGGACACTAATGCTGATGGTCAGTCTAAACATCTGAAGGCCCTCACTAACGACGAGCACCGTGTACTCCTGAAATACAATGGCTGTTTCAAATGTTGTCTCCCCAAGCAGGACCATCAGAGCTCTGACTGCACTAATAGTTACCCCGATCCTGAAATGTATATCCCAATCTCTGAGGACAATATCCAGGATCAGATCAAGGCTGTCCTTGCCGAGAAGGCCACCAAGGCAAAACTCTCTGCAACCATTCTTGTTGGCGATGAACATGCTGATGAGCCTGCCTACATCACCGCAGTCTTCCCCCAGTCCACATCACTTGGCAATGGGACTGACTCCGATTTGGATGAGTACATTCCTGTATTCTCTTCACCCAATCTCTATTGGTCTTGTCTTATCGACAGACCACATCTCAAGTTCTCTCTGCCCATTAAAACACTCATTGACGACAGGTCTCATGCAGTTCTCATTGACGAATCCCTTGTATGCCAACTTGGTCTTCATCAGCAACCATTACACAAGCCCATCTCATCTAACATCGCCTTCCAAAAGGATGGAGATTCATCAGCAGAGCTTTCTCTTTCTTCACACTGGGTCAAACTTAAACTCCATTCCATCGATCAGTCCTTCCACTCCCTTGTTGTCCCCGCTCTTGTCATGCCAAACTTGTCTGTACCTGTAATACTAGGTCTACCATTTCTTCAATGCAACAAGATTGTTGTTGACTCTTCCAAACGAACTGCAGTACACAAATCGTCCAGCTACAATCTTCTTGCTTCCAGCGGATCCCCCACATGTCCATCTATTCCAATTCACAAATTGTCCACACCTCAACAGAGATCGCATGTGGTGGCAGCCACGATGACAATGATCGATGAATTGCGACAACGCTTACTTTCACATAAGGCTGATGTGGACCATTGCTGTGAGACACCCTTACAGCCGCATTCGCTCCCCTTCATCCGCACTGCAATTGAGAAGCTCGCTAATGAACAATGCTTGCTTGACCTCGACGCATCATTCAAACACCAGTTTTCAGACCGTTTTCCTGAGGACACCCCACCACTCACTGACCTTCCTACCGACGTGTATCATCGTTTCCTCTTCAAGGATCCACATAAGGTCATTTTCTCCCATTTCTATGGCTGTTCCAAGAAGTATCATGAGGCCTGGCAAACCTTACTCACACAACACTTAGATGCAGGATGGATGTGCCCCTCCTCTAGAGAGTACGCCGCACCTGCCTTCATTATTCCAAAATCAGATCCCACTGCTCTTCCCCAGTGGGTGAATGATTATCGGAAATTGAATGAAAACACTATCTCTGATCATTTTCCCCTCCCCCTCATCAACGATATACTATTCGACTGCGCGAAAGAGAACATCTGGGGTAAGATCGACATGACAAATGCCTTCTACCAGACATGCATACATCCCAATGATGTAAAGTACACTGCTGTTCACATATCATTCGGGTTGTATGAGTGGCTCATTATGTCGCAAGGCTGTCGAAATGCCCCATCTACACATCAATGCAGGATGACAGCAGCACTACGTCAACACATTGGCAAAATTTGTCATGTCTACCTCAACAATATCATCATTTGGTCGCAGAACACCGAGGAACATGAGCATAATGTCACCACCATTCTCAATGCCCTCCGAGATGCTCACCTCTTCTGTTCCATCAAAAAGACATCTCTTTTTTGCACAGAAATTGACTTCCTCGAACATCACATCTCGGCCCGAGGAATTGAAGCTAATGTGTCTAAGGTCAAACAAATATTGAACTGGCCAGTTCCTTGTTCTGCCAAGGATGTTCATTTCTTCCTCGGCCTTGTTCATTATATCTCTGTGTTTTTGCCCCAACTCACTGCCCACACCTCCATACTCACACCACTCACTATGAAGTCTGCTGAGAAACTCTTCCCTGCCTGGGAACAGAGGCACCAACTCGCATTTGAAGCTATGAAGGAACTTGTTCTTAGCCATGAATGTCTCACCACCATAGATCACAACAATCTCAGTCAGAACAAGATCTTCCTGACTACTGATGCCAGTGAATGGGGGACTGGTGCTGTGCTCTCTGTTGGACCCTCTTGGATGCTCTCTCACCCTGTTGCCTTTGATTCCATGCAAATCTCTGGTGCGGCATCATGATACCCCACCCATGAGAAGGAAATGCTCGCCATTATGCACACATTAAAGAAGTGGAGAACTGACCTTCTTGAAACCCCCTTCATCATTTACACAGACCACAGGACAGTAGAGAACTTCTCCACACAATGTGACCTCAGCTGCCGTCAAGCACGCTGGCAGGAATTCTTGGCAGACTATGATTTTTTAATCTGTTACATTCCAGGTGAGGATAACACAGTCGCTGATGCACTCTCCCATCTCCCACCACAGACAGATGAGCAGATTACACGCACAGAACTCAGACTTCTGGCAGTGACCTTTCGCATCTCCACAGAACTCGCATTGCTCTCGCAAATTGTGCAAGGCTACACCAATGACACCTTTTGCCAGAAACTTCTGCACAATGTCAAATCTACTCCTGAAGTGCACTCTCGGAATGGCCTTCTGTACTTGGGAGACAGACTGCTCATTCCCAAGGTCAATTCACTCTGTGAGTCCCTCTTTCAACTGGCACACGACTTACTCGGTCACTTTGGGGTGGAGAAGTCATACGCCACTCTATGTGATGCATATTACTGGCCAAATATGTGCCGCGACCTCGAAGAGGCCTATGTACCCTCTTTTTCTGACTACCAACAAAACAAGAGATGCTCACACAAACCTGCAGGTCCACTACATCCCCTGCCTGTCCCCGATGACCACTGTGACTCTATCACCATCAATTTCATCGGATCGCTACCAGAAGATGATGGTTTTAATGCTCTCGCAACCATCATTGATCACCTTGGCTCCGATGTGTGGATAATTCCCTTGCGAACCGACGCCTCTGTCCCCATCTTTGCCGCCCTCTTCTTTGACTCTTAGTACTGTGAGAATGGCCTACCTACAGAGATCATCTCCGACCGAGACTCCACATTCTTGTCCGACTTCTGGCGGTCTCTATGTAAACTGACCGAGGTCAAACACAAGATGTCAATGGTGTATCATCCACAGACCAATGGTCTTTCTGAGCATATGAAAACCGTCATTCAATGTCTTCATTACCACATGCAATGTAACCAAAAGGGTTGGGTGAAAGTGCTCCCATATGTACGTTTCTGCATCATGAACTCCATGAACTCCTCCACGGGAATTTCCCCCTTCCAACTCCAGATGAGACGCTCCCCTCATATTATTCCCCCACTGTTTAACAGTGATGTCAAGACACTCTCACCGAAAATTCCCATCTCTGAAGTGGAACTTGCCGCAAAGGTCTTAACATTTATTGAACTTAACGTCCTCACGGCCCAAGATAACCTTTTTGCAGCGAAACTGTTCCAAGCAGACACTGTGAACCTTCATCGACAATCTGATTCTCACTTCAACATCGATGACAATGTTCTATTATCCACACTTTACTGCCAATGTGATTACATGCAATGTGGCGACACTCATATTGCAAAGTTCATGCCCCACTTCAATGGACTGTACCGCATACTGGAAGCACATCCTGATACCTCCCACTACACCCTCCAACTCCCCAAGTCAATGAATATATTTTCCACCTTCCATTCCTCTCAACTTGAATGCTACCGCCCTAACAACCACACCCTCTTCCCTCTTTGTGAGCCTGACCATCCTGGACCAATCCTCACAGAAGCTGGCTGCAAGGAATGAGAAGTGGAATGAATTCTAGATCAATGTCAATGAGGTCGCGGATGGCAATACCTTATATGCTGAAAAGGGTGGGACTCGGAAGCCGATCAATGGCTACCCCATCGAGAACTTGAGGATTTCGTCGCATTGTACACTTGGAAATCTAGGTGATTGCACCTTCTTTTTCACGGTGGGGAGGGGTGTAAGCCCGACCTTTTGTACTTACCACAGAACGCTGTCACCTGCCTCACCATGGTCACTTGTTCACCATGTGACTAATGTGTCACTTCCATTCTTCTTTTTCCCATCACTATTTGCTCCTCTATTTACATTCATTTGTCACTATTTGCTTTTGCCCACTATACGTTCGTTTATCCCCCTCCATTGTGCCTTACCCGCTTACCATATGCACAATGCAGGTATGTTCTATAGTATCATATATCGTACCTTACCCACTTACCATATGCACAACGCAGCTGGTTTCCATTCTGTTGCCATCTGACAGGATCAAGTGTTCCCAACACCAGTCGGGTTCCAGTTTGCTACCATGTGGAGCCTATAGAGCTATCCCGAGTTCCTGATGAACAGCATGAATTCTGTAATATACAGACTAAGACAAATCACATACAATCCAGATCTTCCTCAACCACAAATGCATATTCCTGCCCTGCCTACCATACTATTGGGAAGCCTTTATCACTTTCCGGTGTCCTCCAGCTCATTCAACAACCATGAACTCTGTTCTCAGGGGAAGCTGTGAAGAACAGCAAACAGATAATATGGGAAAAGGACATAATCCTCAGTACCATGCCTTGCATGCTGACACATCAGGAAAAAAGACTTTTACTTATGGGACTTAGTCCGAATTTTTGTCCTTTTTTGCCTTATTTAAGGCCCATAAGTTCTCAAAAGTCGACTTTTAAGCCTCTAAGAAAATATGACTTATGGACTTTTTGTCCTTTTTTACCTTATTTAAGGCTTATAAGTGCATTTAAGTCACATAAGGACACCTTTAAGTAAAAGTTGGGTTTTCCTGATGCATTAAGAGTCCAAATATGCAAGAATGGAGAAACAATCCAGCTTGAGGAGATATTTGCATTCGAAAATGAAGGTCGTCGAGGCAGAACTTTGTGTATATTTGGCCACGCGACATATTTTTTGGAAATTCTTGCTCGGAGAGCAAGCTCTCCCGATCCAGCCTCGTCTGTCCACCCAGGGAGGATTAGTGCCCAATTGGGTACTGGAGCGGAGGATTGGTCACGAACCGTGCCGAGCAGCGGGTGCCACTGCAAAGCCTCTCCCAACCACTACCTCTTGGCCTTAGGGGCGACCTACAAGGAGCCCACGGTGCGCGAGGTGATTTCAGACCGGCCCTAAAGAGGCGGCTGTGCACTCGGCTCGTGCGTATTCCAGTAGGAAAGAAGAGAGAGCCGCCTTTCTTCTCAACTAGTATGTGCAGGGTAGGGCCAGCCGTTAAGGCCCCTGATGAGGCCCCTTGGCAAGGGCCGAAACCCTGGTCTCCCTGTACTCATTTTTCCTCGCCACGCGCAGAAAGACCAGAGCCCTATCCTCGGAGACAGGCTCTGGATCTTTCATCGGGTTTTGACGCTTGGCTGGACGTGGTGGCCAGGATCGTTCCTCACCTGGCAACATCACTAACCCAAAAGTGAAAGTGTCCTTTTTACACAGTTGTTGTGCGTTATTTGTTTTGTGGCAATTCTGTCCGCTCCCGTCTCCGAGCAAGTTCCGCCGCCGCCTGGCGGCCTTTCGAGTAGCAATAGCCGCCGAAACGTGACAGGGAAGGAGGGTCACGTTCCCAAACACTTTTCGCAGCCGCGCTCCGTCCGTGGACGCTGTTACGCCTGTCTGCCATCCGTTCGACTTTCAGATACGGTCCACATAACTAAGAAGCATCCTTTACCGGTTGTTTTGAAATATTCAGTCATGAATGGTCACATCGGACCAGGTCCCAGCAACGGCGTGGTGGTAGACATGAGGCCGGACGAACCGTACGCAGACCACCCGGGCCCGTCTACCAGTGCTGCGCCGGCCGTGAATGGGTTTGCAGAGTGAGTCTCGTGTTTTCTTGATTTGGCTTTGCGGAGGATCGTGTTCGCTTCGTGAGTGGAAAGCATGGATATGCTGCTCGTCTTCCTTGTCGCAATCTGCCTGTCTGTTCTCTCTGTGCGTGGTGTGAAGTCTCGTGCTACAGGGCTGGTATGAATCTAGTCGTTGTATTGGTGAGTTCCAGCACAACGCAAAGATTCAAGAAACAGCAATAATGGACCTGTGTTCATCCGTTTACCTCTTTTCTCGTGCGAGGATTTCATGCCGAGCCTTTATACACCGAGCACTACGATCTGACGCATCCTGTCTTCTCGCTTGCCCCTGGCAGGCCACTGTCACCTTACCAGTTGCATCATGAAGATATTGTAAACCACCTTTACCATGCTGGTTTCCAGACTGGTGTGCGTCATCATCAACTCCATGCGTCCAGAGCATCAAACTGACTTCGTACTCTTACACTAGAACTATGCGGACACCATTTTGGTAGGCATTTATGTCTTTTTTCCTCTTTGTCTACTCACCGCCCGACTTGTATACTCAGCATTTCCATCAAAACGCCTATCGGCTACATGCCATTATACTATCCCGTTCGCCATTCCTTGCACATATGATGTCGACATCCCCTCAAACTTCGGGGCAGCGTGTAGTTGTAGTGCGTTTTGAAAACGAGCCAGAGATCACCGATGAGGTTCGCACCTTGATCTAGATAATGCGCGTGTAATTTTATCTCACTTTGCACATATATCAGGGCTTCGCTATAGGTATAATCTACCGATGTCCGTATGCCCCATGGCTCAATGCTGACGTCAATGTGATATCCAGCCTTGGGTTATCTCTACTCTTCCCACTCACTAAGCATGATCAACCCGGGAAACGCACGGGCCGTCCTAGCGGCTGGCTGTCTCTTAGGCGGAATGGATGAGCTTTGCAACTATGCGTATGAAGTATGCCGACAGTCCATCTCGATGGAGAATATTTCCGAATGGCTCGACTTCGTCGACTCCATCCCACCGTCTTCTGATGGGACGTCGACACCGGTCGATCCTCACCAGCTGCCGCCATCGCGGACGGCAATCTTTGGGTCGTACGCGGCACGGCTGAAGGGCGATGTGTTCCACTACCTCGTCGCCACCCTCCCGAACATGCTCAATGTCGGCGGGCAGGCAACGCCGGTCTCGCCACATCCAGATGGCCAGCATTCAGATGCTGGTCGCGACACCCTCCTGCAGGTCTATTCACGCGTGCCGTTTGACCTGTTTAAGGCCGCAGTGGAATCACCAAAGTTCCAGATAGGTGCGTCACGCGGCTGCTCGCCTTGGATTATTCTCATGGTGTCCGTTGTTGCAGGGTCCGACCAGAGCCGCTTCAAGTTTGCAAAGGAGGCGATCGACCTGAGGAAGCAGGGCATCGCGCGGGGTCAGGGGGCGGAGGAGACTGTGGTGCTTGCCTTTGGAGGAGGTAATTTCGGCGGGGGTTCGGTGCACGTCCATGTCACACGAAAATTGCGCAAACGACCTTTGTGGAAGGTCAACTCCTGATTCCCAATTTTGTCATCATCCATCATGTGCTGTGATCCATTGTTCTGCATCTCGTTTGTTGTGCCAACACGATGGTTTGAGTGTCTCAATGCACCCCTCGTGGTCGGTTTCTGTGTCAGCTGGAAGCTACAAGTGAATATCTCGCATTCGGTGTTGGTCCACCTGCGATTGAATGTGATGATCAGATATCAGCTGCGTTTCATTTATGCGGCTTATGAACCGTACAAAAATTGAAATTCTAGTCCCTTCCCGGACCCAATTTCTGAGGCCTGAGGGCACAGAGTGGCAGATCAATAAGATGTGACACTTCGCGTTTTCGCTTTGTAGCGCGAGCAGCGGAGTGACCTGTTGCCCACGTTATTTAGCCTTCCTGGGCGAACGCTGCCCAAGTTGAGCGGCGGAGCTTACGTGCGTATACATTTACGACGGTCCGGCCGCTCGAGTTTGCTGAGACTATCGTAACCTTGCAGCCGTGGGTGCCGTGCTCGTTGCGTCACTTGGTGTAGGCGAGTAAGTACACCGCCAATGTGCCGGGTGCGGCCTCACACCCGGCCGTCACGCCACCGGATTCGTCGTGGAGATCTCTTCCGTCGGCCACAACGCAGGGGGTAACAATTCATATACGATTTTGACCGTGCGGTGCTCGCAGTATTAGCGGGTTGTTGCCCCGGCCTGCCGATGGCCTCTTTTTCTTCACGTCGGAATGTTTGGCGAGCCTTTCCAGCTCCGTATGTTCAGGCTAAAGCATGCATAAAATGCTCATCCGATGTCGCTGCGCGAAGAAAGTCCATTGGTTCGGCGGTGAACATGGCCACGTCCAACGCGGATCCCTGTCATCTGGATTCTCCGCAAGTGCGACCGCTATACGTTAACTCGACAAACTTGACTTTCCAAATTGTTTCATGAATTGCCTGATTAATGGTCGAACTTGAAGCTTGAGGTTCGGCCAGTCTTCCATGTGGAGATAGAGAAAGCCAGGAGGGATCGATCTGCCAATACGTTGAGGGAATCTAGCGCATCGATGGAGGCGCTCGATCGGTCTCGCATTGCCTGCCTGCCTTCGCTTGCCGTCTGAAAACATGGCATTAAGATTCATGGTCAGGAATTTCTCCTTATCCAGGCGCCAACTTCGTCCAGGTGGAGGGCGTGATTGCATTCTGGTCAAGAGCCACATACCTACGGCCCGAAATATCCCCAGATAACCCTTACTCACCTCTCCGCGGGTTCATAAGTTCGGTGAGGCAGCGGCGACGCATACACCACGCGCAACAAGCTTGCCGAGGCCTTTGGGCATGAATTGACGCTGGGGCGGCAGAAATCTGACCTGCTTGCTTCGTAACCGTCACTGATATCATCGATGAAGCAGATATAGGCAGATACCACCTTTTACGGCGAGGTCCAAGATGAGAGGTTGAGACCGCCCTTCGATCAAAGCCCACGCGGGGCTGAACTCAAGGACATTGGACCCTATTTCGCACTGTCAGCGAACCGACTGACGGCTTAGTCTTCCGTCAGCTGTACACCTGATCTTCGTCGCTTATGCTTGAGCTTCTCGAAGTAGTGCGGCGGACCACCCGCATGAACCACCTGCGAACAATCTGCGAAAGAGCCACATTGATCATCCCCTTCGCCGGAACTCAATCATCACAGGTGGAAACACAGGAGACGGACTGACCTACCCACGCCTCCCAACCACTGAGGCAGCTCCCATTTTGCCTTGTCAACTGCTTCCTGATGACTTTCTCCTTCGCAGTGCCCACACAGTAAAAAATATCCCATTCTCGTGGATGACCTGTCGGCAAGATATCATCGCTCCTGTGCCTATAGGTCTACCACTGAATGAACTAGTGCCCAGAGGAGCTCCTGCATAATCCTTGTTCAGAATTAGCGGGTATTCTCAGCTTATGCGCAGTAGGAATTTATAACTAGGAATTTGTGACGCACGACTGATAAAATTAGATAACGGTTCATCTCGACGGTCCTTGATTGGTGCTCCAAGCTGCCAAAGTTGATTTAGATGCTTTCTTCCAACTCCACATGTTCTTATTTGTATTTTTCGTGCTGGTCAGATGGATCGTCATGACCGCATGTTATCAAGTTGCTTCAATATTCATGCGTGTGCCCTTCGTGGTCAGTAGAAGATCCGCGAATCCCGACAACGAGGCACGATTCTTTTTGTTCCGCATTAGATGTTCATGTCGAGTCCTGTCGCGCCGGATAAAATGGAAAGTCAATATTAGCCCCTTCTCGACAGATGATGGTCTGGAGAGTGAATCCGAATATACTCACTCAAGGAAGGGTTGTACCAAACACATTTGCGATGACCTACGCTGTTCAGCACTGCTGCTGCTCTCTTTACCTGTGCGGTGTAGACTTGATCGCGGGAGAAGGTCGGGAAGCTGAGTTTTAGTGCGGGAAAACTGTGCCTTCGCCGTCAGAACTTCGAAGTTAAAATCTCGGGAACTGCCTACTTTAGGCTTTTGAGTAGTTTGTGCAAAGTGTGCACAATCGCAGTGGGTACGCACGGTAATATGACAAAATCACGAAACCAACTTTCCCTTTCCTGTCATTGCCTTGACCGCCGGGGTACACAGTCGTATGTTATCCTGCTTCCGCACAGCCCTCGATAGGCTGCGGTTCCCATGCTCCAGAATTGGTCGGCTTATACCACTACTAACCTGTGACCGACGATACAGGTAGAGCCAACCTGTGACACTGCCGTTCATATATTAGGTGGTGGGATGGAAAGGACGCCTTCAAGCAGATACCCACCTGCTCGTACACCTCATGGCTACCCAGGGAGACAGCGCCCTGTTCTTCACAGCAAAAGACGATCCTCGAGATGGTTGCATGATCGTTGGCCACACATCCAATACCGGCCAGGACGTTCGGTACGACAAACACATCCTCTATGACTTCAGAACCAATGGAAGAAGAACAACGGTGAGGTCTCAATTTATTCTACTGACGCGAGCACTTACGGGGAAACTCTGGAACGTCGGGGTGGAAAGGTGTACCGCAATACGACGGAAGTCGTTGCTTATCTGGATTGGGGAGAAAGAGACACACTCGGCATGCTGACCATGGGCACAAGGCAGGAGCCGATGTCGAACTTTTTGCTGCCGATAGCAACCACCCCTAAGTACGAGCACATAAGCCTTGCGTTCATTTCAATGCTTCTAAATATCATGGCCAGTGTTCGTGTATTCATATCTGCGGCAGATCGTCTGTACTACGAGTGGCACAAGGTAGACCACGGCGGATACGACGTAAGTTTGTCGGAATTCTCACCATGACTCTGGCAATCAGATACGACTTACCACTCAACAGTTTTACCCCGCATCTATTCGCGGTCAGAGACTCGCAACCTTTCGCCGTGACCAGAACGACACACCTGTCGGTCTTACACATGCAACGATGAAGTACAATTTTGACCACGACCATCTCTTGCTCGAGTCTCTAGTAGCACTCTGTCTGAACAGATGGGTGGACCGCCCAGCAACCTGAGCGACGGAGGTGCATGTTTTTTTTCCATTGGCAAATAGCACAGACCGCGTTTGTACGAAACTGTAGTTGTATTAACTTCCCCCAGACCATTATCATTGGTACCAGATGACGAGCAAGATGTATGTCAACGAGAGCAGATGGAAAGATAAGGAGCGTCATACATAGCGTGCAAAAATTCCCGAAGTCCGAAAAACATTTATGAGTTAGAACTGATTGAACCAAGCATCTGCTCAAGTCTCTCCTCAACTGTCCAGTGCGCGTCGGATTCGGAGCCGAAAGACGTTGATGTAGAGTGCCCAAGGTGTGCCTGTGGGCGGTCGGGGGCGATGTTGAACGAACCTGCGTCCATACCACGTGACATATTTTCTATAAGGCGCCCGATCTGCGCAGAAGAACTGAAGAAAACCTGAACACAGTGAGCAACGAAGGAGACAACATGCTGCAAGAATAATACCTTTGTCTCCGGACGACTAGAACCTTTCGGATGCTTCTTCCGCGACAAGAAAGACGCATTACTACCCTTCGACGACTTCCTCTCATGCTCCTTGAAAAATAATTTCACCGGATCGCTGTTGGAGTCCTTGGTGGAGTAGTCTGACACAAAGCTCGTGCGATCCCCGTAGTATGATTCGCCATCATCATCCCGCAAACCATTGACAATTGACCTGAGAGAAAGTCAAACCAACCTATGTCAAGTGAGAAACGTATGACCAACCATATGGTCTCCCCATTGGCCAACTCTACAACTTCCAAGGCGGGCCTCGACTCAGGTATAGAATCATTATGAGGACTCAGCGAGGTACTTGCTCCCTGCCCATCAGGAGCGAAAGTATTTCCGGACCTGCTGTCTCCAGCATACATCTCATACCTGCAAACCATTAATTCCAGAACCACGAATGAGTATCGAGGGGCTCACAATGAATCATAAGCTGAACTGGATTTTTCTATCGGACCTACCGTAGCCGGCGAGGAAGTGTCTAACTGTGAGGATATGGACTGTGGTAATTGCGGGACAGGAGGTGAGCCATCAGCCGAGAAGCGGCGTGCCCCAGACGATTTATGCGGTGGTGGTGTTGGGACACGATCATGGATTGAACGAGTGGAATGAACGGAAACGGCACTAGCCGATCGACGGCGTAGTGAAGAAGTCTGCTTTCGCATAAGGACATTCAGATCTACTGCAGACGTCCTGTAATCTGAAGGGAAAAAAATTGTCCTTCGAACGATAGCATTCGCACCATCGGTGCGCAGCTCTGGACGAGGTTGAGCAACAGCGTCAGCAGGCTTGCGGTCCGTAGCATGCCGAGTGTCAACGGAAGGCCGGGGGGAATAACCCTCTACACTGGGACGTCCGTCAGACGCAACAGCCGAGCGATTATCATCCCGACCATTGCTACTTCGAATACTTCGTAACTGGCTCCTATGGCTCTCAGTAGCAGAAGTCATTCGTGTCAGCTTTGTCCACGCCGTCGAACGAGATGAAGTCGAAGATGAACGGGCAATCAGATCATTCAACGCAGATTGGTCCAGTCCAAGATTCGAAGCAGCATCAAATAATTGTCTCAGTGCAACCTCGTCCGTCTCAGGGTGCTGAGGTGACTCAACGTTCACTGTTGGAGTGGAGGGTACAACTGGATTAGGCCGAGGCTGATCAGGACTGGGACTCCGGAATACGGTTTGTGTGTGTGGCGCAGACTGCGTAGTCTGGGGAAAAATACGATCGTGCGACGGTGACGAGGAAGGTGAAGAAGACGCTGCGGAGGATGGAATCTGTCGCTGCCGCTGGACAGATGGGTGTGTCTCTGCCGCTCGATGCTTGCGGAAGCGAGCCATGAATCCCTTGAGACCAGGTTGTGCAGACGCCGGGGGGCTAGTCACTGGTAGCCGAGGAGACTTCACTCTAGCTGCGATGACCGGCTCCGGGTGAAGGTTCAGGGTCGTAGCACTAAACGTTGGCATCGGTTCAGGGGGTGAGCGTAGACTTGCAGGATACGGTGTGACTTCTCCACCATTAGGGACAGGCGGCTTCGCACGAAGCGTGCCCCGAAGCCTCTTCAAGCGCGAACCGATATTTTTATTTGACCCATTAGGCTGTAGAGAAGGTGAAGTTGACTGGAGAGGTATGGTATCTACGCTCGTCGATGCTGAGACCAACGTCGGCGACGAGATCTGATTGGGGTGGATGCGCTTGCGATGCACAGTGCCAAGCCCGTCACCGAGCTTGGGTATTGATGGTGATTTCCTCAACGCTGCCGTAGCGGCTTCAGCCCTCTGCTGAACCTCCTTCGCCAACTGTGTCGCATCGACGCGATCGCTGGTGAGATGAGGGTGGGCTTGACTAGGCGTGGGTGTGGTCGAGACAAGGTTCCGAGTCGAGCTACTCGGCATCGGTTGCTGCGATGATTGCGCTAACGATCGTTCTGCAGTAACTCCACCCGGTGTATGTTCGATTGCTACGGATGGTTCAATAATCAGCGGAATTGCAGAGTCCTCCGTATGAGCCGACGACGGAACTTTGTCTTCAGCGCCGAAGAGAGCATCCGCAAGCGCTCGATGACGGCGACCCAGGCTCGATGGATCAGCAGGAGTGCGAGGCCGGGTGATCATCACGTCTTCAGGTTCACGAGGAGTCGGCAGCTTCGGACGTGGCGCCTCGATGCTATCCACCACCGAATCGAGGAGGGCACTCGCCTTCGCGATATGGTCGCTGTTGACAGGCCGAGATGTCGCAGGAATCGTGCTCTGAGGCTGTGGTGCCGGACTGGCAACCTAACATGCGGTCAGTATTCGGAAGGGGGACGTCCAACGACGAGCTTACCCTGTTGTCTCCACCGTTGTACGAATAGTTCGACTGCGAGGTCGAAGGCCTCCTCTTCCTGATAGAAGACGCGCGATTTCGCCCCTCCGGGGTGACAGCTTTCGTGAGCGCTGCGGTGACCAATTTGTCCTGGATGGCAATAAAGTCAAACTTCGTGAGCCCTGTCTGGCGCCTGACTGCTTCTTCAAGGTCCAAACCCTCGTAAGGGGAGGTACCGGGTGTCGATGAAGTCAACTTGTCCGCTACAGAGATATCGTGCCACTCCGTATGCTGAGGGTCAAGGCTATTGAAGAGGCCGAACAGGCGATCCTTCTTATGATCTTCATCCCAAGAGTGATAACTCGATCCTACCGACTCTAACGAAGAGCGAGATGAATTGGCAAACGGAGAGAACAGGAGTGCATGAGGAGATCCCAGAGAGAAAGAAGAATGCTGATTCTGCTTGGACGACCGACGACTAGGAGCGGTGCTATCGCCACTGGTGATGACTGAATTAGCATGTTCAGGAAATGTAGGCGATGTGGGGGATTTGTTGTTATATGTTGGTGTGGGCGAACGTAGAGGACGATTGACACTGAGGGGTGACCCCAGCTCCATAGCAGACATAGCAGACGCAGGCCGAACTTCCAACTGGGTACCGACTGAGATAGTACCGTCCGCCACTCCATCGACACACGGAGAATCTGGAAGGGCGGGCGAACGCAGAGATCTTGCGGTCGCAGTCGACTTCGATCGCTCCAGAGGTTCGATAGCGGTGGTATCCGGAATGCTGGTCGTGCTCCCACTCCTGCTGTGTCCTGACGTACTGCCGTTCCTACGATGTACTTTAGAGTTAGCAGCACTCCAGGTCACATTCGAGGGCGTGCCAGGTCGAGAGGATGCAAGAGGCTGGAAAGCTGGCCCTGAAAGGGGTGACATAGGCCTTCGTCGACCAAGTATCGGAGAATCGAGTATCTCCGATGTGGGAGAATTCGCATCGTTATGCTGTCGGTCTTCCGGAGTGAACCTACCATTGGTGCTCCTGTTAAAGAACAGCGGTGGCGTCGAAGCAGTCGGTGTTGGTGTAGGACGGACCGATTGGCGAGATGTTGACGCATTGGAGTTGCTTCGGTATAAGGAGGAAGTGAAACTCTGCAGAATCATTGGAGCAGACGCGACGTTGATACTGGGAAGACGAGGACTCGTGGCACGCGGTGTCGTTGAAGGTGTTTGATCGTCAGAGTCAAACGATGTCTCGCGGGGAGTCATGGGCCTGGGCATGCCAGGAATATATCCAGGAAGGCGTGGAGTAGGAGACGTAGTCCGAGAGTGCGGATTGGGCGATGAGCGCTGGAGCTCTTCAGACGTCACTTGATCATCCGACGATACAGCTGTCACATGCTCAAAATCCACTGCCGAAGTGAGGGGAGAGTTGGGATCATGTTCATGCTACAGCGCATAGTAAGATTGCACCTCGCATTCAGACAAACCGACGATGATGAAGTCGAGAAATGACGCACAGTAGTAGCGGAACCGCTGTTCAGGGTACTGCTAGGTACATGCGCAATGGGTGACCGCTCCATGACAATCTCGTCGTCCCCTTCCTCTTCGAGTTCCTTGATCACCTCGTCCAACGCCAATGATGCACGCCTGAGTCCTTCCGGCGACAAAGTCTTGGATAATCGCTTGCCCAACGCTGTGTAGTCAGGACGAGGATCCACCGCCGTAGATCTTCCAGGAGAGTATTGATCAACGGTCTGATCCTTGTTAGGGCTAGAGGGAGCAGAAGTGGAGGGTGAATATGTGCTGCCCTCCGGTGTTGTTGGTCGCAGACTCTGGTTGTCGGAGTAGACCGATATATTCTGCCCGGCCCTGCTGCTCGCCAACGTGCTCATGCTCATGCTAGACTCCGACGGCGTGACGGAAAGCGCTCTGGTAGCCCCGCTTCGCCTCGTCTGATTAGCATTGCGGATATATGCCTGATCGCGGAACTTGCCCGAGCCGAACAGGTTGTTACTCATTCTCCTGCTGACATTCGAGCCCTTGGCCGAAGACAGAGACGACACCGAAGGAGCATTGCGCAACGGAGACGTTGCCGTACTCGAAGACCGCGCCGATTGGCCTGCCATGATTGAGTTCCTCGAGCACAAAAATCAGTCACAGCACGCACCATCTGTCTGACTACCACTTCCTTCCTCTCCACCACTGTTCCTCGCCGTAGCACTCCGAACGTGCAGGCGACCAAGAGCCTCCAGGATCATGTCCTCTTCCTCCTCCGATAGCTGATGCTCAGAACCACGCGCTCTCTGTTCCGCAAACTTGGTCTTCAGGTCATCAATCCCGATAGGCGTGCCTGATGTGGTGCGGAGGACGCTGAAACGGCGAGTAAGACTGTACCATTCCAGCATAATAACGTCCGGAGGGCGGGCAGGGGATATGACGCAGATACAGCGAAATCAGCGGACGGGTGGAGCGGTTAGTAATGAGATAAAATAGGAAGCACCGGACGCACTCTGGCAAGATTAGTGACGTGCGAAAATTGTCAGCGGGCGGTAAGGTAGGTAATGGCTCAGTATCTTGCCGCCTTGGGCGCAGAGGTTCGGGGATCTGGCTGCGTTTGGCCTCGGACTTCTTGCTGTTAGCGCGGAAAACACGAGAGAGCAAGCCGGAAGGTGGGAAGTAGCAGCAGTGAGGCAAGAGTGCGTATATGGGACACCGTGAGCGGTGGTCATTTGGACAGTTGGTGGTGGCGTGCTTACCGCAAGCGATACATGGATAATTGTTTCGCGTTCCACTACGTGGCTCTCCCTCGTTTCAATAGCCTCGTTGTTTGCACGTTGAGATGGGCGTGATAGATGGGGGAAAGTCGGACCACGCGGGAAATGACAGGTAGCAATAGAGAGATAGTGGTGTGAGTACCGAGCCCGTGGCGTATATTAAAGCAGAGGTGTTCGAATCAGAATAGCAAGCAGAGCAGCAAGTAGCACGAAAACGGTTTATTGAGTTTTTTGGACCGGGGGAGAGAGGGGAGCGAGCAAGCAACGTGTTGGACACGAGTTGGAGGGAAGCGAGACAGCTCAGATCAGGGCGACCTTCTTCCGGATTACCACTCAGTTTACCGAATGAGGCCCAAGGTTGAGGACAGACGACGGGGAACGCGCCTCGAGTGACCAAAATCCGTCGTCGAGAGTAGTGAGGAGAGGAAGGCGAGAATATTTTTTAAGCTGATATATGTATGTACACCGACAGAGACAGATGTTACACCGCCGACAAAACGTGCCCGTCACGACCCAAAATGGAAACGGATCCATCAGACACAACAATCCCTTGGTCAGCCATTTGGAAGTCACACTAAGTAGCACTAATTACAAGTACTACATATACCCCAGTCAGAAGCTAGGTGAGGCGCATCAGAAATCATTTTGCAGGTTCGTCAAGTGAACACATTTTCTGAGGTAGCATTCCAGCAGCAGATACTAGTGGTCAGATCTTCAGGCACGGATATCCTGAGGCACGAACTTGGTTGAAGCAGAGTGTCTACTCTGCCTGGGGAGACTAACTAGTACTTACCTTCTTCTCAGTCGCCCAATTCTTCGCTGATTCACACGCCAAAGTCAGTATTCACAAACCAATATATTTATTGACATGCTCCTAGATTTTAAAGGCAGGAAGCCGGGTCATGGAGGTTCGCCTGCCGTCGAGAATTGTTATGAGACACGACAACGGTGATGTTCTCATTGCCAGTGGTGCTGCGCTCGTCGGGTCCAGCAGAATCCTGGATTGCTCCCAAATCAGTCATGCATGAAAATTTTCCAGTCAGGGTGTCTTGCTCACCAATCTCCCCGTTACTCTACTCGGGCACCTTCTTCGCGCTTGAATGTCTGCGCAAAACCGATAAACATCGCGATTTTCCGTTACTAGTCAGCTGGGTGCACAGGAACGGACTGCGTTACGTTCACAATTCGCAGGGACTGCGTCTCCCGCGAACATCTCCCGAAGTTCCGTAACATCCTAGTAGTACGGCGGACGAGCGGTCCACGATAATCGGATGCGATGCACACGCCAGCAGTCAATTTTCACTCCTTCCAGAAGAAGCTTTCTGGCCTGGGGAGCTGCAGAAGACGTCTATGCGGTCACTGCAAACGGCATTAATATGGTACGGCATCGTTTTCCCGACCTTGCATGATCTTGCAGGATGACACATGCAGCTCTCAGGTCACGGATCTCGCTATTGTATTCCTGCACATATCATGACATAGCAGTCTTTCAAACTGATGAGCGAGTCCTTGAAGCTCGAGACATATTCTAATCCGGTAGAGTGATGCAGGTGGTACTTCTATCTCGATAAAATCATTTGCGGCTCGATTAATATCGCTTTTGAACCCCACGTCCAGCTGATTGCCACGCATCGGATCTATGAATTGGTGGGTGTTCTTGAATTCTATCAATGCACTGATTTAGGAACTTCCCCACCGGGGACTTAGTATGACTCCCTCTACCGTCGCAGGTTTTGTATCTGTTCCGGCTATACCCGCTGGCTCTTATTTTTGGCAAAGGGCTGCATACTATCCTCGTGGCGAAATTTGACACTTCCTTCACACTTGCCTCATTTGGAGAAGAGCGACCCGTATAAGGAAAATACGCTCGGCGGCGGAAGAGCCAGCAATTGAACTTACCAGCTTAGCGAAAGGAATACTTTAGCGATAATCATATATATATATACTTATGTGAATAATTGCTGCATGCAGCTAGCATGCAGCACGCTGGCCGCTCATCACGTCACCTGCCGGTGCTATGTCTTCAGCCCATCTCGCCGTTCAACCGTGTCTGCCGTCCACGAGCTCACAGACGCTTCATTAAATAATGAAGCGATCGAGGGTATGCATTGTTGGGCTTGTTACGATCATCAGCAGGCCTGATTTCCACGTCTGTCTTCTTCGGAATGCAATAGGACGTAAGTTCGACTCGAAAAGTGCAGATATGGGGAGACATCTGGTAGCCGTGTGTCCTGTGCGCGAACTGTCGTTGAGTTTGCGCTGAGCAACTAGAGTCGTGAAGTTATTGGGTCAGAGGTCGTGGAGGTACTCAATTTCTCGAAGCCTTTATCTCAGCTAGCGAAAACCGTACATGCGATACGTATATAATTGTCCTAGAGTTACAGAATGCACGAGTGTCTCGGTGCGTGTACACGCAGTGAAGCCCCGTAGATGACATGATACAGAGATGCAATTTCTTCTATCCGGCTGCCTAGATGTAGCTCAGGCGACGGCGTACCTGGTAAATTACCGTCAATCAGTAGTTTTGATCGGGACTCGTCGCGTACTTCTTAGTCCACTCCTTGGCTGTGGCCAGGAACTTCGTCTTGTCGTTCTTCAATTGCTGCACAAGAGGCATTGAGGCAACTCTTCCAAAAAGGGACGAGAATGTACTCACAGCAGCGATGTCGGGCTCGAATGGGTCATCCGGACTGGGATTGTTCACCTTCTCTTGGATGACGGCCAGGACTAGATCAGCATGAACGCAACATTCCGGACATGCATGGACAACGGGTTCGATGCGCACCTGAAGATAGCGTGACGCTCGGCTTCCACTGCGTCCGCAATCAGATATAGACGTAAGCATGTCATCATAGAGCACCAGACGTGCAAAGAGAGTGGACCATGCGGGCGAGCACCGAGGGGCTGAGAGAAGAGAAGGAAACTCGCCTGATCGCGCAGGACGGGAACGCAGATGTGGCCCTCCTCGTTAATTCCGGGGTGATAGATCTTCGTGGTGAAGGTCACCTGCATATATGAGCGGTGGCCGAGATTCGTCAGTGGAACGTAATCACAGTGCAGGACACAAGGAGAGACGAAGATGGTGCTTACCGAAGGCGCCTTGAAGGGGAAGTTCTCGGGAAGGGACAGGGAAAAGTGGAAGGTGCCATTCTTGTATGGACTGTCTGACTGGACAGCGTGCAGCAGAAAACAGAAGATGGGAAGGATCAGGAGATTGTCGTAGTGAAAATGGACGGGTAAACGCGTACGGCAGCCTTGATCGCGCACTTCCACTCAAAGAGGTTATCCTCCACAGGTTCCACGGACAGACCCTGTAGTCCAAACGATCGAGGACATTTATCAACCGGTGTGCGAGCTATCGGGAGTTTTGGACAAACCTCAATCGGCCTACTGGTAATGTCCGTAAGTTCCTACCCATACCAAGTGAGCACTGCTGTTACGATGAGTTGCCTGGAGGACAGCACCTTCTGGATACGACTGTTTGCAAGTCAGACGCGCTCAAAACGGAAATGAATTACATTTCATACCGTAGAGAGGTCATGATGTGCAAGAGAGTCTGGTGAGGTATGTTCTAGTACAGTGAAAGACGATTAAGGGCGTCCGATTCGCGGGAACAGGTTGCGCAAGCGCTCGGTGCAAGCGCCCAAGTGTCCCTCCGCGCAACCGTGACCGTCGTGTCACGGTTAACCTCTACCAAGTCTCTACTGATAGTGCATCACCATCTGCTCTTTCTCATCCTTCGACTCAACTCTAGGAGTTGTAGTAGACGTCTCATTGGACCGTCACGGATTGTGCTGCCTAGTCTCCGTGATCTGGTCTCCCAAAAAAAATCGCGCACCATGTCCGTATGTATTACAGTGTCCATCAAGCTGAACTTGTGTTCACCGCTCTCGCAGTCCGTGTCTCCCTTTTATCGAGCACTCCAGGGTGATACTGGCTCGTTGGGACAGCGTTGGACGCACTCGAAATACGTCGGGTGGCGTGTCACCGTGCGTGAATTTGGACCGCTTCTCTTTTTACGTTGTGCTAACGGAGCTACGCTGGCCGAAGAGTTCCTGCTTTAAAGCGCATATTTAAACCGTAATTTCTACTGCTTCGAACGACAATGGAAGCGCTGGAGTCTCCTCGGGAGCCCTCGCCGGCGACCCACCATCTATCGGCACCCGCCAATCATTCACATAAAAAGCGGAAACATGCTGCCATGGTTAATGTGGCCGCCTCCCCAGCGCCTTCCGACCTTGGCGCGACACCCGCGCCCACTACCGAGAACCTAGTGCTGCCCACCCGTCACTTGGACCTGTCTTCACGCCCGCGCCTTGATATCTCTCGTCACCCGATGTTCGTCCCCATTGCTCCCGGCTCGGAGTACTACAACACTGAGCCGCTATGCAATAACCGGCAGAACTACCGCTACACCCCTGCAGGTCTCACACCCCCGGACTCTGCCATCGCGTTCAGGACGATTGAGTCGGCGCCTACATCGTACCGCGTTTCGTGGGAGGACAGGAGTACCTTCGTGAAGGTCACGCAGGATGGCCTCGGCCTGAAGGGGGAGAAGGGATTCAGGAGTGCCCGATGCAACGCGCCCGTGCGCGAAGGGAAGTGGTACATGGAGATTATTGTTGAGAGCGGAGGGGGCGAGAAGCCGCCTGAGAGCCAGAGACGTCAGGGTAGCCACGTCCGTCTAGGATGGGCGCGGCGGGAGGCTCCTCTGAACGGGCCGGCGGGTTTGGATGGGTATAGCTACGCGCTGCGAGACAAGACTGGTGAGAAGGTCCACCTGTCTCGCCTGCGTCCATACGGCAAGCCTGTCAAGTCAGGCGACGTGGTCGGGATGTACATATCCCTTCCCCCGCACCGCAAGCCTGACAAAAGGGATTCGTCCGACCCGGCGCATATCCGACGCGCGCGTATTCCCATAGAGTTCAAGGGCCAAGAGTACTTCGAGTCCTTGGAGTATTCTCAGTCGAAAGAGATGATGGAACTCATGAACGCTAGGGAGCGCCAGAAGGCGGAAAACACTAACTCTATGCCGTCTTCGACCAAAAAATCTGCTACCGTGAAGAACATCCCATCTTCTTCGCGAGGTGTCAAAGCCAGCCAACAGGAACCAAATTCTATGAGACCCTTACCTACACTCGGACCAGACTCCTACGTTGCGTTCTTTGTCAACGGAGAATGTCAAGGTATTGCATTTCAAGATATTTTTGATTACCTGCCACTACGTTCTAGCCCAAACAAAACGCAGGAGAAGAGCAGAAGGAACAAAGATGGACTCAGGGAACACAGGGAGAATCCCTTCGACGACGGGACTTTGGGGTACTATCCCTTCATATCACTGTTCAACGAAGCGACGGTGCGAATTAACCCTGGCCCTGACTTCCTGTGCCCGCCCCCTCCGGATATCGATGCCGTACTCTCTTCGTCGGATTGGGCTGGACGCGACATCAAGCCATTGTCATCCGAGAATGCACAAACATGGCGCCCCATTTCCGAGCGCTATTCCGAGTTCATAGCAGAACAGCACGCGTTGGACGCATTCGAAGAGGCTGAAGCGCAGAAAAATCATGTGGTGGGCATGCGGAGTCTCACCTCTGGTGTTATTCATTTGTAGACATCGTTCTCTTTACAGGGCAATTCTGCAAAGGAGAAGGCCGACACCGAGAAGGCGGAAAAGCATAGGGAGAAACGCAGGGCGCAAGCTGCTGCTCGGAGAGAGAAGAAAGCGAAGCAAGCGAAAGAGGAAGCTGAGGCTCTCGAGGCCGCGAAACGGAGAAAGCTGGACGAAGAGCGGCTCACTCTGGGCGGCGAGGTGGAGATCGACCTGCATGCACCTGACTTCGGGGCCAACGTCTCCTTCCCGGAGATACACTCCTTACCTGACACTTTCCATCACTACACCAGCGTCGGCTCTCCGGCGCCGACGGTCGCTTCAAGCGCGGACTTTCATATTCCTGGCATCGTTGTGCGGCAGGGCACCAGCGAGTATAACTCGGAATATGAGGACGCGGACGGAGACATAGACATGGAGGCGCAAGTTCCGGAGGCACAGCGAGACGAGGATGGAGCGTACAGGTCTCGAGAAAATTCGTATCCTCCGGAGAGCGAGTGACCCTTTGAATTGCACGATGACAATGTTCGGTCCTATTTCTTGTAGTAGCAGCTCTAAAAAGCAACGGGATCTCCCAAATTCCTCCAGGCAACTGCTCAGTCACCATCAAGCTTGTCACATTAATATTGCAGGAAACCGTGGTACAATGGAACGCATGTGCCCTACGGAAAAATGAAGGCAGGACACGAGGCGTGCAGACGATGTCTGGACCATCCACAATCACTACTATTATTGTACCTTAGAACCGGACGTGGTAGTAATATTATGGCAGCGATGGCAGCGATGCTCTGACTAGTATCGTAGGGGTGTCACAAGAGAAGGGGAGACTACGATCGGGCCCAACGAGGTGGTGGTGAGCGAACAGCATATCTGCCAACGATGTGCATCAGTGTCGGACAAGACAACGGGAAGAGCGGGGTGGATCTACCCTGTGGTCTCTCCCATTCCCTTGTTCTTTTCAATTCGCAACTCGAAGATAAGGTCGCCTGAGGCTGACTCCCAATTTACTATACAATAGTTCCGTCTTCCCATGATATACTTGCTTTTCGTGGGTGCTCCGTTGGCGTCCCTTTCGAATACTGGGACCTACGCATGGCACGCACAGCAACGCGTACTCAGATTGACATTTGCGGTGAGACGAGAATGTGATGAGCTTACCATGGTCTCATCTGTGTCCACATAATGTAACGTTCGATGCGTCTTCGTCGAAAGGGCGGATACCATGGAGAGGACACCATTGGGAGGTCTGATGTCATGCAATGAGGCAAAAGTCGTTTAATGAGATCGACAACAACTCACGGCGTGTTCACTATTGCACCTAGCGTAACGTCAGTAAATGATGTAGGCAACGGAAAGACAGCGAAATCTGACTGGTCACGATATTGAGCATGTATCGATGGTCCTGAGCGGGCGGTATACCGCCTTTCTTCTTGTTCTTCTGAAGAGTTTTGAGGACACCGACTGCAGCACAATGCACATCTCCTGCCACGAAAGTTATGCGACAATGTTTGGCTTTCGCGAAGAGCTGCAGCTGTTCGATGAACCAGTTTCGTTCCCGCTATAATGTCACAGATCAATGGTGGAATTGATACATTATCTCCTTGGCATACCTTGTGCATCTTTGCTGTCCAGTGATCGTTCTACGGAGACAAATTCAGCTAGGAACATACCATGTTCTACCACAACACAAAGGCGTGGCAGGTTCACTTACGAGATCGTCAAGCAATTCGGCATCAGCATTGAACTTGTTGACAAAACTGGAAAGACCCAGCGAACCCGCCCTTCCCAGGGCGACTAAAGGATTCATTTTGGATTCCAGCAAGTTCTCCAGGAAAACCATCCGAGGATAGGCGATAGGAATCCCTGCCAACAATGACTTCAGAGCATACTCAGGAACGACCTCAACATATACACACCCAGCAGGATCACGAGATGCTCTACATCCGGGGGGAGCTCATACACTCGCTCAAACACCGTCTTGTACTCCTGTGGGCTACATACTTGGTCCTTCTTTCTCTCCGCACTATGTGAGGCTCAGATGAGCCCGCGCAAGAGTCAAGATAGACATACGAACCGACAATCGAGCAACAGCATGGAGACCTGAGGACCCAGGTAGGTCAAGAAGGAATGTGACCGGAATGGAATAAATGGCCCAGGTGCACCGATAATGACGGACTTGAAGGGATGCTGCCGGTCATTCAGTCCGTCGACCTCGACTTGGTTGTTTTATTGTTAGCGTGACACTGAAAGACACGGTACGCCACATACTGTTGATGAAGCACTGGAAAAGAAGGAAGAAAAAGTAACCTCGTGCACCTATCCTGTGCATAACACCCAGACAACCGCAACGTGAGCATGGCGAGAACTGCAAGTCCGTAAAATCTCCTATGAAGTAATCAGGACTTACGTGCCAAACACGGGTGATGACATCAGGTCGTCGGGGTCTGTGGTCATATTAGTCGAAGTAGAGATCGGTCTTGAATGAATGAAATGGTCCACTGACAGCTTCCGAACCCGTCGATCTTCATGGACGATCTCAGCGCTCTAAAACACCAGAAAATTTGCGTAGAGCTTACCAGATCTATAAACGGTAGATATCAGTCAAGAATGTCGATACGTCGATAAGATTTCATGACACTGACCGTGATCATCTGCGACCCAGATATAAGGTCAGGGAGAGCTTCAGCAAGAAAAGGAGGATTTGCATCATACCAAGCATGTTCAACATCGGGCTTTGAAGGAAGCTACATCAGCGCCATAACGCGACGGAAATGATGTAGAGCAGCACACACATCGAGCTATTTGCCCTAGCAAACGCCCCCCTCCGGAAGGACTCGCAATAGTGGTTGAAATAGAACCGATCAATGGCGAGCCGCATTTCCTCCTTGAGCGTGCATTTCTTCTTGACCTCGGGCTTTGTCTGGGTAACCCACTCTTGCAACTCCGGTTCGCGCATTATGCCGTCACAGTATAGTTGATCTCCACCGCCAACCAATGCGTGGAAGGGCTCCTCAGCATGCTTGGAGAGGAGGTCAGTCCATACCGGATCATAACCACTATAGAATCCTGGTCCACAGAAATCATTAGGGTTTACACCGGAACTGAAACCGTTACACTGAAAATAAATGAATATGAGAGCAGAGAGAAGGAATAATCCAGAACGCACAGAAAACGCCGCGAAGCGCATGTTCTGAGAACGCCCTGGCACGTAGAACTCGAATTCTTGACCATTGTTCACGCGGTACTTGACTTGCATCTCACTTGGGCCTAGAGGAACCTCGATGATGAACCTCCAAAAGGTATACGTTCTGTAAGACCCGTGTTAGAGACTTCGTCCACTGTCAAAGTACACGGCAGAAGAGAAGAATGATATATACCCGCCAGTGCCGTAATATACCCAGATTTCTTGACCATCCACGTTTTTGAACACCTCGCGAGGACCTGGTTGTGTTTCGACCTCAGGGCTCGGCAGAGATCTGGACATAGGATCAGCAGGATTATGAAGTGGGTCTGGAGTACTGACGCACGACTGTGGTGTGTTGACCTTCCGTTTGACCGGTCGGTCAGGGTCCCAAGAGTAGGCGAGCGTAGGGTTAGGATCATATACAGAACTAGCATCGACGGCTTTCAGATACCACATTAAATCAATGAAATGAGAAGAAAGGTAGTAAGACGCGTCGCACTCACTAACAATGAGAGCTGCGCCGCGCCATACCCCCTGAACGTCCACCGTGTCATACCGTAGGAGTGGTCCCGTCATCAGCTGCAAATAAGGATTCATGTGGGCAACCCTCAAGTTCTGCGATCGCTGGACGGCACTCATGCGCGTCAACTGCGATACATTAGTCGGTACGGGCGAGTGGAAGGCAGACTCCCTCAGCGTTGCGTTTGACCACATGCTGCCTGGGGAGACGCTAGGGAGTCCATCTGTGCGCCCATTACTGCGCGACTCGTCTCTTGGAGGTGGTGTAGTTGCTTTCCCGTTGACCGGTGGCTGTGGGGATGGAATGGAAACACGCAGGTTGGGTAATGCCCCTGGGGGAGGCTCTTGCATCGGGTGGGTCTCCTCCACGGGCTGGAAGCGGCCATCTGGCCCCCGCTGAGGAGTGCTCCATCGCTCAAATTCCTGCGCAAGTCAATGCATGAAGGAGTGGGCTGTCCGCAATGAATTTGGAAACACTTGCTTTCTTCGCTTGGTGTCTTGCGTGCCACCCGGCGTTATCCATGTGAGACGAATAATATGAATATCAGGGAATTCAAGAGAGTCCGTAGAGATACGATATTGGAGAAGATGGAAGCAGGAGCAAAGGTTGATGATAGGGCCAGCTCATACGAAATCGAGACGTGCAGCACTGGACGGTCCAAACATACTGAACTCGGCGCCTAAGTACGGGGATCATTGATTCGGACGCCATCTGGGAACTGATTAGATTCAACCCTGATCCAGTGCAGTGTCACGGTGCCGTCTGTGACTGACCAACATCTCTGCTTATTCTGCAAGGTCATAATGGCGCATGCGACTTTAATTGCAGGGTTAGTGTGATGTTGTCTACCATGATCTGCTGCATGGCTTGGTTATCGGAAATTCTGGTGACTAATGAGTCTCCAACCGTAGATGTTTGTTCTGCAAGATTATCAAGGGTAGCCGTGCAGGCCATTGAGAACGCTGGTCACGCTAACAAAAATGAGCCAGGAGAAATACCCAGCTTCAAGGTGCTCGAGACCGAACGCAGGTGCGCCATGAATCAATGACCAACGCGACGCTGCGTTGATCCCGCACTGGGACGATCCAGCTATGCCTTCCTTGACATCTCCCCAGTCTCAGAAGGTCACACGCAGGTGATCCCCAAATGTGGGCAACTTTTATTTTGAACGGCCGTTTGATAGACCGATGTGTTTAATTGCGTTGGCTTGCAGACCATGCCAAGACACTCGCCGAGCTGCCCGACGAGTACTTGCAGGACATAGCCCCAGCGGTCAAGAAAGTCGCATTGGCCACGGGTGCAGAGCAATACAACATCCTGCAGGTCCGTGAATCTAGTCGAACCATCTGTGCTAGATTCTAACCGATATATTTATTCCCCAGAACAACGGGAAGTTGGCATTCCAGGTGAGTGATCGACCCGCTGAGTCGGAGGCAATTCATCCCACCTCGCTCCCGTTGAATTTTTGTCGCGTAGCACGTCGATCATGTCCATTTCCATGTCATTCCCAAGCCCAATGAGAAGGAGGGTCTCGTCTTGAGCGTCAATGACAACTGGCCGACGAGGCGGGCCAGTAAGGAGGAACTGGCGGCTACCCTGGAGAAGATGAAAGGCAGGCTGTAGCATGCCACCTTGCACGCCGTCGTCCCATCTTTGTATAGATCCAATCCGCATGCAATGTATATTATATTGATAACGATCAACCCATGCTACCCACTATGTTCTACCGCAGTGGTGACGAGCTTCCCATCTTTGATGACCGTCAGGAACATCTCCGGCACGGGGTGCTCGTGGAACACGCCTTCCTCCTCGCCCTCCACCGGTAAGCTGATGTTGATCGCGCTACACTTCGCAGTCGTGATCTCGACGCCGAGACAGTCCTTGGACAGGTAGATTTGCCCCGAATCTGTCGAGTCCAGCTGGATTGTCGGTGCAGACCCGGTAATCTGCAATGCAAACGACGGGCAGTTCATGACCGAGACTGACGAGATGACCGACTCCACCAGCACGGAAGTTTTGATGCAGTTCACTGTGGCAAAGTCCGTCTGAGCTTCAGGATACGCCCGTGTATAATACCGCATACCTAGTGTAACCGCATTGACCTTCCCCTTGACGATTAACGTCGAATTCTTGCAACCGAAGAGGTTGACCGTTTGGCTGAGCTCCACGTTCTCCACTGCCAAGGCGGACTCGTTTTCTTGATATTCCTAACGACCACAGTCGCTGATTTGATCAGGATTCCGGACAGACCGAATCATACGACTTACAATAACCCATTTGTTGCCCTCGAGCGCGAACTTGGCGGGTTTCTTGCCCATCAGCGCCTGCGGTTTGCTGGGTTTAATTGGTCGTTTTGCACCTGAAGTATAGTTGGTGCCGCTGGGCAAAGTGCAGCTCGCAGCAATCTTACCTGTAGGACTTGTGCTGCTGGGAACGGTGCTGCCGGCCCGCAGTGCAGGATTCTTATGCGTCATCTGGCTCTTATCGACCTTGCGCAGCCCCTTCGTTACCTCCTCTCCGCGATTGAGCTCAGCGAATACAGCGGCGACGCCGCCAGCTGCTGCGGGAACAGATGCTGGTGCTGGCGGTGCTGCGGGGGCTGCGGGGGGCGGTGGTGGAGGCGCTGGAGGCAGTGGGACACCTCCTGATGCTTGTGGAGAGAATGCATGATATTGCTCTACTGCGATACCCTTATACGTGGAGGTGCTAAATCAGTTTCCTTCTATGTCCTGACCATTCGAGTAGTGCTTACCTTAGGGTTCCACACAAGACCGGTCGTGTGGTATTCCATGATGTATTTCCGTAATTCCTCCAAAAGTCCGACGTACCCTCTGACCCATTCTGCGTGTTTCGCGTCCCTAGACGAGATGCGTGAAGAACCTGTACGAGCGAAAATGATTGAAGGACATACTTCTCCTTGTATTCCTTCAGAACGCGGTTGCCGTAGAACTGCATTGAGTCCTTGATATCAGCAACATAGGGACCGGGTTTAGGTTCCTAGGTTCGCGAATGCGTCAAGCCGGGTCCGCGCATTCGTGACTATACACTTACTACAGTGACCCACCCAACACACGGGGCGCCCTCCGCGACGGTCGACAGGTGCGTGAACCAATCTCGATCCTTCCGATTCGCCTCCTTCGCGCGCGAGATCGCCTCGATGTCCTTCTGCAGCGGCGCAAGCAGCGTCTCGAATGCCTTCTGGTCGGGCTTCTTGCACGACGCGGCGACCAGCAGCAGGTCGCGCAGGTCCGCAAACTCCTTCTCCAGCAGTGCAACCTGCGCGCGTGAGCGTCGTGGGATGAGTGGGCACCGAGCGCACGTACCTGCTCAATCACGGACGCGCCGGCGAAGCTCTTGGTAAGATCCACGAAGGGCTTGAGCTTGCCGTCGATGATCAGCTCGTCGTAGGCGACGACCGACTTCGGGTCCTCCGCTAGGGTTGGCGCGGGCGGTGGAACGACGGTCGCGGGCGGTGGTGGCGGTGGTGGTGGCACCGGCGTTGGCTCAGAGGACGCAGATGTATATTGGGTGACGGAAGTACCCTGCAGCTGCGTCAACGCGGACTGCGGGAGGTTCGCGAGGTCCTCGAGGCGGGAGGTAGCAGCCTCTAGCCTGTGGGTGCGCGTGCATGAGGGTAGAATCTAGCTGCGGGGTATGGGCACCAACCTCTTGATGATGGTGGCCAACGAATGAAGACCACCTGTAGATGCCATGCTCGTCCTTCTTTGCCAACGCGACTGTTAAAGATAAGAAGAGAAGTTAATAATTTCGAGAGAAAAGGCACTCGTGTTTTGGTGCAGTGCTGCAGCCGAGTCGCAGCAACACAACCGGCCCAGGCCGACATCATACACGCTTGCCATATCGAGACAGGCCTGAAGTTCTACCTTTTGAATCAGGGAGAAGGCAGGAGTTGCATATATTCCTCTGTGGTACCCGAAGACAATTATAATAGGATTGCCTTCTAGTATGCATAATAACAGTAAAGACAGAAGTCGAGAAACAATACACAAAGATGTTGGACTGAGCGTAACAAGCGACGCTGCCTGACCATTCGATTTGTCCTCGCAAGTACAGCCTACTCTGAGGCTGCCTTTTGTTTAGCCTTCTTCTTCCTTCGTCGTTCTCTCTCGATTTGAAGCGCCCTTTTCAACTCCTGCTTCGAAAGTCCAGGATTATACATGGCGTCCAACTGATAGAAGATGGACCGTCAGCTTCTCCACGATCCCAAACATGTCTGTCTCATGCCTTATCAAGTAACACTCGCCTAGCGAGCTTTCTGTTCTGTAATAGAGAGCGCGTTTCCTGACATGACACTCGGAAACCGGTCGGTTTGTGCAGGAGCTGCACATTGTTTTCCGTTTTATTGATCGACTGGCCACCGGGGCCGCTACCTGTTCGACATTATGCTTAACATACAGGCATGCACTGGCATTGATGCGAACACCACCTCGAACGAACGATTCCTCAAGATCCTCCTCCTTCAGTTCCGGGACAACGCGCTGCTTGCTGGCTTTCTTTAGCTGAGAATAATAGCGCGGGACCCGGGGAGCAGCATCGCTCTCCTTCGTGCCCTCAGCTGCAACGGCTGAACAACTTTGGTGAATAAGACACGCGATCCACGCCCGCGACAAGAATGCGGAAGGTATTAGAGGTGGCAGAACACTTACCATGTTTGTTGCCTTTTCCTGGCGCTGCGACTGGACTCCTCTTGGGGAGGCCGCTTGACGGAATCGTTCGACCCTAGTTCCGTGTGCTCCGTAAAACGTATCTCTGAGAAATAGTGAGAGGCTGTTTCTCTGAAAGTACTCGTGAGTACTCACTGAACCTTGCGGCTGAACCGTCTTCGGTTCCATCATCCAGCTTTACGGCCTGGACAATGTTCTTACGCAAGACATCTGCAATTTCTTGCACAAGCGAGATTTTCCCCTCAAATACTTTGGCATCCTCCGGTGGGGGATATGTCAAAATCTCGGACCGTATCTTGGTACGAAAAGCTGTGAGACGGATGAGTTTCGCCATGCTACAAAATCTGATTGCCGCTTACCTTGAGCGACCTCTGGATCCCCAGCAAAGGTTGCGGAAGATGCGCGGAGTAGTGTGCGATAAGCTGAGCGCGCAGATGTAAGGAGGGCGGGAGATACGGACATGCCCAGCGGTGGTGAAGGAGCTGGCACGAAGGACGCGGCGGCGGTCCGTGCATGCGGAAGAAGGATCACGTGCGGAGGTTCGCGAGATCTGCGCGAGATGGGGCGCAAGACGCGTTCCTTATATGGTCATTGCTGTCGAATGAGCCTCTGCAAAGGCGACGCACTCGACGACCGACCATTCGATGTCTCTCCCGTCTTGCGGTACAAAATATTCGGAAACAGCGTCCGAACAGCCTGAAGATGTATCTCAGACCCAACGGAAGAAGGAAGGTCCGCCAGAATTCAACGAAACATCGCCAAAGAGGGAGAGATGTCGACAAGCTGCCTTCCGGACGTTCCCCGCGTATGTTCCTCCTAGAAAATGCAGATGTTGACCTCACACTCCCCCACCTTGACACTCTGGTTGGTTAGACGGGGGAGAACGACGCGTACATGGCGCGAGCGAGCGTCCCTAAGATAATGGCTCACGTGACACGCGATTACAGTTTGTTGAATGCTTTCGACGCGCCTCGGAGTCTGAACACCTCTTCAACCCGGACCACCACCATCCCTCGCCCCTCTTTCCCGCCACCTCGTCCGTACCTCTCTATCGACACCAGCTGCACCTAGCAGCCATCCTAAGCATTCAACAACTTCTATTCAACACTCGGCTAGAAATGTCGGCCGCAAAGAAGACTGCTGCGTCCAAATCCAAGAAGGCGGCCTCCCGCCCTGCGCCCACTCACCCTAGTTGGATCGATATGATCAAGGTTGGTCTCTCAGGACCTTTTTAGACCTCTCACTGCATCTCCCGTCTCCGCCACGGTCGACAATACCCTCTGCCGGGCGTCGTTCACGGCGGTCGCCAAAAGGGGTAGGGCACTGGGCGCGATCTTCGCCGCGCACCACCGCTCTTCGTCATTCCTTCCCACTTGTTCCTCTGCGCTTACCAACACAAACTATTGTCCATCCTTCGTCATTGTGGGCTATATTGGCTGTTACTGACATGTTTGTGGCTAAATTAGGAGTGTATCACCGCTCACCCCGAAGATGCCCGCGCTGGCGTGTCTCGTCCTCAAATCAAGAAGTAAGTGTCGGAGGCGGCTCCAATGGCTTCAGCAAGCCTTATCACTTGTTTCAGGTTCGTTGAGGAAACATACAGCATCGAATTTGGTAATGCGCAGACCACTCAGCTCAGCAGGGCTATAACCACTGGTGCTGAGAAGAGCCTTTTCGTTCTTCCTAAGGGTAGGCTTGCAACTGCGTATCTTCTCATTCAACAAACACTAACATGGCCATGCTCTCAAGGCCCTTCCGGCCGGGTCAAGCTCCCTCCTAAGACCAGGGTTATGGAGACTTCCGATACCAAAGAGGTGTGTACAGCCCCGTTCCATGTCACTGCGATTAAGTAATACGACGGTCAGAATAAGCCCGACGCTAAACCTGCCAAGGCTGCCGCAAAGCCTGCAGCTAAACCAGCTTCAAAGTCTGCTGCTAAGCCTGCTTCAAGGCCTGCGGCCAAGTCCGCTGCTGCGAAGCCCAAGGCTGCCGCCGCTAAGCCGACGAAAGCGGCGACTGCAAAGAAACCGGCTGCCACCGCTAAGAAGCCGGCTGCTCCGGCTAAGTCGACCACTACGGCTAGGAAGGCCACCGCGACCAAGGCGAGGGCTGCTCCAGCAGCGAAGAAGGCGGAAATCAAGAAGGCGCCTGCAAAGAAAGTTGCACCTGCCAAAAAGACTACCACGTCGAGCAGGCGCGATACTGCTAAGAAGGTTGGTTGTTACCTCTTTCTACCTCATTGGATGCTCATTTTATTTCACCAAGGCGATAACTGGCAGGACTGCTACCGCTAAGGCGAAGCCCGCCGCAAAGGCTAGGCGGGCGTCGACCACCGCTGCCAAGCCGGCTCAGTCCTCCCGAAGCGCGAGGGTGAGTGACCTCGTTTTGTTTGCTGTCCGTGAATGTTGAAGTCAAATTCTTGCAGGCGGCGAAGAGGGCGTAAATGCGTCTTCTCCATATATATCTCTATCTTCCGTATTATCGTCGCGTACTCGTGTCTTACATCTCGACTTGACTCTAGTTTTACTCATCTCGATCTGTGTGTCCAACCTATTGTGTGCGACTGCTTATACCTTAGCATCGCACGGTAGTCCTCTTGTGTCTCCTTATTTCTCCTCATATCGTATGTAAGACGTTCACGTGCGTGCTCCTCCGCTCTTCCTTAGTGGTGTTAGGCCAGTGGGGGATGGTGCGGGTGCGGCTGGCAGGATGCAGTGGTACTGTCAGAGCGACATCGCTGGATGTCCATTTCTACGTATATTGTATAAATTATGAGCGGGAGCGGGAGCAGGAGTGGGAGTGGATCTCTCGATATACTAGAACATTGTGTTAGAGACAACTGCTGTTGGAAGGGAGCGACACGGGTGTCTGTCATGTGTTGCTACCTTCTCCCGGCCATACTCCAACATAAGGGTGCAGGTTGGACCTAGTCTCGGGGGTGAACGCTTCAAGGTAATTGTTTGTTTCATGTCGGCAGCCGGTGTTAGCTCTCTTGTTGGGATACAATGTGATGCATATGCGCGATAATTCGCCGTCCTCGTGTTCTGGGCAGAAACAGCATATTCAGTAGGTATACATGCATGATTAATCGTACCAGCCTCGGTATCTGACCGTTGTGCAGGATAGTCATTACGGCCATCTCGTCAGGTAATGCACCATCGCTGGTCCGATGCAGTGAACTCCCCATTGACAATCCCAGACGCGTCTCGTAATTTTGCAATTGTGTGTTCATCTGGCTCACCATCGATATAGTTCATATTCCATCCGCGAGCGAGGATGGTCGCGTGCAGAACACCTGCGTTGTCGCCTTGTATGGACACCACGGCGACCCGAAACGAATCGTCGGGACTGGAGTCGTCGAATATGAGCGCAGCTCGGGAAACCTGTCCAAAGCTTGCACAAACATCCAACCAAACCCGAGGTGGCGGGTCATCATCATCTGGGGAGCCGCTGATGCGGTAGACAATTCCTCCGTCTGAACACCCGATGAAGAGACACTCGCGAAATAAACGCGGCTGGGAAGTGAAGAGCCCGTAAGAGGCATGCAGGCCCTCAGAGTCAACGGACGCCATTGCGACGTTTCGGAACTGGAAGGACGCCTGATGGGATAGGTACGACGCCGGGGCCCACCTGAAACCGCGCTCCTGCAGTCTCGCTCCGTCATTGAAGCGGAGGGCAGAGCGTCCTGTGGTGAAAATGATGGTGGCAGGAAACGTGCCAATAAGGAGATAGAGCTGTCGCATGCGTTTGGCGGAGGAGGAGTGGACGAGCACGGACCGTACGTCCAAGCCCAGCAAGGACGCCAGACATACAGGTTCATCCTCGGCCTTGCTAGTAGCACGATATTGGAGCGAGCCGGACATGCGCGCTAACTTGTAAATGGGCCGTTCAGTTGGTTCTGGATCTTCTAAGGAATGCTGGGACGGTGAGAAGGAGCGAGGGATGCGGTCCTCTAATGCTCTGAGCACACCATGAAGACCGTGTACGACGTGAATGTTATTCCTGTGAGGACTGGCCTCGTTCTGCTCCACGTCGAGCGAAGAGTGGGCCACCACACCGTCTGCGAACTGGAAGTACAGCTTGTCCCTTCCGCTATTCTGCACAAAAACAGCCTCCTGGAGAGTCCAAAGTCTCCGCATCCAGTCAGAACATAGGATTCTGAGACCTTGCTCGATGATGGAACATCTCACAGAGGCCTTTTCAAGTTCCGCATCCAATACAAGCACCTGATAGGCCTCGGAGAATATCTTCCCGAGTCTCGTAATGGCGGTCTTTCGATGTTCTCGCAGTGCTGGATCGACAGGGATGCATAACGTATCAATCCACACGGAGGGGGAAGCGCACTTGTTACTATCGAGTAAAGAAATGCTGGCCGCAATATACGAGAGCTGACATTGAGGTAAGGCGTTGTCCCTGGGATTTCCCAAGCCGTGAGACCAGACGTGGGAGATGGCGACGTACGGTCCATCATCTACGACTTCAATATGAATGTCTTCATCAGAGGTACTGATTTTCGGCACACGAATGCGAGGGACTCCGCCATTCGCGAGGATGGTGGCCACAACGCCGCCATCGACCTGTATATGGGGGCAAGTACATCCCAGCCGAACATGCCGCGTCACATAGGTCTCTTCGTCAAGACAATCTGCATTGCAGACAGTGTCGGTGCATTCGGAGTGGTCGACGGTTGTTGCAGACCGTTCTAGGGCTGTAATAAGAAAGATCGTCTCCCCAATTCCTGCGCTGCACAACATGGATACGTCGCTTTTACACCAGCCTCTGTCAAGTAGATGGCGCACTGCGCCTTTTTCTAGCGTTATACTGCAGCTTGGGCCGAAGGGAGTGTAATTGTACAGGGCAACATCACTGCTGTTTTCTGGGAGATACCACAGGAACATGGAATGACAGAAACTCCTGGCCATGACGATCGAATGAAGGACTTGGGCTTCGTCAAACGAAAGTTGTCGAGGGTGCCAACCGAACATGAAATCGTCCATGACATCCAAATATCCATGCATTCTCCGCGAGCGGGCATCAAGAATGGCTCTATCCACGGTTCCAAGGCGTCCTGCCCAAGAAGCGGTAAACTCTTTCAGAGGCGCCGTCGAGACAATCTTGCTGTGGACGAAATGCGACACGTCAAGAGACATGTCGCAGATCCCGAACATCTCTCCAAGAACGCCGAAGAACAACCATTCTTGCAGCAGAGAGATCTGCTCACCGGTCGAGGCTTCTTGTTGGTCTAGACGATGTAATCGAATCTCCTGACCTTGTTTGTACTCAAGAACTTCCCAACCAATCCGGGCAGGGAAGTCAGGGAACCCAAGAGTATCGTACGGTGCAACACAAGCCAAATGGGGAACTTGAGTCGAGGGATAGATGTGCTTATATCTGTTGGGTTCCAGATATTGGTCTGGAGGAAAGGCCTTCATATAGACAACGCTAGATAGGACATACAAGACATTCAATGTATTGTAATTCGAGGAAGTGAGGATAGATGACGGCAAACCTGTATCTGAACCAGAGCAAAGTCAAGAGACGCTCGGCCCTGCCATTATGTGATGATCGATGATGTTGTGATGATGAATTGTGCTTCTCTAGGGCTACGAGTAAGCAAACTGCACGTATAGAACTCACCTTATGGTCTAAGAGATGGCTCTTCGATTCACAGGTGTGAATGTGTTGATCATGCGCTAATCGTAAATAGCACAGCGGTGTCCTGTTTCCCATGGTTCCATTGTGATTCGGACGTGAAGCAGCTGCAATTAGAGGCTTGTAGATACTTAGATCCCGTCATGGCACACTACTAAGAGGTGTAATGGATTTCGTGGTCGAAAACTTTGTCCGGGCCGGGATCTGGAGGATCAGTCCACCAGTCTGAGCTGTACAATCAACAGCGAGTACAATTGTCAATTCAAAGGCTGATCAGTATGTTGACAGTCACTTTGACATGGCAGGCTTCTACATCTGCTGCGGATACATATATCCAGAGGAAGGAGCAGTTGAAACAGGGGTTGGAGTGGAAACAGGGGTTGGAGTGGAAGCCTGGAGGGGAAGCGAGGTTAATCATTGCGAGCACAAATGTCTAACTCTACACAATTTTCTACAGAATTAATGTACACGAAAACGAGTACGCCTTGCCACGTGGATATAGTTCCACTCTAGCGACATGGGAATATAAAGCAGCACAACGAAAGCAGCCCGCGTGAGGGGTACAGAGGTGGGACAGAAAGGGGACACGTTCAAGGTACGCACAGCGCTCATCCTTGTACATGGATATCTCCGCGGGGCAGACGGGGCTCACCAGGGATGTAGGGTTCACCCATCTCTGTCCTCATGAGGTCGTTGATCCACGCGCCCTTGGGGTGTAGATTGACGCCGCGGCTGCAGTACATGACCGCGAGGTACATCCATGCGGCGGCGTTGCCGACGGTGCTGACCTCGTCGCTGACGTGCGTGCGCGCGTACTCGGACATCTCTTGGTATAGCTCCTCGTCCGTGGCGAGCGCGTACATGTGCTTCGCGACCGCATCGTTGTCACCCGGCGTGCACAGGAACCCGCTCTTCTCGTGCTCGATCTGCAGAGGAATGCCTCCCGTGCGGCTCGCGATGACGGGCTTGCCAGCATGCAGCGCTTCCGAAACCTTCACCTCAAATCCCTCACGCGTCGACAACTGCAAAGCAAATCGGGAATTCGCCATCAACACGTTCAACACTGCACGCCACATCAGTACACGAATACTAAGACCGAAAGAAGGGATAGGAAGAGTGAGGTACTCACGCTGATCGCTCGGCGGGCAGCGCATGACGATAATATCCTTGAAGTACTCCTTGTACGTAGTGCTGACGAGCGACATGATCTGATCGTAGATGATGCTGGCATCGGGGTCATCGACTGCACCATGTCCGCAAACGAGCAGCTGCGGAATCTCTTCGTGCATGATGGGGTTTTCGCCCTCGGCGCACATGCGGCGGAAGCGCGCGTACGAGTCGAGGACGTTCGGAATACCCTTGGACGGGTCGAAGCGTGCGATCTGCACGATGTACTCGCGCGCGGGCCATGCGAGCTCGTGCATCTTCTCCTTCGCACAGAGACTGCGGAACTCGCCCATGTAGTACTGCGAGTCCCAGGGATCCAGGTGCTTATTCAGTCCATCCAGCCTGTTAAAACAATGTACGATAGGACGCATGACAATTTGAGATGAGTACGTACCAGTCTGTTGCGGCACCCAAGAGCGCAAGCTTCTCCAGCGGGACGTCACTCGGCACAAACTTGTTCACGGGGTGGCTGATGAACATGTCGGCATGCTGGATGTTGTTCCACAGGTACTTCCAGACCTCCTCCTGCGGCGATCCCTTGTTGTGCACCAGGTCGCTGCGGATCTCGATATGCGAGCGGTAGATGATAGGCAGATCCGGCCGGACACGCTTGATCAGAGGGATGAGGCCCGGCATCTGTGGGTCATCTGGGCGAAGCGTTCTGTAGTTAACCCCGCATTCGGCCAAAAGAAAGCGGATCTCGCGCTCACCGACAAACGCGATGTCCACGCCGCCCGGGGCAAGAGGGCCGCCTTCAGCCGTCCACCGCAGGCCGTTCTTGAAAATCCACGCATCGAAATTGTCCTTAGCCTCCTTCGTGAGGCGCAGGTTCGGATCGGCGACACCCTGAAGGATGTTGTGGTTGTTCTTCGTCGTGCGGAACACCGACGGCGATGGGTTGGGGACATACCTGGGATTACCACGTATCAAAAACCACTCGATCAGAGAAAGGCGTGTGTTATGCCAGACGTCCCCGCCGACTGCGGAGATGAGTGGACACGACTTACCAAGCGGCGTCCACGTCCAGCAGGGTGAGGAAACGAATGAGCGCGTGACGCATCTATCATGGCAGGAATGTTCTCAGCGCCCCACATAAAGCGCTCTAGTGGAACGGCACTCACGAGCGCGACACCCCCTGACCAGGCCGATCACAGAAGTTCCGTAATGGCATGAACACAAACGCGAGAACGCAAGCACGCGATCAATATCCGCATGGGAGGAAGGCACTAACCCCACACTCACCGCCTTGGGGCGTCGAAGAAAAGAAGCCCATCTTGATCTTCTTGTCCCGGAGCTCATCGGCAAGTTTGATCACAGAGTTCCACGTTCCCTTACTGTTCGTTGTCGTCTTGTACTCGTCAATGTCGTCTACGAGGTGGATCTTTCCACCCGAGTCGACGGCCACCTGGTTGCGCGATGCGATGCTTAGACGCGGGTTGTTCCCTGGACCGAAGTACATGATGCACTTGCGCGCTGCGGAGTCGGCCTGCTCGTCGACCGTACGCGGGATTGGGAGGCGCTGGTTGACGTTGGTCGTGAGCTTGTTGTGGTCTTGAAGCTGGGACGGGTCGTAGTACACGGTGGGGGTCTCCGCACCCGAAGGCACGTAAGAACCGGTTGTTGACGAGATACGGTGCTTGATGTTCGGGCGCGTGAGCGAATCTGTATGGAATGGCTTGATGTTGAACACGATGGGGACGATGTCCATGTCGAGCCAGAGATGGGTGCACAGATTCGGAGCCTGAAAGGCGGGATGAGCCAATTCAACTACTGAGGGCTGAAAGTGCATCGTACGCACCTCCTTGAGCAGGCTGAGAGTCACTCCAGCACCAAGAAACTTGCACATGTGCTCGGTGGAGAACTTTCGCAGCGTCTCCATGACATGCTGCTCGATAGCGGTAGATTGGGCATCGGGATCGTTCGCATCATAGGGGACGACGGTGGAGGCGAAGTCCGTGTTGTAGACAGAGTCGTGAACGGAGATGGCGACTTCGAAAGCGGTGCTGCTGTTGATGACGGCGCCCGCTATGCCCGCCCACATCGGCTGGACATGGACGGTCGGAAGCGGTCGCGGATGATGACGACAGGTGTGCGTACCTGGAGATGGGCGTAGCCCGGCACGCTGGGACGCCTGCCAGAGACGGCACTGGATAGCCTGCGCCTGACGACATCTGAGGACTTTGAGATGAACTGGTGGTTGGGAGGAGCCATGGGGCGGAGGGGAGAGGGAGAAAGAGCACGCAGACCACGGAGGTTATGTAGTCTGCGGATGTCGGTGAGACGGGGGGACTGGAGTGGGTACAGGATGGAATATTAAAGGGTGGCGAGAGAATACCTGTCTCGTTTTTGAATCAGACGAGCGCGAAGCGTGTCTAAGGCGCGGACACGGTTGCCTTGCCGCGCTCCCACTGCCGTCTATCAGGTCACGTGCCGTCTCCTTACCGCGCCCCGGCGAGCACCGCCCAGGCCCTCCCACTGGCAGTCTCACCCCGTCCCGCACTGTCTATCCATCCATCTATGAGCGCGCCGTGCGCGGAAGATAGAAAAAGCCAAAAAAACAGACACAGCCCGTCGCTCTGACAATCTTCCTCCGAAACAACCAGACCCTCGGCAGGAACAGCGAGTGGTAATAGCCCGCTGCAACGTGTTCCCCGTTCGATTCTTCCAGCCCTGTTTCGCACTGCGAATGGTAACTTGAGCACCGCTAGACCGCCAGATGCACCGACATGACGCACCCATCTGTCCGGCATCCTGGCTGAAGAATGTTCACTCCGGCCAACAGCGTGGGTCATGGGTCATCCAGGAAGGCGCGTGTAGCATCAGGGCGGATGCAGGGATGCATCGTGTGCATCCCAGTTACGTTGGCCTTGATCCTGCGAGTGGTCAGGGAAGTACACAGCTGCCATCAGACGATGACGAAGCGCTGCTCAGCTGCATGGGAAGCTTCTTGCGTCGCTATACACGTACGCGTAACGTTTGGGCTGTAGGTACGACCGCCCAGTCAGAAAGAGGCCACTCAGTGTGAGGATTCAACGTTCAACCTCCGATGACCATGCTGCATCGCGAGATAACCCCATGGTATTGGGAAGCGAGAAGAAGAAACAATCCTTGTGAAACTAGTGCGGCACCTGATCAGACCAACTTTGTTCCTCGTCGGAGGAATCAACTCTCTCGTATGAGCATTGGGATTCAACATGCGCTGAATGGACAGGCAAAGACGTGATGAGAATGCCATACACAGAGGTACTTCGATGGAAGACAAGGCACCCGAAGAGTGAGAGCGGAAGAGATTCGAGTGAGACGCATAGCATGGCAGCGTTTATAATGAGGACCCAGGGTGTGAACAGGGAGCCGAGAATGACAGTGAAGAAGACGAAGCTGTGAGAAGACGCACTGAGAACGTAAAGAGAAGTACGGGGAAGTAGGAATCTTCGCCATCAATTTCCAAAGGAGCCAATTTCGTAGCGGGCTAACGCAGTCGAGGGACGACATGAGCATGGGATGCAATGAGAATTTGAGCCGAGCGTACTCAAAGTGTATTATTCTTTTCCCGAAGCCAGTTATTAAGGAGCCCTGGATAGTCCTGGACTTGTGTAAAATGCTTTCAGAAGAAGCGGATTGTATGTGTGTGGCGCCCGCATGAGTGAGAGTCAAGATGAAGGCGCCCACCGAACGCGTCTGTCACATTCGACACGACGCGTCACACTCTGTGTGACGACAGTCACCCCGAGCCTCGAGTCTGGCACGTGACAAGAACTGCTCACCGCCACTGCCAAACAGCGACCACGAGCGGTCCCTCACCACTCTGGACGATGTCGAGGCCCTCGAGGCCGTATCGCCCTCGACCACCATCAGCGTACTCTCCTTCGGCAGCCCCATCGTTCGTTTCCCATGCATCGCGCCCATCGCTGTCGCGGTCCTCGTACCCGTCCTTCCTCTCTCTCTATGAAACGGCCCGCGTGCAGCTCGCGTGTGCTGCACAAGGCCTTCTCGACGCATTCCGCTGGGATATCGTAGTTCGCCTCGTTGCAAGGTACGTCGTCTATCCTGACGGAGGGTTATCTGTGTATCTCATTCATGATCCATCCTCATCCGTGATCCATCCGCTAGCGACGCCGAGATCCGCGCAAACGTGTCCAAGTCCATGCTCCTCAATTCCATATCGCTCGCATCTATCTATGTATTTGAGCTCCTCCTCTTCCCCCTGGCCCGAGACCAGCGGAAATGGCTACACCGGAACGTCGGCTGGGCGTACCAAGTGCTCTGGCTGCTTCCGGTCGTCGGCGTGTCGTTGTACCTCAATGTATGTCTGTACAGTTGCCCTTGTGTGTTCTATGCTCTGAAAATGATGGCCCTCGCCGTTTGCGATTCCACGCAGAGTACGTTCTGCACGCTGATCGCGAAGCGCACCTTCGTGTTGCAGCATGGATCGCGTGCCGCCGCCGCCGCCGCCGCAACATACACCGGCATGTTGAACGCACTCGCGACATCGGCATACGGCGCCATCATGGTCGTTACATCGCTCGTTGTCTCGTTCGCGCTGGGGTACATCCCCGTCCTCGGCCCGTGGCTCGGGTTTACGTTCGCGTGCTGGGTCGATGCGTGAGTAGGTGTCCTCCTTCCCGCTCGACAAGTCATCGTTGAGTCGGAGCTGTGCGTGATAGATATTATTGCTTCGAGTGCGTAATCCCTATCGTGTACAATGTTGTGAGTGTTGATCTGTGTTAGTTTCGTCTGGATCGCCCGCGGGCTCTCGCTTTCTCGGAGGATTCGACATCTGGAGGAACGCTGGGCCTATTATTTCGCCTTCGGTTAGTATTCCGGCAGTTCCATGACCGATGCTGCTTGACTCAGGTTCGTTGTCCAGGTCTGCCTATCGCTGCGCTTTGCATGTGGGGCGGCAGCCTCGCGAATGCAGCATTGTTCGCTCTCCTATGGCCTTCAGTAGGCACCACCATCTATCTTCACCGGTTTAGCTCTAACCCGAGTCGGCACGTCCACAGTTCATCATCATGGCGATGCACGCTCGCCCGGTTCCTCTCGACCCCTTTAACCCCGCATGGCCGCGCGCGCACGGCGAGCAGGAAGCCGAGATTCGGCACCCGTCGCCGTTCGTGCCCATCCGGCTGCCGATCTTTGCGCCTGTGCTGTGGTTAAACGACGGGATCGCACGCGCTCTCAGCGTCGGTGGTGGGGCAGGTGCCAGACACAGGCGAGTGTCGAGTGACAGTGCAGAGAGTGTCGAGGAGGGCGCGGCAGTGCAGATGGGTATGGTCGGTGGTGCGCCAGTTGGGTCTGTAAGGACGCGGACGCGCGTGGGGAGTGGGGCATATGCCCCTAGCAGACGGAAGTTTGATTGACGTTGTTCAGTTTCATTGTCACTTGGCATTCTCATGCGTACTCTTCGGTCTTGTGGGATTCATCACTCAACTTCATGCATCTCAACGTATAAGTATTTTATACCTTCAATATACCAAATCAATGTACGGCTACAAATTCCAGCGACAGGTTCAACCGAAGCCGGCCCACTCGATGGAGAAGTAAGAGACCTCTTGCTTCTCGTCGTCCCATCCGCACAGGAGATGCGCCTTCTTTGTTGCTGTGCCCAGGCGCCCGTGCGCGACGATCTCCATTGGCTTCATCGTAGCGATGGGCGAGTCGATCACGGATGCCACGAAGTGCGAGTGATATCGGAGCGGATCGCCTGTCGCAGGAAAAAAAACAAGGACATGTCAGCGTGGGTTAAATTCTCCAAGGAGAGGATAGACAGACCGGGGTACACCAGGAAGTCCCCGCCGAACTTGATGCCCCCGCCCATGAAGTTCCCCTTCTCCCACAAATCGCGGTAGACCCCGCACTTGGCGCGCTCGTACTGGTCGGATGGGTACGTCCAGATTCCTCCCTCCCGCGCGTCCTCAATCGTCGTGTACGTGCAGCCTGCGGGCTCGTACCACCGGAGAGCAGCCGAGCTGACGGGGACGCTCACCGTGTACGCCGGCGGGCCTGCTGAAGGCGTTGACGGCCGTTCCGCGGTGGGCGGGGGCGCGGCTTTCGCGTCGTCTGCGTCGGCACCCTCTCCCAAGGCTTTTGTACGGGCTGCGGCGGCTCGCCGGGCCTCGCGCTCTTTCCGCTTCTGCTGGGCGGCTTCTGTCGTGGCTGCCTTGACGGAGACTTCTGAGGCTTCCTTCGTTTCTGCGGCGGCGATTTGCAGGCGTGCCGAGGCTGCGCGGGCGGCGTTCCAGTTGTCGAGCTCGGCTTGGGTCGGCACGCGATGGGCGTGTGGGTCGTCGATGAGGACGGCTAGTTCTGCAGATGTAGACCGTGTGCAATTTGAGAACACGGCAATCGAAGGAAATTTGCGCACGTTTTTCGACTAGCAACACAACCTCCTCGGGAATAAGCAGCAGCGGGATGCCGAGAAAGACATTCTGCTGGGATAGATGCGGGAGCGTGCCTGTAAGGACACCGCAGATATGATGCTGGGACCTGAGGGTCGCGATATCTATTCTGCGCTGTTGATCAAGTTTTATGGGGTTTAAATAGTATGAAACTGACCGTCGACATCCCAGACATATGCTTTCTGGTTCGATACCCGCAGCGGTATTCGACGTTCAGTCATTTTGACAGTGGAGACACGGTGTGACGCGTGATCCTGGGACACGTCACAGTAAGCCACGTCGTGTCACAAGGATAACACCGCGACTGTCACGGCTTACGTCGCTCAACCCGACTTCGACGTCCACCACGCTGACCACTTACTTGTTCGCACTTGCTACCCAGGCTGGATGAGCGAGACATGTGAAGAGTGTGGGGAATCGACGGAATGGGACCAAGAGCTGGGCTCAGCCGTGTGCACGCACTGCGGGACACTCGCAGATCCGACGCAGAGCGTGCTCACCTCCCATCTCGAGCCAACAGATACCTCAGGAAGGGAGTACTCTTCTTGGAACACAGTGCAGGGGAGCACGTTGAAGGGCAGGAATGGATGGGCGCTTTCGGGTCAGAGTAAGGAGGCTCGGGATAGAAACAATACGGTGCGTTCCCCTGTTCCCCTCGTGTGCCGATTCCCGTTGAGGCACGGTAACGCAGATTGAGATCCATGGATTCATACGATCCGTCGCCACCAGGCTCGGTCACCCCGGTGTGACGTCTCGGGCTCAGGGAATTTTTGACCGAGCGATGCTGAAGGGCCAGTACCGGTGGGGCCGCAAAGCGAAGCTCGCCTCAGGGGCGGCAATTGCGGTTGCTCTGCGCGAATCCAACAAGAGCGACTCGCTGCGAGACATAGCGGTAAGTCACATTCACCACTCCATAGACCACTGCTTCCATTTTTCTAGCCCTTTAGGTGACGTATTGACTTAGTTGCACATGTACGCAGTATCTCTTGGAGGAGGCCCCGGTGTCGCTTTCCCGGTCGTTTATGTCCTTGATAACCCTGCTCAACCTCAATCTCACAGCGGCAGACCCGAGCGTGCATCTGCCCATGCTTCAATCACATTTACTATCTCTCATACAAGGATCGTCTACCGTGCTTCAGACCTTGCCGGTGAAGCTGAAGACCCCATTAACGTCTCTCGTTCCGCATCTACCTACCGTGCTTGGTGTTGCAACATCACTCGCGGCGCTCCTCTCCCGCACGAACACCCTCTCGAACGTGCCCACTCCACCGACCGCATGTGCGCTCTTCATCCTGGCCCTCGAGGCCGAACTGCTCTCCTCACTTCCGCATGCAGGCGCACTCGCGGAAGCACTCGGCGCACGCCTGGGTGCTGGCAAGGGTGTGGTCATGCAGCGCTACAAAGTCATATATGATCTCGTTGAGGAGTGGATTAAGGAGGTACCGTGGCTGGACGCACATGAACGGAAGAAGGGCGGCGTAGGGAGGTCGAAGGTTGCCAAGCGTGTCGTCGTGGCTAGGGGCCTGAAGGATGTCGTGCAGTTTCAGGAGGAGATATGGAAGAAGCGGCTGCAAGGGGAGGTTCGTCCAAAGTTGGAACTGCAAATATCTCAGGACGATGAGGAAGGGGATGTGGAGGACAAGGAGAACGACGCAGAGTTTGAAGCTGGTACGTCAGCTGCACCCCTCCACGTCTCAGACAAAGTAGACGTCAACTCCTCTATCCCCCGAAAGAAGCGGAAGACACAGCACAACCGGTCCATCGAGCAAGCTTCGCAGTTCTTACTGAATCCGCTTACCTCTGGTACGGACGCCTTTTCGTCCTCGAGCGCTGCTTTGGTTTCGTCGTCTTCAGCGCATCGTGCGGACGATGGCGTCGACGCGCCAGACCTCATGACACATCTGCTCACTGTGGACAGTTCGACCCTTGCGCACGCATTTGCGAAGGCGCCGACGCGGTTGCAGCTGCTGGCATCGTCGCGCGGTGGGACCGGAGAGGGGAACATTGCAGACGAGGAACTGTTCGCTGAGGGTGAATTGGAGGGGATTTTTCGGAGTGCAGAGGAAGCAGACATCATACGGGTAACGATGGGCTGGGACGCTGAGGAGGGGGTTGACGAGCCCGCGCAACCAGCACGCAAGAGGAAGAGGGCGCATTCGGATTCCGACGATGAGGGTGCAGCCTCTATGGAGTTGAACATTGGTAAGGCCAGGGGCTCGAAGAGAATCAATATGGACGCTCTGGCAAAGCTTTTGGACCCCTCTACTGCTTTAGGCGAAGACTTCGAGATGTACGAGAAGGATGACATGACGACCTTCGCGTTTGCCGATGGCGGGGAGGTCGTTGAGGAGTGGCGCCCGCTGTCTCCTGGAGGTGGCGGTTTTGACGAAGAACGATATGATATTTGAGACCTTCCTGCCGCTGATCCATTGTGTTGTAGAAGTGGGAAGAAGCACGACTTAAGGTGAGTACATATATCTGCATGCGTTTCGATATCCTCTTATTTCTACGCTAGGTCATCGGGTATGCATTTTCATCCACCGAATCATCGCGCCGCCGCTACCCTTGGTCCTCAGTCAGGACATCACTGGGTGTTCGGGCGCCGACTCAGTACATTTACTTGCGACAGACCTGTGGTACGCATGATTCGTTGGATGGTTGTCACTGGACTGAATGAGATGCCACTGCAGTGCACGTTTGGACGTGTGTCTCAAGGAATTTTGGTGCCGTACGCTGTGCTCGCGATTCACCGGGTACCGTATAGGTGCACCGTTCTGCCATACCGAAATGTATATCCAGGCATCTACAGAGATTTAATGCCCAGCACTATATATACATGATACAAAATATTAGACATAGTCAATTGTTTCGTCAATTCGACAGGTCGCAGCCCGCCACCCCTTTGCCTCGGATCCGATCGCATCGTCTTCAGTAAAGGTAAAGCGTCTCCCATCTCCATCTGTGACATGAGAACTCGCCAAAGGGGGGAATGGAACGAGTACTTGGATTTCGTCTACATAGAGCGCGAGACGCGATGCTGTTTTCTCTGGAAAGTCGACGCCGACTCCAACTGACAGCATTGTCAGGCCCTTCCCCATGATGCACCTCATTTGTAAGAATTGCTCGAGGGAAGAGATTGATCCCGAATGCAGAACATCTCCGAATCATCGTGGCACCGTGTTAAGGTCAGAGCTCGCAGTCGGCAGAAGTCGCCAGAGACTGTCACGAAACGGGGAATCCTTACCCTGAGTCGTGTCGTAAAAGTGCCCCAGCATTCCCGAGGCGTGAGTCTCGCTGATACAGATCCTTGTGACCCGAGAAGCGAGCGGAGGCACGTCCCAGAGATACAGCGCAGTATTACCAGGATTGAGTTGAACGTCGCTCACGCCTGCGAGGTTGAACGCGTTGCAGAATGCTTCAGCTAGCCTAATCTGTATGACAGGCACCACAATATCGTCGTTCTCCCATAGGACACGCATGTACAGAGGGGGGACCGTAGGCGGCAAGTGGGAAAGGCCGCCATTGCTGTGCTCTGGTGCCCAGCCACTTACTTGGACACCACAAGCCTCACGAACGTCGAAGTCGAATAATATAGCTTGGATTCGACGATTGTTGGTAGACCCGTTGACATGCGGGGTAATTGCGTCAACGACGTTTCTGATCTCCGCTGATGTGCTCCACATTGGCCTAACCGTAATGCGCATCACGACGTCTGGAGGAAGATCGATGGAGCTCATGAAGACGATGAAGAAATCCGAGTCTTCATCGAGATGCAGCAGACGTAGGGAGGGCAAATGAACTACTTTCGCGGAGGTTTCTGAGTCCAACGAGGAGTCAATGGTAATGGCGGAGATAAGCGAGAGACTCAGCAGCTGTGGCAACGATTCCAAGATGGAGAGAAGTGGTGACATCTCCAGGAAGTCCTCGGCCAGTTCGTGAATGGCAAGGTGAGCCAACTGTGGAAACAGAGGAGAATCCCAGAGTAGACCCCGCAGATAGAGGCAACGCAACATTGGCGCATTCGGGAATACTGAATGGGGCAAAAGCAGCACGTTTTCCTCTTCGACCTCCTCTTCGTCGACGCCGCTGTCAAAGATAATGGAGAGGCATTCGAGATGTGGCGCATCCACCTGAAGCATATCGACGAATTCACCATATGTTTCACGTTTTAAAAGCGAAGACGTGCAGTTCACGTACTCTGAGAAAATGGTCAGCTTGAAGTGAATGAAACGACGTCAGAGAGAATTTCTGCGAGAGGTCAACTCTGACGGTCAAATCGGTGTTTTTTATACGAGCTAAAACCTCCACTGTCCACTGTGGCTTGTGCATGGGAATGTAGACCCACAGAACGCTGTAATTGAGAGCGATATTGCGCCACACGTGACAAACTTGAGATAAAGCGATCCACCTATACAAATCCGGACGACCGTCAGCGTAGACAGCGAAGAAGAAGATACGGCAGAGTAGTTCCGGGGGCAAGCGGGGCGGAAGAGCAAAAGATTTTGGTAAAGAATGTAGAGAACGAACGTAGTTGTTGTGCCGTTTGATCTCTGAGCCGATTTGAAGGCGAACGTCGTATATACGATGAGCGCCGCTGCATGCTGTAAGTTGGGCAGGAAAGGGCATCGTGGGTCATGAAGGAGGTCGAAGATAGCTGCATGAAGGTCGGTCACTGTACAGCTCTCCACAAACAATGTTCCCACCGGTTGATGGGTGGTGATGGTAGTGGTATTGGAAGAAGGGCTGGGTGGCGACTTCATAGCCCGACGTCCATTTATTAAGTTTTGTCGTAGTATGTGACGGGCGTCAAAGCAACGGTATGGCCGGTCACGTCTCCTGTTTCACTGGGATACGAACGTTCAACGTTCATGGGTGCTGCCAGTGCCACTAGTTTTCTACTCACCACAACAAAACAACCACACGCCACCGCAGACGAAGTGTTGGTGCTGCTCGAGGTGAAGCCAAATCGAAGATGGAAGTCGACATGCACGCGCCCGCGTCGATGGCGACGTCCTTCACTGCCCCTCGTGCTTCGACCTCAACCACGAAACGGCCCCGTTCTCCTGCTTCCTGTAGTACGTCCGAACCTCCATCGGTATGTGTGTTTCTCTTACGTCTGCGCAATTGCCACACACTCGCATTTGGCACTGACGATCTCATTGCAGAAACGTCTTTCTTTCGGCATTGCGGAACATGAGAACGCCCACAGTAGAATAGTGATTCCTCTCCCGCAGATTGCGTGTCCGCCCTATGGACGGCTCCGTACCTCCGAGGATTGGGTCGCTCAGACACGCACGCTCCGGATCGGAAGTCCACTCGTGATGGTGGGTTCTAGCTTCCCGCGTATTCCCGAGAACGACAGTAGCCCTCAGAAGGAAGAAGACGCTAGCATGGTGCGTGTATTTGTGGAATTGAGATAGTCAAGGCGGGGATTGACACGCGCACAGACCGACGTGCAGATGTCCATCTGCAGCCCCGCTAGAACGGCACGTTCCTTACAAGAGGAGCGTACCGGAGCAGAGAGCTTCGCGTCGCCCAACCAACCTGACATGTTACCCCAGCCAGAACTGCAGGGCCAGTTCCTCCGCCCGCCAGAGCCCCTGTATCCCGCTCCGCAACAACAATACCAAGCACAGTTACAGATACCCTCGATCCAGATACACGATGCGACTCCTTCCCCCGTGCATGCGCCGGAATTGACCCCTGCATCCACCCAGGGTGGCCCTTTCATCCCTCCAGCCCCCGCAGAAGAACCTATACAACGTCAAGCCCAAGCCCAAGCCCAAGGACCTGCCGGGCGCAAACAGCGCTTCACGATGGGCCCTCGTGCGGACTGCGAGAAGTGCCGCTTGGGCGTGCGTGGACATTGGATGCATTTTGACTGAATGTGTCCGTTTGGTGAGGTGGAGTTGCTACTGTGGTCGTTGCATCATCGTTCGCTAGCTTTCGTCGTCTCAATGTTCTCGTTTATACTACAGGGTGTGGCGCTCGTCTCTAATTCGTTGGCATCGATATCACACTACATTTACATGCATATCTATATTTAAGGAACCTACATGCTTTATGACACGCCAATTCGGTATTTTCCAGTAAGCAAAAATCTATGAGCACTCGACAAGTGTTGTACATACTGTATACTGCCTTCACGAACGTAAGGAGCCGCCACGCAACACATGTGCAAGAGACAACGCGCCAGGTGAAAGATGTCAACAAGGGATGTACACATCATTCCATTTCGGATATTAAATAATTGCACGTTGACAATCATGATCACAGCGTCAATCTTAAGAAATCTGGGGCAAGGAAAGTGCGCAAGACTCGGCGTGTTCGCAGCGTCGTCAAGATCTGCAAAGTTGGCATGGGCACTGCACAGTCAAGACGAAAAAGGTGTCAAGAAATTTTACCAAGTATATCTATTCACCAAACTACAAATTTTGGCAGAGATAGACTACCGTGCATACGAGGCCGGTCGTCTCTCTGTAGCGGGCTTTACGCCGACGGAAGCATTGCGAGAACGAGAAAGCGGATTATATCTGAGGTTAAAAACTCACGCTGATCAAAGCTCTCGCAGATAGTGCAGAAGAAAAACCTCGATGCAGTAGGGATTTCAAGTTGCTCTGCGGCAGGAAGGAAAAGTCACGACCTACGCGCATTTTGCACGTGCCATGAACGCGAAACAGCCTGCCCTGAACAGGTGTATACGGGACACGCTCAGCAGCGATAACACGCGCATCGATTCTTCTTCCATCTCCTGGCGCATATCGCCTCCTAGCGTTCAGCATCGTCTCTATCAGACAGGATAACATGGCGAAGTGCTCTAGTCCTCACTGTTGTGTTGCACATCGCGCATCATCTGCGCGTTTGACGCGGTCTTCCCCACTTTGCTGGACTTTAATGGATCCCTCATCGATAAGTCGCAAGTGTCCAGGCAATTATAACTGGTATGTTACTGCAGTTGCGTGTTCTCAATCCTATTGCCAAGATTCCTTTCAATATATGGCTTATCGGGGAAGAATGCGAGAAGATATTGCGGACCTGCATATGTTTTGGCTCCACCCGCGTTTCTCTTGCCGATATTGGCGATCTCGTCAAGGCTCTGATCTGTCTTGTCCTGAACCTTGTCTGCTCGCTCGCTGCGGGGTCCCAGCATATAGTAAGCTTTTGCGCGTCGCAGAATAGGATGTCCTTTGTCGATGGATATGGCTAGCGGGACGGCTCTCCGGCGGCGCCGCGTTCGCCAATCGCTGCTTCTCGCTGATGAACTTAAATGGAGAGTATTACACCAATCATCTTGGCGTCGCCGACACACCTGGAGCAGGAATCCAAGCTCGGTCTTGCCATTCTGATATGCGTCGGGTTTACTGTATGTGGACCGTCAAGTCTGTCGATCTTTGTGAGCGAACGCCTGGTGGTCGATCTGGGCGACATTTGTTCTGGGCGGGAATGGCGTTGTCCGGAAATCGGGGGTATCGGGGGACGCGATCACGTGGTGCCTTGTTCGATGGCTGGATTACGTGATCGAATGAACATGGACCAAACAACGCGCAAATAAAAGCCTTAATTGTTCGCGGTGGGTTTGGCGACTACTTTCCTTTGCCCCGCGAGGAAGAACACAGAGTCCGTGCGCAACATATTCCTCTCCTCTCCGGCGACGCCTCTCTCCTCTTTCCCGTATGTTTTTCGTACTTTTTGTCGTAGAGTATGTCGGAGAGGCTGATGTGCCGCGTTAAAGGCGCGGACGTGTGGACCCACAGACGGCTACAGAGCCTGTTTGTATCGGCTACCTATTTCATTGGTTCAATTCCTCCGTGAGAATCCACAGCCTTGCCTTTGGCATGCTGCTGCTCCCGAGTCGATTTTCTCGTCGCTCATCGCTCTTTTCCCCTCAGGCGCGGCCTCCTCCGTCAGCACATTCCTTCACGTTCAAGGTCGGTCCCTTTATCCTCGACCATCTTTCTTCTGGGGTGCTGGCCAAGGCCCGATCACATCTGTGTTCGCTGTACGAGACTAACAATGAACCAAGCCCAACGGGCCCAAGGTGTGATGTGACGCTATATGTAGTGTGGCTGCTGTGGCAACAATGGAGTGCCTACCCCAGTTTTCTCGCAGTCCATTGTCTCGTAGCCGATTGATGTTGACGTCGTCCACAGCCGGCAATACTTAACAAAGCTGCCAGCCACGACTTCTGTCTCCCGGCCACAACTTGGTTCGTATCTTTATAATCTCATTTTCTGCTTTCCTCACTCATCTTCGCTCCTCGGCGACTTCCTACCTTACTCTCCTCTACTCTGTTGTACAACACCACTCCGGCAACTCAACCAACCTGTATCAACTACCTGCACCGTGTATCACTTCTGGCTTCATCAACCATGGCCATCAACAAAATCCCCCGCAAACGTGTAGAACAACCCCATCCATACAAGATTCAAAAGAGATACTCCCAAACCAACGCTACAGTTCAAAAGCCAAAACCTTCGGCTGCCATGTCCACAAACGCTCCTGCTCCAAGCAGACAGTACCTCGCCCCTCTCTCGCGCCATGCCGTTCAAAAGCTGCCGGCGCTGGCGTGCCACCCGATTGACGACTTCCTCTCTTCCGATGTGGATGTCGACCTTGAACTCTCTTTCGCTTCGACGATGTCTCTTAACTCGCCCACCCGTGGCCTTCAAGAACTGAGCGCCGAGGATGCGGACTACGCTCCTATGGATATCTCACCCGCACCTCAGAGGATGTTGCCTCCCAGTGTCAGCGACAGCTCTGCCGGTCTCAAGTTGAACCAGGGGCGCGCTCGGGCCACTACCAGTGCATCAAGGTTGTTCGGACGGGATATGAGTAACGGCAGTGGCTTACTGTCTGGCCTGACCTCTAGTGCGAAGTCCGTGACGGGGAGCGGGGGTAAGCGCTTACAGCGTTCCGCCCTGCCCGTCGAGTGGCTCGCGTCGGGGACCCTTGGTCGGGACGAGAATGTGTACGGTCAGGTACGAGACATTCTGTCCATACCTAGTCTCGATCACAACTGTCAGGGCATTCCTCTGACATGCGTTCATAAACTCAGGATATGCTACCTTCTCCCGCGACTAGCGACGCCATGGATGTGGACTCGTCATTTGTCCACGTTCGCCCGAGGCCGGTATCGCGTGAGTGCCCGCTGACGGCGGCGCCCACCATCACTACCTTCAACTTGGACAACAACCCCCTGCTCTCTAGCCCTCCTGCCTCTGCGGCCCCGACGGTCACGGAGTTCAATGGTCTGTACTTCCGCGCAGCTTCTCCGCTTGGCGACAGCGACGATGTGGTGCTCAACGAGCTGGTGGACGCGTCACACAATAGCGAGAGCCCGAGCCAGCCGTTCCACAAGAAGCGTCGCTCAACGTCCCCCCAACCTGAGTTCATCGACGAACCCCAGCATATTATGGACGACGAGGTGCTGTTCGAGTCGTCGCCTGCGGCGTCTTCTCCGTCGGCTCGCAGGTTGGAGCGCATGGCTAGTATGCCTCTCAGGAAGCCCATGCTTAGTGGCCTCGGGGCACCGCTTGGCCTCAACACCAACAAGAAGAGGCCGAGGAGGCCCGTCCTGAGTGCAATGCTCGCGCCTGGTGATAGTCCCGTTGACAAGCCTCGCTCGGCCTACCCTATTGTCGACGGAGTCCTGGACGACGAGGACGTTGTCCAGGACCACCCACATATCTTGCCTCCGGTCCGCCGCGCGATTTCTGCAATGCTCCCGCCCTCAACACTGGACGAGTCGATGGCCTCTGAGATTGGCGAATCGTTCGACTCTGAGGGGCCTGATATGAGTTCCCCTGCGCAGGCTTACGCGAAGCGCCAACATGTGAAGACGATCAGGAGATGCGATGGGACGGACGACTTCCGGCCTCTGACTGGTGCGACTGCTCTCGTCAGGCGCGACACCGAGGTCATTATGACGGGCCTCCGGAGGAGCGAAGATAGGGACAGCAGACCGGCCGAGAACGAAAGGGACACTCCGAGGAGCAAGTACTTGCACGCTGGTCCTGGCTTGGGCGGATTTGGAGACAATGAGGCGTACGGGAAGATCCTACCTTGCCAACGCGTCAGGGAAGACGGATTGATGCGCATCAATCCCGAGACTGTGTGTTGCTCTTTACCTGATCGATCGTCTGTCTGTAGGCGCTGATGAGTCTTCCAGTTGGACGCTCTTGTTGACGGTGCCTATAATTCTAAACTGGCATCGTTCCATATCATCGACTGCCGATTCGACTACGAGTATAACGGAGGTCACATCCCCGGCGCTGTGAACATCAACACCACCGCTGGTGTTGAGGAGTTCTTGCTGGGAGCTGGTGCAATCAAACCTACCCCATCTACGAGCGGAGACCTCAATAAGAAGGTTGTTCTGATTTTCCATTGTGAGTTCAGCGTCAAAAGGGCGCCTACTTTGTGAGCCTATCTCCCTTTCTTCTGCTGCTGTCGTCTCATCGTCGTGTCACCGCAGTGCCAAATATCTTCGCTCCAAGGACCGTGCACTGAACAATCATGTCTACCCCAGGATTTACTATCCGGAGGTCTACATCCTCGAGGGTGGTTACTGTCAGTACTACCAAGAATCTGGCGCACGCTGCCAGCCTTCAGGCTACGTGCAGATGGACGATCCCCTCTACGCAGCATCCCGCAAAGAAGATCTTGACCATTTCCGCAAGGGCAAGTTCGGCAGAACCAAGTCGTACTCATACGGCGAGGGCAAGATGACGTCTCTCGCGTCTCAGCAGCCCAAGAGGAACACAGCACCCAGCGGCACAAACGCGTTGTTTGCCGCTGCGAATGCTGCTCGCACTCGGCGTGGCGGTATGGGAAATGCCGGCCTGCAAATGTTGCCTGAAGACAAGAGCACAGGTCATCAGACCGAAGATGAGGATACGGACATCGGCGACAGTCCTTGCCCCCCTCCGTCGAAGGGTGTCGTGTTCAAAGGCAAGAAGCTCAATCGTCTCGCTAAAGCCGAGTCGTACGGACCCTCTCGCATGGCCTACTAGGTCGTCCTCCACAATAGCCAACGTTCAATATCTCTCAGAATCTTCCCAAACATACTGTGTAAATTGTGACGACCTGTTTTCCACCCCGCCTTTCGGAGAATGATGAACGACGAGGCTTAATTTCGCAACGACAATCTTACGGATTTCCTCTTGAAGACCGCCTCGATTGCACGGCTCTTACGACTGCAAGACTCCTCTCTCCTTATGCACGCCTTTCGCTACTCATTATGCCTATGCCTCATTGTTCTCGACCTGTCTCTTCGCTGCATCTCGTCTTGTGGACACTCGCTACACCCTCCTCCGGTATCCATCTCGACATCTCGCAACCCAGAACTCACGACATCGACATCTACCTCGGTCAATTTTCATCCATTTCCCATCGATCTCAACATTCGTCGGCGCGATCTCCGCCTCATCTCATCTGTGAACAATCCAATGCATGTGCATGACAGCTTCGTCTGCGCACGGTCCGCTCATCATTGCTTGTTTAGCAATCCCATCTCCAGACACATCACATCTTCATATATGTAAGTTATACGCTGACGGTTCCCAGCCGCTACCGTGCATCTCATCCTCAGTCTACGTTCTGTTTTACACGCCCGTTCCCGTTTGATCTGACCGCTATACCTAATGCCGCGCACGCTTCGTTGTGTCCGACAACGCGTTCCGTTCTCGCTGAGCTGTATTCGCTCTAGCTCATTTGCATTCTCCCTTGTCCTGTTCGTATATTTTGAATGATCAATATAGCGATGTCGTGTGTTGTTGTGCGTCTCTTGGACTCTACTTACGAGCCTTATATATATCCTCTTTTTTCCCGCCATCGCTCCTGTCCGCACTTGGCATTTATTTGGACCTTTCATGTTCAGAGATATCAGTGACTACAATACACTTGACTTCTCTGCTACCTAAACATACTTTGCTTGCATGCATGATGTGCAAACAGTATAGTCACAATAAAGGAGACGTCCAGATTCTAAAGCGACATGTTCTGCCTTTGTACATATGCAGCACGACAGCTATAATTTACACCACACGGAGGATCGTGCATCACGGTCATAGCTCATATTTTAAAAGGCATATACAAGGACGAGCGCATGTTCATACACGCCCAGCACGCCGCTCGGCCAACGCTACCGGTATCGCGGCCCTAACAGCCCTCGTCGTGTACATAATGTACGTCGGCAGAGGCATGTAAATAGATGCGCAACGGCTAGAGCAGCGACGGCCGCGTTCGTCCTCGTTGATGGCGGGAAGAGGAGCGGCGAGACGTGTAGCATGGAATGCATGGGCCGTCTATAGACGGGGGGAGCTCCATCGAACTCTGATGATAAACATTATTTTTCTAGCGCTTTGTAAATGCGAACGCGACGTAGATGTCTGCAAGGCAAGAACGGCGGTCAGCGCGTGTAACAGAAAAATGATATTGAGGATGGTGACCGAGATGATGCCGTGTGCGGTGGACCGGTGTGAACGCCTGGCGATACGCCCGTATCGGGGAAAGAACAATAGTCGTCGGGAATCCATCACAACAGTGGAAACGACGATCAAGCGCCACCGCACCATAGAAGCGCACACAAAAAGCGCGCGCCAGGGACGAATGCAGGAAAAAAGATACGCACTGGCAGCCTCCCACTGGTCCTCGTCCATCTGGCTCTCCCCGTTCGCGTCGACGACGTGCATGCGCTCGAGCAGCGGCCCGAACTCGGCGTGCTCGTGGTGCTCCTCGAACACGTCGTGGAACTCCTTGCGGTACATCTGCTGGAGGCCGTACTCCTCCGCGAGCCTGCAAAGGAACAGAGACGCGCATTAGCATTAGTAGAGATGGGGGACGGAAAAATAAGGGGAAGGGAGCACGCACTGCACGAAGTTGTCCCAGTGCACGACGTACTCGGGTACGTCATCGACGGCGTCCCTGAGGAAGAACCAGTAGCGGTGCCCAAAGAGCGGGTGCTGCGCTCGGTCCTCGAAGCGAATCTTGTACACGCTGTTCCCCCACGTCAGCTCCTCCACATTGGGCGGCAGCGCGTCGAGTTGCGCGCTGTCGGACGAATCAGCATATTATCAAGGCGCGGATCGACAGAAGAGACGCACAGGAGCTGCTCCGAGTCCGGAATGGTGCCGATGAAGACCCCGCCGGGTCGCAGCGCGCCCGCGACGTTCTCGAGCATCTGCCGCACCTTGCGCTCGCTCTCGAACGCGTAATGCATGCAGAACTGCAGCGAGACGACGTCGAACGGGCGTAGCACGGCCGGCGGGAGGGCCGCGCTCAGCGCGTGCGTGTAGCAGTCGAGCGGGAAGAAGGACGCGGTGAAGCGTGGTGCGCGGAGGCCCGCATGACGCGCGGCGGCCTGCTCGACCGAGATCGCGGCGATATCTACGGGCGAGCGGATCAGCGCGGGAAAGAGGTGGGGCAGGAAGGAAAACGCACCGACGCCGACGTACTCGCGCACCTTCGCCTTGGCCCATTTGGTGAGGTCCCCGCCCTTGCCGCAGCCGATGTCGAGCACACGCCCGCGCCCGGGTCCACCGCTGGCGACGGGGCTCGCAGCGAGGACGGGGTGTGCGAAGCGCGTGATGAGGACGCTCTTGACCCAGTTGTTGAAGCTCTTGAGCCCGATGATGGGCGAGTCCTTGCGCTGGGTGACGCCGACGTCCGGGCGGGAGTTATCTACATGCGAGAGCGTGTTCAGGGACGTTCAGAAATAGCCCGGATGGAGACTCACAGTGCTCGACCACGAGCCCGACGTCACCGGTACGCCTGCGCTTGGGCACGCTGTCGCCGTCTGGCCGGTCCTCGCCGGCATCCCCGTCATTGGGTCGCTTGCGCGCGCGCTCGCCGTTGCCGGTGCCATCGCGATCGTCGTCGTCGCGCTTGCGCTTGCGGAGGATGAGGGTGCCGACGCCGCCGGAGTAGTTGCGGTAGCGAGCGAGCTCGGCTGGGGAGAGAGGGATAAGCACGGAGCCTGCGGGGGTGCGCCGGCGGGTGGGCGCGTAAGGGAGTTTTGAGGGCGCGGGCGAGGTGGGTAGGACCTCTGGGGGCTTTGAAGGGGATGAAGGCTTGGGCGAAGGCTTTAGCTTGGACATAAAGGAGGGAGCGGGAGAGGCAAGCCCGCGGGTGCTTGCGACCGGGGAAGAATTGGCAGAGCTGGAGGTTGAGGGAGAGGGCGAGGGCCCGGGTGCGGTGGTCTGGGAAGACGGCAAGGGGGGTGGTGGCATGTCGGGAGAGGGAGAGATGTTGGCACTGGAGGAACGACGGGGGAAGTGAGAGAGCTGCAAGGGCATAGATGCTGAGATGGAGGAGAGGCTGGCAGACGGACGAGAGGCGGTGGACGGGCGGGAAGACGCGGCGCTGGAGGACGCAGAGACGGCTGGGGAGCGTGTGTGACGGTGAGGCGTCGTCGCTGCGTGGGATGGAGTGGGAAGAGAGCCCGGGAGAGCGAGGGCGCTGGCTTGAGGAGAAGAGCTCGAGTGAGCGGGCCACGCGAAGTAGGAGCCCTCGCGGGGCACATCGTGCATGGCATCGCGCGAGAGGTCGGCGCTGGCACGTCGGCGAAGAGGAGCCATCTGGGAGAGCTGGTCGGGGGGGTCGGGGTCGTTGAGGAGATGGGAGAGCGTCGGGTGACTGCGCGGGGTCGTCGGCGTGAAGAGCGGTGTCTCGTAGGGGGGCTCGTCGGCGTTGAGCAGGACACACAGGTCAGTCGCACGGCGGGTGATGGGGCTGCTCGCTGGCGGCGTCGCCTCAGACGGCGGCGAGGGCGGAAAAGGTATGTTGTTGACACGCTTGGGAATGTCGAGGTGCACGTTGGACACGGTGGGCGAGTTCATCACCGCATCGCGCACAGGATCGAACGTGTGCATGGGCATCGTGACGACGACGGGTGGGTGATGGTCGTTGGTGGCGACGGCGAGGAGGACGGGCTGCTCGACAATGGCGGCAGCGAGCAAGCAGGGGCCTGCGCCCGCGCGTCTTTCTTCTCCTCTCTCTTTCGTAGGACATGCTTCGCCCAATATTCTGGGAAATTTTGCTGAGTCTTCGAGTCACGAACTCGCTCGCTGCAAGTCTAACATGTTCTCAGTCTGACATCTCCACAGGACGTTTCCACAGACCAGGCTTGCCTCTCCTCAGTGGTACCTGCAAGCATCAACCAACACGTCTGCGGGTAATGTCCTCATCACCCGAGGCTCTTTCCCCTTCGTGGCTGAGGAGACAGCCTTCTTCTCGCAGAGGGGCCCCTCCTCGACTGCCTGCGACGTGACCGTCCCTCTCACTCACCGTCTCTCACTTCGCGTCCCCGTCCAGCGAGCATCTTGAGCCCCCGCGTTTCCGCCCCTCTTCCCTTGCTCTTCCGACCTACCACTATAGGGAGACTACCCTTCCGACCACTAGCTCGTCACCTTCGCAGGCGTCTTCGTCACCGGCGGCCATACCCCCCTCTGGGTCCCTCGGACACGATCTCCTCCGCCGATAGGGAGACCGTTCTCTGCTGCCAACTCAATGGCGGCGTGCAGTTCCTCGAGATCCTGCTGCCCTGCACCGCGACGTAGGCATGCTCGGTGAGAGCGTATAGATTATATCCGTCGAATGTGTATTGTACATGTAAGTTTGAACCCGGCTAATACTATCTTTACAATAATCGACGATGATCCCCGCTGTGTGCACCACGGTGCTATCTCGGTTCGCCATCCCGATCTGTTTCAATGAGTCGCGGGAAAAGTTGTGCAATCCGGAACCCCGCCTCTATAAAACTGATCCCACCCCGTTGAACACGCTGCACTGACTAGCGACGATGGCTGCCTACGTCCAAGACGTGATCATGCTCCTCGGCGACTCCCTCACCCAGGGCGGCTGGGAGGCAGGCGGCTTCGCCCAGCGACTTGCATGTGAGTATGCCCACCGTTCAACCCTGGGCCAGTGTGTGCTGACCACCGCCAGTCGTGTACAACCGCAAGCTGGACGTGCTCAACCGCGGCATGTCCGGGTACAACACCGAGTGGATCAAGCCCGTCTTCGAGCAGGTGCGCACAGGCCCTACGCACCACAGTCGCCCATCCTGACCCGACGTGCGCCCAGTGCTTCGCAAACCAGGCCCAGCAGCAGCACGTCCCCAAGGTGCGCCTGCTCACCATCTGGCTCGGCGCGAACGACGCCGCGCTCCCCCCCACGGCACAGCACGTCCCGCTCCCAAAGTTCGCTGCGAACCTCGCCGAGCTCATCCACGCCGTGACCAATCCCTCCTCTCCACGCTACGCCCCCGCGACCCGCATCCTGCTCATCACCCCGCCGCCCGTGGGCCCCGAGCAGTGGCTCGCGCACATCCGCGAGAACGACCCCGCGCGCGAGCTCGACCGCAAGTTCGAGGTCACCCGCCAGTACGCGGACGCTGTCAAGGACGTCGGCGCGCGCGAGGGTGTGCCCGTCGTCGACATCTGGACGCGCTTCTGGGAGGCGTGCGGCGAGGACGTGGCGCGCCTCTCAGAGCTCCTCACCGACGGCCTCCACCTCAACGCGCGGGGGTATGAGGTGCGTGCGCTGCTCGCCCCGGCGGCGTATGTCAGATCGCTGACGTACTCCCGCAGCTCATGTTCAACGAGCTCATTAAGGTCGTCAGCGACAAGTACCCTGAGCTCCACTACGACAATCTCCCGACTGTCTTCATTCCGTGCGTAACTTGCGCCGCCTCCCCCGTTCCGTGCTTACCCCGCCGAGTGCAGATTCGCCGAAATCGACCCCACGAATCCCCGCCCACACCTGAACAAGCGGGAGATATTTGGGAATTAAAGAGGTTTCTATGCCACCATGCTGTCATGGGCCATGTAAGACTAGAACTAGAAATAGAAGTAGACCACCTGTATCGTCTTCAGTTCTTGCAGGACGATCCAGTGCGAATGGGTTGCACTAATTGCTGCAAGTTCGATATATGTACAAAGGGACAAGCAGGGCGAAACGTCCGGCACAACATCAGTCATCGGGGATTGCATAGATCGACGGCTATAACCACAACAAACGACCACGGCAGCACGTAAAACGGGCAGGGATAGGATGGGGCGGAATTGATCAAGAGCCTACGAGCAGACGTAAACAGGAACAAAGCAGATGAGAGCGGGCATGGTGAGATGGATATCCTCTACTCCTGGCCAAAGCCGACCGTTTCCCTATAGGACGACACGTCAACGAGAATCTTACGCACAAAAGAAAGGGGACGCACTCGACGGCAAGAGTGAGTTTCTGCTCTAACGTGTTGTAAGTCTTGTAAGGCGGCAGATCAATACGATTGAAGCAAGTATGGCTCTTGGGCAATTGGCTCGGATCGCCAGATTTCTCAATCGTGAACCGACGTGGACCATCGGAACCCTGCAAATCCTTGAAGCCATTTACCGGTATACGGGACGTGCCCGTAGCGAACTGCAGCAGACGGGACTTGCGCTCCGGCGGCCAGCTCCGCACGCACTGCCAGAACCACTGCACGACCTCGTCGCTGACCTCGTACCCGCGGTAGTCCGTGAACTTGCTCCAGTCGTCACTGAGCGCAAGTATCAACAATCAGCCAGTGACTTGTCGGAGGAAGGAGGATCACTCACACATCGATCTCGGACATACCGCCGATAAGGAGCTCCAACTCGCGCTCATCGAAGACGTTGATGAGATCCTGCGGGATGAGCTCACTGAAGCCAGACATAAATGCGTCAAACTGCTCCTTCACGCGCTTGGAGATACGGTACTCCACAACGCAATTGACGTATTCTTTCTTGTTCTCCTCGGTGACAGGGACGTCCGCACCACCCGGCCTGAGCTCGACAGTGACCATCTCGCCGAATCGTTCCTCGGTGGTGGTGAACGTCTCGTCAATAACGTCGGTGATATCGTTCTGCCTGAGGGGAGCGTGAGCGAAATTAGGAGGCGCATAATCAGAGCCCGCTTACAGCATCCACGTCAAGCCGCGATGGAGCTCTGCATCAACGCTCTCGAGATCCGCAAGCGTCACCTTCTTCTTGAGAATCATCTTGTAGAACGCGGTGATGAAGTACGCATCCAGGAAACGACGATGGAAGATACCAAGACCCAAGCATCGTCCAATAAACTTGAAGTAGTTCAAGTGCTCTGGGTTCACGCCTGATGCAGGGTTGATCTGGAGAGTGTAATTGTCGTGCGCCGAATACTCGAACAGACAGTAGAAGGGGTTGAACATCTCGTGCGATAACAGGAAGAAGAATTCTCTGAACGAAACTTGAGCGATACGCTACGCTGAGAAAAACAGAAGACCAACCTGGACAAACCACCGTAATCCAAACCGTCCTCCCCATCGAACTTAATCATCAGCCGCTTCTTGAGGTCACTAGGTGTCTGCCTCATAATCTCGGCGTAACTGTCCTCGAAGATGTGGTTACGCCTGACTTTGATCTGGCAATTGCCCGGCTGCGCACGCATAGCGGGCTGGCTTCGGAAGTAGATGAGCTTCCGACGGAAGTCGCGCTTGTACTGCGGCACATTGGCATCCAGTGTCGACGGCAGGCGGGGATCGTCCCACGTGGTAGTCTTCGTGTTGTGATCCACAAAGTACACACGAGCCGTAGACGTGAGACGCATCTCCCATCCGGAGGGCAAGGGCCCCAATTGGGAGATGGTCTGCGGCTGGAGGGCAGAGTTCTGACCGTTGGGACCCATCACACGGATAATGGTCTGGCGACGAGGATCGACCCATGTCGTTGTCCGTGTATTATGGTCGACATAGTATGGGCGGCCTTCTGGGGTATATCGCTCCTCCCAGCCAGCAGGGAGAGGGCCTGCGCCCGACGTTGTCAGATTGTTGCTCGCGGCGATTGCAGCAGCAGCGGTATTGCTATGGGCAGTGGCTGAGCCATTGCGAGCGACGTTACCGGCCTCAAGCATGTCGTCTACCAAGATACGTCTGTTGTGTTGATCACGCGCAGCGTTAGTCTCCCCGTCTTGGGCGTGGGTATTGACAGTCTGGCTCGCGGATGGTCTGTTCCAAGTGGTACTGCGAGTGTTATGGTCGACGTAATATGTACGCCCAAGGGGATCGATTCGGCGCTCCCAGCCAGGCGGCAGTGGACCAAACTGGTCCTCGTGAGGATTGAAGTTCCGCATCTGAGCGTTGTTGTTGGACGCCGTCTGCGCCGTAGCGGCAGCATTCGCGACCTGAGCCACTGGTTGCACAGCGCCTGTTGCGGCGGCAGCCGCCCCGCCGATGCTCGAGGGCCGAGTCGCAGCGGGAATCTGCGACTGCGTTGCTGGCTGCTCTGGTTCCGCCGGTGCGGGGGCAACACTGGGCGTGGGCATGGAAATGTGTGTGCTCGCATTATCTGGTCCTGCAGCTTGAGCGCTGGAGGTACGAGAGAGTGAGCTACCGACGGTAAGGTTGTTGCTGCTTGCCGCTGGCGAAACGCTGCTGTTGTTGATCGCAAGACCGGAAAGAGCGTCGGTAACGCCGCTCACTTGGGAGGGACCAGGGTTGCTGATGGGCTGGCTGACGTTGGTCGACAAATAAATTATTAACTTGCCGTGAACGACCAGGTTGTCGTTGGACCTCTTCAAGTCCAAGGTGAGCATTTCTGGCAATACGCATTAAGCTGTTTGCGGCGAGACTGAACTTTTCAGACTACATACCGTGTCCACCGAGTTCAAGGTCAATGACATCGCTGACTCGAACATTGACGACACCGAGGAATCCTTGATCCCGCTTCTTGAACTTGCGTTGATCGAATATCTGAACGGCGATTACAGACGAGTCTTTCACGGTGCTACCTGATGGTCAGTATTTTCACCAGGTAGAATTCCCAGTATAGACTCACATATCGAAACTCTCATTCCAGTAAGGGTTCAAAGTCTTCTTGATAACACTGGTGGTGTGTGTCTGCTCTGCATCCACAGTGATAACAGCGAAAGGATCGGGAAGGCGAAAAACTTCGCGCTTGGACAGACCGTCGGCAGCAACGACTACGGCAAGATCAGGAGAACATTCAAACGGGGATGTGCCTAACTGTGCTCACCCGTAATCCTGATCTTTTTCCTGTCGCAAAAATTAGACGGTGGGGAAAAGTGATAGATAAGAGGGGCTTACGGTGCGTTCTGTGGGGCCGACGACATGGCGCCTGGTAGTATTTGTGCGCAAAGTAATAGGGTAGTGGCAGAGAGAAAGCAAGAAACCGAATGATGAAGCCGGACTATGAGTAAGTGGGGAGGAGGCGGTGACCGAGCGACGAGCGTATGAGCTCAGCCGCTGCGGCACTTCCACCGGCCGGCATCCTCCGGCCTCTCTTCGTACTCTCCGTCCCGTGACTCTATAGTACCAGGGTGCATAGGATAAGTACTAATAGGATATAGGAAGTATGTGTAATGGTATAATAGACAATTTCTAGAAATTCCGCTCATCCTGGAGCTTGCGTTGCATGAAGGGTGAACGTTTGAACCTGGGTGCGCCCTAATAAGCTATGCACCGGTGCCTGTGCTAAACATTTCAATCCTACGCAACGGCCGTAACCTAATGTGCGGGTCCTCGAAATCAGTAGCTTTGTCTCGGCCTGCGGTTCCTTTCAGCGTTTCTCTGGTGACTGCGATGGCCTGGTAATATTGTACTGTATGTCAAAGTGATTTTGCTTGATTCAAATCCATCATAAATACAGTACTTGCCAAATCTGGATGTGTACAGTCACAGAGTCCTCTCGATTTTGCCGCGTGCCAATATTCGTGCAGCGCATTCGACTACGTCTTGTCCTACACGTAGGCAAGCAGTTCTTGATGTCCCCACCGTCGTTGTTGATCAAAACAACAGCCGGTCGTATATATCCCATCCCATCTTTTGCTTTCCGGAACGTCTCAGTCAAGCGAATCCACGCACTGTCAGCTTTGCATGACGAATTTTGCGGTCACATCTTCACTGATTATTAATTATCGCAGTGCTAGCACCTCCACCCATCAAGCCCATTGTCGACCACTCAGAGCCACCACCATCATCATCATCCAGAACGATCACGCCCACGGCTCCAGGCTTTGTGCTCGTGCTCTGAGTACTTACCCCTCTTCCAGATCCAAGATCCTCTCTTCCACTTGTTCTACTACGATTCCCTACAGGACGATGTCTACTCAACCTGTCCTTCAAGATGGCTATCGTCTTCCGACCGATGTCCGACCTAGACACTACGACGTGACGATACGAACCGATTTGGAACAGCTCAAATTTGACGGTGTCGTCCATGTAGAGTGCGTCTTTGAGTGTTACATGCCTGCGTCCAGGGTCTAACCTGTCACCGATACCATAGTCTTCATATTCAGAGAGAGACCTCGACAGTAGTTCTCCATGTGAAAGATCTGAAGTTAGGAGATGTGGCTCTGTATTCGGAAGCCCTCCGGGCAGAACAAACACCTTCGTCTAGCAACATAGATACCGTCTCAGAGCGAGCAGCATTTGGCTTCCCCAGTCCCCTCCCCGCTGGGTCAAAGGCTCAGCTGAAAATTGCTTTCAGCGGGGAATTGACCTCTGGTATGACGGGGTACTACCGTTCGACCAGCGGAGGGGAAGGGAAGCCCAAGTATTACACTTTAACGCAGTTTGAGGTGAATTTAAACGGTCAAAGGTTCATGCTTTTACTGAGTTGTACAATCGCTAGTCTACGTATGCAAGAAAAGCTTTCCCCTGCTGGGACGAGCCTGCTCTAAAGGCCACGTTCGCCGTCACTCTTGTTTCGCGTGCAGATACAGTCAATCTGAGCAACATGCCTGCTATCTCTGAAACTACAGGGGAGCATGCAATTGCGTGGCTATCAAAGAAATTCGCGAGCGTTAGTGAAAAACCTGGGGATTGGAAGATCACACGCTTTGAGACCACTCCTCCTGTCCGTAGTCTCAGTCTCTAAACATGACGTTTCTGACGTTTCTGCAGATGTCCACATATATAGTTGCCTTTGCAAATGGTCACTTCGCTCATTTAGAAAGCTCGTACACGAGTCCTCTCACTGGCAAAGTTCGCCCGCTCCGTATCTACAGTATGCCGCACGCCCTCATGCTCTGTCGTCCTCTGATCAATTTCCTGTCCAGCTACACCAGAGGCTATTGATCAAGCCCACTTTGCTCTCGAGGTGAAACGGAAGGTGCTACCACTGTATGAGCAGATGTTCGAGATTGAATATCCCCTTCCAAAGTTGGATACTCTCGTTGTGAGTTCAAGACCTCAGCGCGAGCTTCTTTTATGTTACTAATTTATCCCATGAGGCCCACGACTTTGATTCTGGTTTGTCCATTATGGCCTTGCGGTCGATTGAACCATCTGACATGCACAATTACGTCCAGGTGCTATGGAGAATTGGGTTCGTTCACCGTTTCTTCATACAGACAGGGCAGTTTACTCATGTACTTGTTATAGGGTTTGATCACAGGTCGAACTACCGCCTTCTTATTGGATTCCAAGAAGGCTGAGTTGGCAGCCAGAAAGAGAGTCGCTACAGTTCAAAGTCATGAAGTCGCTCACATGTGGTGAGTTACATCTTGACGTAGTAAATCATTCCTGCTGATTCGGTACGCTTCAGGTTTGGAAACATCACTACGATGGAGTGGTGGGACAACCTGTACTTGAACGAGGGTGCGTGTTGAATCTGATACGGTACAACCACATCTAACAGTGCTTTGCAGGATTCGCTTCTCTGGTCCGTACTCTTTCTGCGTTATGTTTTCCGAGAGCGATGACACTAGACACATTGGCCATACCTAGATGGGCGAAGTCATTATCTTAGGTGAGATGCTTGCATAGTACGCTGCACAGATTACTCACTGCGGTCGGTAGACAAGTAAGCGCTTCCACATGATATCATTCATCTCATAACGAAACGTGGTGTGCAGAGTGTTCCCAGAGTGGAAGCTATATACTAGCTTCATCACTGGTGATTTGTCGGAAGCGCTTGACTTGGACGGCAAGTTGTCATCTCACCCTATTGAGGTTGAATGTTCAGATGCCAGCATGATTGACCAAGTGAGGACCGACCTTATCTGTTCAGTTTGTACTAAGTGTCGTGATGAAGATATTTGACTCTCTTTCCTACGCCAAAGCGGCTTCAGGTGGGCATCTGGAGACTATAAATTCTGCATGCTAAATGTCATTGAATCACTACGTCTAGTCCTGCGGATGTTGTCGGACTACGTCGGGGAGGAGCGCTTCCTCAAGGGCGTGTCCATTTATCTCAAGAACCACTTGTATGCGAACAGTGTAACGCGAGATCTCTGGGAAGGTATCCAGACCGCTACTGGTAACTACACAGTTCTCTACTAGCAGAGCTTTAAGGCCAGTTAATCACCCCGTCCTTAGGCCGCGATATTCCCCGGATGATGGATAACTGGGTCAAGAAGGTATCTGCAGTGCAGCTGTATTATTTCCATGGCCTGTATACTGACTTAGTTGTGTGCTTCACAGATTGGTTTCCCCGTTCTGACAGTGACTGAAATAGCGGATGGGATCCGCGTCCGCCAAAATCGCTTCTTGGAAACTGGTCCCGCACCACCGAAGGACGATGAAACCATCTGGTATTCGTAGTGCTCTCATCGGAGGGCATTACTCTGACGGCTTGATTTGTGCAGGGTTATTCCACTCAGTCTATTGACCGTTTCAGAGCAGGGGGACGTGGTCGTGCAGAAGAATATCGTACTCGATGAGCGCGAGAAGTTCATTCCCATTGATACCAGGAAGCCTTTCAAGCTTAATGCAGGAACAGTCGGTGTCTGTACGTATTGTACTAGATTAGACGATTTGTATGCGCTAACGTTGAGACAGACCGTGTCCATTACACTCCGGAGCGATTGGTGAAGATTGGTAACCAAGCAGTCATGTTACCATCGCCTTTCTCCGTGGAAGATCGTATCGGCATAGTTAACGATGCCTTTGCGCTTGCTAAGGCCGGGTTTGCTGATGTTAGCAGCGCTTTGTCTCTGGTCCAGGTTCTGCGCAACGAGCAAGAGTGTGAGTCGAAAGTCGTTTACGTTGGTGACCTCGTGATCCTGATATGTTTTCATGGATAGACCTCGTCTGGGAAAGCGTTGGGCGCAATCTCAGTGAGATCACATCAACTTGGTGGGAGCACCCTGAGGTCGTTGATCCACTGAAGAAATTGCGCCGAGTAAGTCAGTCAGTCATACGCAAGGCGCATTTGCATACTCTGAGTGCTCACGATTTGCATTACAAGGAACTCTTTGTGCCTATCGTTCAGCGTCTTGGATATGAGAATGCTGAAAGCGACTCGGTCGATACTCAGCAATTACGGACGTTGGCAATTGGACATGCTGCAAGTTCAGGGGATGAAGGGTAAGTGCTATCGTGTCTGATGTTGCTTTCGTGATGTTCATTTATACCGGCTCGCATGATGTCACTGTCAGAGTTGTCGAAGAGCTTACCAGCCGTTTCGCGCGCTATCTGAGCACCGGCGACGACTCCTCCATCCCTGCTGATCTGATGCGTGTCACATATATAGCGGTATGCCTTCCCGTGCTTACTAGAAATGTTCTTTTTTGGAGCTCGCATTTCAGGCCGTCAAGTATGGTGGTGAGAAGGAATGGGACGCCGTCAAGCAAATCATCGCCAAACCGAAGACACCAACATCCGGCATTGCAGCTATCCGTGCACTTGGTGCCACGCAAGACTTCGCGCTGGCCGAGAAAACCGTCCGGTACACGTTGACGGATGCCCGCGATCAGGATCTGATGTACTACTTCTCTGGCTTTGGAGGTAACTTCAAGATGAGGGCGTTCGGCAAGGATGCTTTCAAAAGGCACTACGAGACTGTATGATATAGACCTTGCCCTGCCTGGAGGTTCGTTGCTAAGGATGGGCTCTAATTTCTAGCTTCTCAAGCGACTATCTGCCACTACAAATTTCAGGTTTCTTGTTGAGGTAAGCCTCATAGAGCATACTATCTACGAAGCTGGCGTTGATTTGATCCATCCTGACGAGGTTGCGTTCGGATCCCTTTCGTCGCGCAAGGATCATGATGAGACGGTGGAGTTTTTCAAGGTATTGTCGCTCAACCTTTCGTTTGATAGTCTTACTAAATTAAATTTTGCAGGACAAGGACACGTCGAAATATGATATGATGCTCAAGCAGGCGCTAGAGAACATGACCACGAAGGCTGCCTGGATTGATGTCAGTGTACACTTCTTCCAGTTTGTGGTTTCGGATTCTCATATCTCGTCGCAGCGCTCTACTGGTGACATTCTGAAGTGGTTGGAAGCCCGAAGCAAAGACATCTGAAGCGATCACGTCCCTGCGTAAGGGCGATTACCGGTTCGAGATCTCTCTGCACCGCAACGGCGTCATTTGCTAGTGACAGTACCCACGTGGCCGCTATTTGTTGTACTCTCGATGCTCACGTAGTTCGCGCATGTAGGTACCAGGATTGTACTGTCAAAATCACGTCTATGTATGTACTGAGTGTCGGCCGCGTGTTCTTGAGTGCTGGTGCGGGGAAGCGGTCCGGGCCGCACGGAAACCAACCGCATCGGGGAAGTGGCTGTGGCTCTCCATTGTCTCCACACAGAGACCACTAGCTCACCTCTGACATACACGAGTTGCTCGTGACGCCAACCGCGGCGCCCTGTGTGAATGCACACACTGACGAACACGACCATACCCCATTGTAACGAGCAACCCACCAACCATGACGACAGTGACGAAGGCTTCACTATCAATCATACAGGCCACAAAAGTGATTTCCAGTACTTCAGGTCTATGGAATATATGTAACTGACCGTCGGACATCCTGCCTAGTTCAAGACCATAACCCGGCAGCGGCTGAGGAAGGTCTGCAGTGGGCTGATCCGAATCTATGTTTTGAAGTTCACGACGCGCCTTTTAGTATTCCTGGTTGCCGGATGTACTGCGTGTTAAAGGAAGCGTATGTGTTCTGTTCCTAAGTTTCGGTGCAACGTTTCCCATGACGTGTGTATGCTGCTGCAGGTCGTGCCCCGCATTGTTGGACCCGTCTTGACTGTTACCGTGTTCGCAAGCATCGTAGCATGGGCGTCAGCTCGTGGAGCAGATATCTCTCTCACAAATTCAGTGGTTCCACTACTAGCTGTGGTTGTGAGTCTCCACGCGTTCTCGCAATTATTGGACACATCTCACTTTTCATGGACGCGTCTAGGTAGGTCTTATACTAGTATTTCGGTGTGTATTCCGTCAGATTCTCGGCGTATGCTGTACATGACTACGGGACGCTATTTTTTCAGGAATGGGTGAGTTTTTCGTTCTGCGATTTCCTCGCTCATTGAATGTTTTCGCAGAACATCTTATGACCGTTATTATGAAGGTCGAAAGGATTTTGGGACTATGACATCTCACGTTCGTCAAAATGTGAACATATTGCTACTTACGAGATAACTGAGCCGTAATGCAGATTCGCAATCTTTCTCGCCTGATCTGGGTGAACGTTGCTGTACCTCCAGCAGACGACATCTCGAAGGGCAAGTCGCCCAGTGCTAACCTGACTGCCATCGAGCTCCGGCGCCGTAAGGTTGATGCGCTTAAGCTCTGCGTATGTTTCGCTTTCACTGTGAAACATTACCTGCGTGGCGAGGATGGACTGGACTGGGAAGACTATGCGGGAATATTGCCTGCGTCTACTGCACGTTTGGGGCAGAATGGCCTTAATTCTCGTAAGACCTCTGCTTTCGTCTCATATTCTGCCACGGCGCGCACGTCCCGGAGCAACAGCCGTGTTGGGAGCACAGACGAGGTCGACAGCGAAAGGAGCTCGGTGGTCTCACCAGACGCGACAAAACGTGTCCGCGTGAAGCGAAGCAAGGATAAGTTGAAACAGCCTGGTGTGCAAGGGTCGAGGACGCCCTTGATGAGCACTTTGCACCAAACGATTGATTTCAACGCGAACCCGGAACAATTGTCGACGCCTTTGCCTTTGGTGTGCGTTTACATTATTAACATACATCATCTGTAAGCTGAGACTTGCACAGAATTGCCCATGAGCTGTGGCGCATGATATTTTTGTTCAAGCGTGACGGTTATCTGGAAACGGTTGGCCCTGCTGGTAAGACGATGTCAAATATTTCTGTCTGCTTCCCATCCACCTAATGCGTCAAACAATATTAGGCACCAACGCGCTGAATGTTCAGTACGTGTGTCCGTGAATGGAGACTGTTCCACTGACCCCTCCCTTCTAGCGTTCAAGGAATGGTAGACATGATGACCGCTATGGAGCGCGTCGCGAACACACCCATCCCACGGTCTTACAGCATCCACCTGAAGCAATGCGTGACACTTTATTTGTTTGTTCTCCCATTCACACTCATTAAAGACTTGGGTTGGGGAATGGTTCCGATCGTGACCGTCGTGGCCTTCACGTTGATGGGCATCGAAGGCATTGCGGACGAGATTGAGATGCCATTCGGTTTGTTCCGTAAATTTCGCATGGATTTTCCAGGACTGACGGGTTTGCAGGACTGGACAAATCTGATCTTCCGCTAGGTAGGATTGCGCGTTTCATCCTCCGAGAACTGTTGGCTGATTATTGTTTGCCGTGCAGAGCGTTATTGCGACGATCTCAAAGAGGAGATCGAGTAAGCTCGAGTTGCAAGCCGTCCTCCGGTGTTCTGACAAATTCACCACAGGTACATTGTTGAGAGGCTACCCGACGGTGGAGAGGGGATGTACGGTATTGATGATGGATTAGGAGATGACTGAATCATACCACAATACCAGGGCAGGCTGCCCATAGTACTTGTTACCACACCCATCGATACCTTGCGACTGGCATTTGACGGAATATATGGACTTTCAAAGCATTACATATTGTCTAGCTGAATTCTGGTGTGCAAAACTCGCCAGGACCGTACGGCTTCGCGACAACGTATGTTAACTGGAATGAGCGGTGATGAGAACGGGGTACTGACCTTGGAAGTCAGCGCGGTAAGACCGGCAGAGTTCTCGCTTGTGTGCCGACCGCTCTGAGGACCGAGCTTAGGCTTCTCGCCTTTCTTGAACGCGTCAAGAATCTTCTTGGTTGTCTCCGTCGTCAAGTCCTCCTGCACATATCCGGTTAATGTCTTGCAGACTCAATGATCCGAGGTAAACGAGCGGAGGGCACTCACGTAATAGTCGTCACCGACAACCATCATTGGTGCATTGCTGCACGCACCTTGGCACTCCACCTCGATGACGGTGAACTTCCCGTCTTTGGTGGTCTCGCCAGGCTTGACGCCGCCCAGGTGGTCGCAGACGGTGTTCAGGATGTCGTACCCACCGCGTAACATGCACGGGGTGGTCGTGCACACCTGTACGAAATGCTCACCGATGGGCTCGCTGCACGGTTTTAGTGAACGAGCGACGACGGAAAGGCGAGGCGACACACCGGTTGAACATGGTGTAGAAGGTGGCGACCTCGTACACGCGCATAGGGGGCATCTCGAGCAGCTTAGCGACGTAGTTCATGACACTGATGCTGGTCCAACCCTTGTTCTGTCGCTGGCCCAAGTCTAGCAGAGGAATGACGGCAGCCTTCTTGTATTGAGGCGGGTAATGTGAAATGATCTCCTGGGCGCGCTTCGTGTTCGCGGCATTGAATTCAAATGGAATCTAAACCACGGTAAGTAAAAATTTGACGACCAAATGGCGAGCACCGACCTTGGGGTTGTTATAAGTTGTGTCGCGGTGCTAAATGTACCGGTCGGGTGAGTATCGCGAATGGTCTGACATGTCCAGTACTGACGACGAAGAGAGCATCTGACTTCCTGCATGCTGTCGATGAGACATTCCTCGCCGAGACCGCGGGGCGGAAGCGGATGCGTTTTGACAGTCTTGCTGCGAACATTTCGACACGCCCGCCGGTGAGAATGCTCGGTGCAGCTGCTGCACTCCAGCTCATTGGTCACGTGATTCGCCCGACGCATCAGAATAAAAGTGCTAATGCTATGTATTATCGCGGAAACCGCTTTGTAGACTCTTGCAGTTGTACGAGAAATACACGACGATAACTCGGAAGACTGTATTGACGGCAGGTATCTCGGTACAGACGCTTGCACGAGACGTACGCTGCCTGCTGGTCAGCATTAAATAATAAATATGGAACGCGACTCGCCGAGCATATACAGTACTTACAAGCCTTCAAAGCTGGCAGTGCATTGCAGCACATCGTCCAGGTTCACTCCATTCCAGCTCAGGGCTATCGATGTATCCCAGAGCTGAAGAGCAAGCAGAGGTCGTTGTTGTGTTGGGTGGCGCCGAGGTCTGGTGACCGCTTCTTCCCGCGCCTGCTCACCCCTCTTTCCTCCTCCATCACTTCACCGTGTCCTCCGCTATTTGCTTGCTCTTCCTCCCGCTCCTCGATTCATTCCTCCATCGTCTTTCCCTCCTCGCTCCTCTCCGTTCGTCGTCCTCTACCAGCCGTCTCCCACCCCGGCCAACTGCCTCGATCGCACCGAACATTAATCCTGTATTCTGACCATCCCTCGACCACTCCACATGGCTGCTCACGGCCCCATTAATGGCGTCAAGATATCACGTACGTTATCCGTTTGCCACTCTCGTCATGCTTTGCCCCCCAAATGTGTCGCCAAGCCCGACTCTCCGCCTTTTTGTCAAATCGCTCCGCCGTGTCCGATAATTAATGTCTTGCTCACTTTGCCTCCGTCGCATCTATTCCCTTTTTTTAGCCGTCGATGATCCCCGCAAGATCGTCAAGGTTGTCGCTTCCGACGGCAAGTCGGGGGACATGCGAGACCTCGTCTACACCAATTGCAAAGTCGTCGGAAATGGCTCCTTCGGCATAGTCTTTCAAGCCAAGCTCCTCGACGAACCGGAGGGATCATCTGAGATTGCCATTAAGAAAGTTTTGCAGGACAAGAGGTTCAAGGTATGCCCGATCATTCTTACCTCTCATTTTTCCTGCGACGATTCTGCCCGACTGCCGTGCCCAAGAATGCTCTTTGCTTATTGCCAACTCTATGGCGTTCCCCTCCGATAGAACCGTGAATTGCAAATTATGAGGCTTGTCAAACACCCCAATGTAGTCGACCTCAAGGCCTTTTTCTACTCTAACGGTGATAAGGTAAGGTCTCTATACTCCTGCCTCCAGCAAGTTCAACAAGAACAGTCGCGCTGACCCCAGTACAAAAGAAAGATGAAGTGTATCTCAACCTTGTACTCGAATACGTACCCGAAACTGTCTACAGGGCCAGTCGCCATTATGCCAAGCTCAAGCAGCCCATGCCAATGCTACAAATCAAGTTGTACATGTACCAACTACTCCGGTCCTTAATGTACATTCACGCTATTGGCATCTGTCATCGAGACATCAAGCCGCAGAACCTTCTCCTCAATCCTGCGACGGGTGTTCTCAAGCTCTGTGATTTTGGCTCAGCCAAGATCTTGGTTGCGGGCGAACCCAACGTCAGTTATATCTGCTCGCGATACTACAGGGCGCCGGAGCTCATCTTCGGTGCAACGAACTATACTACGAATATCGGTAAGAACGCCTCATATTTGGCTGTCTAATTTTACCGAACGAGGGTGCTGACTATCGCCCGTGAAGATATTTGGTCAACGGGATGTGTCATGGCCGAGTTAATGTTGGGGCAGCCACTCTTCCCGGGCGAGAGTGGCATTGATCAGCTCGTGGAGATCATCAAGGTACTCGGAACACCTTCACGGGAGCAAATCAAGACGATGAACCCCAACTACATGGAACACAAGTTCCCGCAGATCAAGCCTCATCCCTTCTCCAAGGCGAGTCACACAGGCGGATGGGGTGGCATTGGCTCACCTGGTGTTTCCAGGTCTTCCGGCCTCGTACGGCAGCAGAAGCCATCGATCTCGTGTCAAAGTTGCTGGAGTACACACCTGAGGCGCGGTTGAGCGCTGTAGAGGCGATGTGCCAACCCTTCTATGACGAGCTGAGAGTAGAAGGAGCAAAAATGCCTAACGGGAAGGACTTCCCTCCACTCTTTGACTTCACTCGGGAAGGTGAGCGCCGGTGTCCAGCCTGTGCGGCATGAGAGAGGATGACATACTAACGGTGACCTGCTGCGCGTTTCAGAGCTGTCAGTGCGACCAGACCTGACGCGGCAGCTTGTGCCCCCTCACTGCGAGAAGGAGCTGGCCTCACGTGGGATTCATCTGGACAACTTCGTGCCGATACCACTGGAGCAGCTGAGGATCTCTTTGGATTGAGAGGCGCAGGAGCCTTGACGGTGGTGTCTTTCATGTTGCCAGAGGCATTTTTGGCTTGCTTTCCAGATTTTATACGCGAGCGCGTTTCTATATATCTTGTGTCGAACAGCCCTCCTCCGCTTCCGTATATATGTATGGGCTCAAGTAGGCGACGTCGTGTTGTGCCGGCCACTGGGGCTGTAGTTTGTGTTGCATATGTTACGCACCGATGTTGTGACGAATCTAAGTATGAATGAGCTGGCGAATGGTGTTGGAAGGCCTAGGGATTGTGCGATGGAAGAGAGGCAGTGAGTCACAGTTTGCACGGTGTTGCGCCATGTCGCGCACTCGGCACGCGACTCAGCGTGCAGGCCCAGCGACGACCACTCAGTCCAGCTCAGCAAGCTACTCTCTCCCAACCTCCATGTCCTCAGCAATGCCTGCTCATTATGTCTGCGATACCCTCCCTCCTCCTCGCCTCGCCGCAGGGTCCTCCAGGTCGCCCACGCCGCCTCCCCCGACCGTGACCATCTTTCATCCACCCATTCTCGATACCGCTTCCGCACGGATCGTTCCTGCACCGTCTGAGGTAGCCCATTCTGAACCCGACCAGCCCAAGTCTCAGCCGTCACCGGCCCCGCCAACGGCGAGGAAACTTTGTGTGCGCCATCAGCGCATGGCAGATGAGGGTACGAATCTAAAACTGCAGCAGGTAAGGGCGTCTTCCGTCCGCCTTTGTCATATACATCCAGTCTATCCACGAGCTGCTAGCTGCACTTAGCCGAATCTTCGCTTGTTCCCACCTCCCCCGACTAACGGAAGACTTTGATCTTCCGTTGACACCGTGGGTATTGTCCATCTCTTTGATGTGCTAATGTCCGCCTTCCTTTCACTATTCCTTGTACGCTCTTCTGTACGGTTGTGCTCACTCCTATCGACTTAGGCTCTCGATGCGCTGCCCGTCCAAGAACGCGAAGCAGTCAATGCAGTATGGTCCAACTTCTCTTCCTCATCCCATCCTCGCCGCGCACTTATTCTCCAAGGCCTTCTCACCATGTGTTGCTTCTCCCAACTCTCCCTTCTGTCAGACCAACTCGCACAGTTGATCCGCCTTGACCCATTTGCCGTCGTCCCGCGGGAGGTTTCACTGAAGATTCTGGGTTATCTCGATGCCACGTCCCTCTGTCGCGCTGCCCAGGTGAGCCGACAGTGGAGAAGCCTTGCGGACGACGACATCCTCTGGCGCGGAATCTGCGAGCAGCATATAGGACAGAAGTGCCTCAAGTGCGGCTGGGGTCTGCCGATCCTGGAGAAGCGTCGCGCCGTTCGCATACCTTCGTCCGCCTCCCCATGCCCGTCGCCTGCCTCGAGAGAGACGTCTCCCGTACTTGGAAAGAGAGAACTCGAGCAGGATGCCCTAAATCTTGAGCCATCAGCCAAGCGCAGGAAACAGGACTTGGATCTGCAGCACGGTGACTCGCCTGTTCCGTCGTCGTCGTCGCTTCCTTTGTCGTCCGATATTAGCAGACCTGTCTCTCCTGCGAACCCCCTCATTGTGCCTAGTAATCCTTCACCGTCCGATGCCCTCACTAGACCATGGAAAGATGTGTACTGTGAACGACTCAAGATCGAGCGTAATTGGCGTCGCGGGCGATGCACGGTGCGCACCCTCAAGGGACATACGGACGGCGTAATGTGTCTGCAGTTCGATGAGACGTTGTCTCACCCTGCGTTCCCGGTGCTCATCACCGGGTCGTACGACCGTACTGTGCGCGTCTGGAATATGGAGACCTGCAAGGAGGTACACTGTCTTACAGGACATACACGCGCCGTCCGCGCCTTGCAATTCGACGATGCGAAGCTCATCACGGGAAGCATGGATCATACGATGCGTGTGTGGAACTGGCGGACCGGTACATGCCTTCGAACGCTCGAGGGACACACGGAGGGTGTGGTGTGTTTGTGCTTTGATTCGAACGTGCTTGCCAGCGGTAGCGTCGATACAACAGTCAAGGTGTGGAATTTCAGGACGGGGGAGTGCTTCACGCTTCGGGGGCACTGTGACTGGGTCAATGCGGTACAACTGTGGGACTCGGACGGGTCGAAGTCATCATGTTCTTCCATTTCCTCCGCTGCGGATTCGGCTCTGGAAGGCGGCCTATCTGCGTCCTCAGATTCTGCACCCAATATTGATCCTGGGAAGATGTTGTTCTCGGCATCCGACGATGGCTCAATCAGACTTTGGGATCTTTCGCTTCGGACGTGCGTGCGACAGTTTAAGGGTCATGTTGGTCAGGTGCAAAGCCTCAAGCTATTAGTCTTGGACGACGAATGTGACGAATCCGGCCCTGATACCGACGAGCAAGCGGACGGGGCTTACTCGAGTCCTCCTAGCCGGCCTGACTCTCCTGCAGCTCTGTCGGAGCCGAATGTGTTCGTTCATCCTCCTGGTTTCGATCCTCACCTGTACCATTCTATACCCAATATTCCCCCTGCACCCTTTGCATACGTCCATCCCGAGCTGCCGGAGCCCGACCCCAGCAAGTCGAAGAAGGGCAAGGACAAGGCAGCAAGGGATTCTAGAAGCGAGAAGTCGCAGAAATGCGTTCTCATTTCAGGGAGCTTGGACAACACGATCAAGCTGTGGGACATTGATAACGGCAAGGCCATGAGAACCTTGTTTGGACACATCGAGGGTGTCTGGGCGGTCGCGAGCGACAAGCTGCGCCTCGTCAGCGGGAGCCATGACCGCACCATTAAGGTGAGTCCCGTGCGTGTCAGATGGCTGTATGAAAGGAACTCTGATGGCTGTTGCAGGTGTGGGTTCGCGAAGAAGGCCGTTGCACAGCAACTCTGGTAGGACATAGAGGGGCGGTGACCTGCCTTGCTCTTGGGGAGGATAAGATTGTATCGGGGAGCGATGACGGAGACATTCGTCTATGGAGTTTCAGCGGGTGAAAGGGGCGCGTTACCTCAGTATTATTGCCGATGACCTGGTGCAGCTCGAGCTAAACGTGCTATAACACTTCGTACGACGGTAAGCTCGAGTAATTACAGCCGTCGTTTTCATATTGGATGCCTTTGGGGTGCCTCTCCGTGGGATTTGGTGTTTCTAGAGCGGTGTGCGAAAGGGCCCAAAATACACTTGCCGTCTTGAAACAGCGGGATTTATCAAACCGCAGCGATGCGTCAGCCACGGTGCCAGATAATAGAGACCAGATGAAGAGGCCCAGGGTATGGAGGTCGTTTGGTTACGGTTCGTTTATGGACAGATGCCGTGATGCCGACGCGTGGCTCTCGCGTGGTTCATCCAGGAGACCTCAGTCACCCCTTACGTGCGCCAGTATTTTTCCTTAGCACCTGCCATTCGTCCCGCATGTCGTGCTCGCCGTGCGTCGGCTCGAGCTCATCGCTGCTGACGACGAGCTCCACTAGTTACATGCTCAAAAACTTCTCCTAAATATTTTCATTCCACTAATTACCATATACATACATTAGCAAGAAGTATTCATCATTAATATGTAAGGTGCTCTTGCCGTCATCAGGTAGATATTGTTCGAGATGGTGAGTGCAGCATGGGCTAGGGACAGTCCAGCACTGTGTTGCGTGGATTTCAATGTAGATATAGCACTGCTGCGAATCACATCAGGAGACCGTCCCGCATGAGTAGTGTGCAAAGTGCTTGCGGCCATCATAGCCCAAAAATCTGAATTCACATTTGCTGGAGAGCTACCATGTATATATATATCTATTCAGCAGTTGGTACTAGTCCGAATCTGTGTCACTACTCGTTCATTCATTGTGCTCATGCCCGGAAGGAGCATCTGATGAGAAACCATCATTGACTTGAGACCCAGAATGCCTGACAACTGAGCGACCTTCGTGTGGACGATGAAGATCCAGCACGGGCATCCACTCCTCGCCACCTGCATCTTCTCCAACAGGAGGCACTGCAGCATGGGCAGAAACCACAAGTTGAACGTCTTCATCATCATTGAATGCATAGAAGCATGCCAAAAGCTCACTATACACTGTCCAAATGTTCTCACGATGCACGATCGGGGCTCCCAACTCTTGGTAGAATTGGGCAGCACGCACTGCAAATGCGGGAGGGACAAGCTGGAAAACAGGATAGCCCAATTCTCTCAGATGCCACTGAACAAACCCACAGCATAATATATTCCGACATCTGTCATGAAACATGGACTTGGCAAACTTCGAGAGGATGACAGAGGCCCGGGAGTTCGCCATCTACATGAACTACGTCCGGAAACTCGGCTTCGAGGAGACGCCAGACTACGACTTCCTCCGTGAGCTCTTCACAAACACAGACTGACACAGACTGCTTCGAGCCTCGGTGGTGCGACGCCGCATGAATATACCATCACGTACATGTTGTGGAGATTACCGTCCAGTTATGCATACTAAGTGGACCTGCACAGTTCGTTCAAGCAGAGCCAGCAGTCCTATCTTTAGCGTAATAGACTCGCCTCACGTTTTCGCCGCTGCAGATCCTCCGCCAGCAGTCCGACGATTCGAGCTCGAGCTTGGTCTCTTGCTCCGTTGGCCGTGACATCCCCCAACGTCGACGCGTGTCACATTGTACAGCGTAGAGCTGGAGGTGTTCATCCAGATGGGATGAAACGGAGGTGTTTCACTTTCTCAGCTGGCAGCGATCGTCGTCATACGCGTCTCTGCCGCTTGCCGTCGACATCATCCCATCCGTACCTTTCGTCTGTGAGACCTCCGACGCTCAGAGATGGCAGCTGGGTGGGCGAAGCGTCGCTGATCCGAGCTCTGCTTCGGCTTATCTGCTGCTCTCTAATAGCTCGGCAACCTTCTCTACCTCTGTTGGAGGTGTGCGGATTAGCAATACTATGGAGGTCGTTTGGTTACGGTTCATTTATGGACAGATGCCGTGATGCCGACGCGTGGCTCTCGCGTGGTTCATCCAGGAGACCTCAGTCACCCCTTACGTGCGCTAGTATTTTTCCTTAGCACCTGCCATTCGTCCCGCATGTCGTGTTCGCCGTGCGTCGGCTCGAGCTCATCGTTGCTGACGACGAGCTCCACTACATGCTCAAAAACTTCTGAATATTTTCATTCCACTAATTACTATGTACATAGCAAGATATTGATCATGAATATGTAAGATGCTCTCGCGGTAGATGACCTAGTCCAAGAAGTTGCACAGTTGCGAGTACCTGGCCATGGCGTCGACACCGACACCGGGCCTGCAACGTAAACGAACGCTGTAGAGATAGGGGAAGTTGCTCGAGCACTATAAATGCGTGAGTTTCATCCGTATATGCATGGTGAGGCTCACCTTCGTAGTTCTCCTCCTTGAACGTGTCCCATACCTCGCGTACCTTGTCAGATGTCGCGTCCGCAGCATCCACAGCAATGTGACTATCGTGTCGAGAGGGTTCGTATGTTCGTCCACGATCGTACAAGTTTTGGGGCGTTTCGAGCGATAGGTCAGTACAGATAATCTACAAGCAATTTTTACCGCATATCACTCCTAATGGGGGATGTGTATCCTTCGAGAGACTCAACAGGAGGATTCGACGGAGGAGTTCCATTCACCATTCAGCGTGCGGAATAAGTATACCGGTAGGTCCCACTTCTTGATCGGAGCATCGAGATAGACGATGCACCCGCGGTAAGAAGAGAAGAAGGGGGGGGGAGACTCGTCTCGGATGTCCTATTTGTCCTCGCGGCATAGCGCTCAGCGGCTTCATCGATCCTGACACGTCCGACCGACCACCTCGACGCCTCGCCATACATGGTCGATGTCCACCAAAACGCGGGTGGCCGATTGGACATCGACGGCGACATAAAATTAAGGCCGAGGCGTGCACCGGAGTGTACGCTTGTACACTCACTTGGGGGAGCGCCTGTGCCCAGTCGATCGGAGCGTGAGGCAGACGTCCGGCTTTTCGGCCTTCGCGTATGGCAGCAGGGGGTATGCTCGCGTAGAAGATGCACGTCTCACTCGAGAAGGTCGGGTGCAGCAGGAGGTCGTTCCGAGAGCGAGAGGAGTGAGACGAGAGACGGAGTCATCTCAGGAATTCGGACGAGCTACTTGGCGAAATTTGCGGGTGCGCGCCGTGCACGATGAGCAGCTGCACCAAGATGAGCGAAGATCCGAGCTTACAAGTGGAGCACTGGCCTTCAAACCTCCGTAGGCTGCGAGGACACTTATGCGCATTGGCGTGCTGGACCCGACACGTTCGCGTATATATGCTCATTCTCCTGGGCGTCCGACGTCTCGAATCCAGCTGAGGCGGCTGTTTCCTCCCTCGAGTATGGGCAGCAGATGCTCGCCAGTGCCGTCCGAAACCTGAAGCTGGTGCGGGACGAGCTGGAAGGAACTTAAGCACTGAACGGCGCGTACCGTAGGACAAATATCTCCACATCCTGCAATGTCTCCAAGAACCCATACGCAATCACTCGGGGTTGAGATCAACAGGTGCGTACTACAATGAGTCGATAACCTTTTGTGCGCGCAGGCAGCCCACTACCCATGCGCGCGCGGGTTGGTCGGTGTTCACAATGATGTCCACGGCACGAATGACGCGATCTGTATGGGTGTAATGAGGTGTATGTTCATCAGGACGTCCTGAAAGAGACCGCTGATGCCTGCGACCGACAATATAGGTCGGGAGGTTGTAAGCAACTGCACCTCGGGCTACGAGTGGAAGAGGATAGAAATTGGCTTAACTACATAGAAGCCTGTTGAGCTCCTTATATACTGTAAACTAAAAGACTAGAAACTACCAGACTGTTCTCGAGACATTGTCCTTACTAATCCTAACCCTACGGACCTTTCCCGGACCTTTCCGTAGATGCCGGATTGCTAATCCGCACACCTCCAACAGAGGTAGAGAAGGTTGCCGAGCTATTAGAGAGCAGCAGATAAGCCGAAGCAGAGCTCGGATCAGCGACGCTTCGCCCACCCAGCTGCCATCTCTGAGCGTCGGAGGTCTCACAGACGAAAGGTACGGATGGGATGATGTCGACGGCAAGCGGCAGAGACGCGTATGACGACGATCGCTGCCAGCTGAGAAAGTGAAACACCTCCGTTTCATCCCATCTGGATGAACACCTCCAGCTCTACGCTGTACAATGTGACACGCGTCGACGTTGGGGGATGTCACGGCCAACGGAGCAAGAGACCAAGCTCGAGCTCGAATCGTCGGACTGCTGGCGGAGGATCTGCAGCGGCGAAAACGTGAGGCGAGTCTATTACGCTAAAGATAGGACTGCTGGCTCTGCTTGAACGAACTGTGCAGGTCCACTTAGTATGCATAACTGGACGGTAATCTCCACAACATGTACGTGATGGTATATTCATGCGGCGTCGCACCACCGAGGCTCGAAGCAGTCTGTGTCAGTCTGTGTTTGTGAAGAGCTCACGGAGGAAGTCGTAGTCTGGCGTCTCCTCGAAGCCGAGTTTCCGGACGTAGTTCATGTAGATGGCGAACTCCCGGGCCTCTGTCATCCTCTCGAAGTTTGCCAAGTCCATGTTTCATGACAGATGTCGGAATATATTATGCTGTGGGTTTGTTCAGTGGCATCTGAGAGAATTGGGCTATCCTGTTTTCCAGCTTGTCCCTCCCGCATTTGCAGTGCGTGCTGCCCAATTCTACCAAGAGTTGGGAGCCCCGATCGTGCATCGTGAGAACATTTGGACAGTGTATAGTGAGCTTTTGGCATGCTTCTATGCATTCAATGATGATGAAGACGTTCAACTTGTGGTTTCTGCCCATGCTGCAGTGCCTCCTGTTGGAGAAGATGCAGGTGGCGAGGAGTGGATGCCCGTGCTGGATCTTCATCGTCCACACGAAGGTCGCTCAGTTGTCAGGCATTCTGGGTCTCAAGTCAATGATGGTTTCTCATCAGATGCTCCTTCCGGGCATGAGCACAATGAATGAACGAGTAGTGACACAGATTCGGACTAGTACCAACTGCTGAATAGATATATATATACATGGTAGCTCTCCAGCAAATGTGAATTCAGATTTTTGGGCTATGATGGCCGCAAGCACTTTGCACACTACTCATGCGGGACGGTCTCCTGATGTGATTCGCAGCAGTGCTATATCTACATTGAAATCCACGCAACACAGTGCTGGACTGTCCCTAGCCCATGCTGCACTCACCATCTCGAACAATATCTACCTGATGACGGCAAGAGCACCTTACATATTAATGATGAATACTTCTTGCTAATGTATGTATATGGTAATTAGTGGAATGAAAATATTTAGGAGAAGTTTTTGAGCATGTAACTAGTGGAGCTCGTCGTCAGCAGCGATGAGCTCGAGCCGACGCACGGCGAGCACGACATGCGGGACGAATGGCAGGTGCTAAGGAAAAATACTGGCGCACGTAAGGGGTGACTGAGGTCTCCTGGATGAACCACGCGAGAGCCACGCGTCGGCATCACGGCATCTGTCCATAAACGAACCGTAACCAAACGACCTCCATACAGGGAGGGTGTTGAAAAGATGTTTTACATTTGGAACTTCGGCATGGTCCCCTAAAAGCGAGATTTACATAGACCAAATTTAGACAGCACGGTTTATGTAACGGTGATGGCGAGCGTCTGTCGTTTCTTCCCTCTATGGCGCGCTAGGTACATCCCGACCACCCTCCTTTTGATTCCGTTTCTTTTCACGTTTCCCCCCTCCACTCACTCCTTCACCTCCGGTTTCGGTCTCTCCATTTACCGGGGGGTCTCACTACGTATAAAAGGACGACGTTCCTACTGTGTAGAGGTAGCGTACCGTCTATTGAAAACCCAGCCTTCAAAGCTGAACTTCGTGTGTGCGCTTCCGTGTGACGCGACCTCCCTATTCCGGTAGCCAGCGTCACAGTTTAGAACCTACATGTCCACGGAAAGGCACATCAAACAAAAATCCCTTCTCCGCCCCCTCTCCGACTAGCGGAGCATGAGACCAACCCAATCATCGCCTTCTCTTTTGAACTTAAGTGAATCTTTTTGTGTTAATGTGAGTATATTTGCTTGCTGAAAGGCTTCAGCTGGCTGGTGTGCCTCAGTGTTGAACCTGGTGACGTGGCCGAGTTGGTCTAAGGCGTTGGATTTAAGTTTGGTTTCGATTCCCAATGGGTGTAAGCCCGCGCGAGTTCGAACCTCGCCGTCACCATTTTTCATTTTGCCGCTTCGGCCCCCCACTGTAGAACATCTTAACTGTTCCGCGACCTCACCGTCTAAAACAGACGTCTAAATTTACTCATCCATGCGATCATTGGTCATCACATTATTCATTGGAGGTAGGAGGAGCACAACGCCAGACTCAGAATAGCTGATATCACATTGCCGTTGAGGAACGACGACACATGAACAATTTTTTTGAATGACTCACACCAGAGATACTGTCTTTTCCGCCAGGCATTTCCCGCACCCTTTTAACATATGAGGTCGTTTGATGAGTATGTGTGATTGAGAGAACGTCAGCGGAGTCAATATTCACCTTCTGGAGGGTCTGAACTGATCGGCTGGGTCGGGGGCATCCCACAAACTGGCAACACCTGATTTCGTACGCCTACTCCTAAGGTCGTGTCAGTGGACAAACGTAGACTATGAACAGTAAGAACATATACTTCGAACCAGTATTACTGGTACTAATCTCTTCCGCCTTGTCGGAGTCGGGAGACTTCTGCTCAGTGACAGCAGGATGTTCTGCAACGGGCTCTGAGTGTGCCTCAGTAGGCTGGCAGAGCAATCAACTTTACGTGCACGAACTGTAAGAAGACTAGTAACCATACCTTCGCACCGCCTCTCAATGGTGCAGTTGCCAATGCGTCATTGTCATCGGTACCAAAAATATTTGTATGTGCACCACCAGGCACTTCGCGAACCTTGCGCGAAGGTCGGAATGCGTTTGAGTTAAGGACTGCATAAAATCACAAATGTGACAGGATATAAACCGATACACGAAAGGTTAGCAACCTGCAGGCGTAGTCTCATTGGAAGAGGGTTGGTCCACGTTCGAAGAGGATTGGCCCGAATTTACTCCAGAAGCAACAGCCGTCCCAAAGTGAGCAAAGCCTACCGCAACATTATTCAAAATAGGGTCGAGAGCGGTGATCAAGAGATTCAAGGCCGGGAACACGTACGAGGTAACTTCTGGATGTTTGTGAAATTGGGATCGACGGTAACACCTGCATACCTATGAATGTTTATTGTCAGCGGATACCATCGTGCTCCCAAATGAGTTGCAAATCGAGAAAGAGACCCATACTTCATGAACTCGAGAAGGGAGCGCTTGGTGAAGACTATCTGAGTTGTGTCCCAGTCCAGCATACCTGGGGAAACGGTGAGACTGTGTCGGGTTGCAGTTAGGTATACATACCGAGGTTAGCAGGCCAATCTCGCTCATTGCTCATGTCGACGACAGAGGAGGGCGTAAATCTGCATTATTTGTCAATTGAGAAGGCGATAATAAGTGGTCGAAGAGCGCACCCCGAAGACGACATAGCGGGCAGGTACAAATGCTATGGGCGGCCACGCGCCAAGCTGAGGGCAACCGTCTCTAACACTGACAGTACTCAAGTACTTTTGGCGGTATTACTACCTAAATGCGCACGTGACTGTCTATACTACAAGAAGTATCTATCCTTCGGCCGCGCAACCGCTCGATGAGATCGTACTTGAGTTCTCTGTACAAAAGTATCGCCTTTACTTCTCCAAGGTCTTCGATGGTGTGAGATGCGGCTGAAGAGACTGGGTTTCCCAAAATAGCACACAGTCTGGTGAAACACTAGTGTGTGAGCCCACTGAAATCGGCATATTGATTGCATTTGAGTGACAGCTGAAGGGGTGACCAAAAGGCTCAGAGGTTCAGCATGAAAATACCCCATAGCTATAGAACCGTACCATCGACCACAGAGTAGTATAACCATCAGACATAGCACAACCCTCGAAGGGAATTGAATATCGCGCGGATGATAGGAAACTACGTGTCTCATATGGACAGACCGCAGAGCATATACCCACTTCATCCTCGACTACTATCACGTGACCTTTTTGTCACGCTTGGCGGGAGAAACACACTGAATGGCTAATTCCTCCATGCACAGGACAAGCATCAAAAATATGCTTCTGTAACTTTGTAGAAGATGATTTTTGAGATTTAGTTACAGAAACAGATTATTTTATTTTGGAGGAGGGATGGAGAAATTAGGCTGCTAGTGCTCCAAATTCACACCTTTCCCCGCCAATCTCGCGCCACCGTGACAGACTTTGGCTGAGGCACCTGATGTGTCACGCTGTGACGATAGTAGTCGAGGATGAAGTGGGTCTATCTTACTCTTCTGTATTAATTATCGTCTTTCCCCGGTCAACATGCTCAAACCACAATGCGTTTCGCGATGTCGAGCTATTCAACCCCGTCTCCGGCGTGGGCTCACCTGGCTTAATTGCCAGCCTGGCCCTTCTATAGCCTATCTCCAAACGTACAAACCTGACGATCCAGCAGTCGCCAGTACACCCGACCTGTCGGCAAAGCAAAAGAAGATTCTTGACAGCGCCCTGCGTGTTGATCAGGCGGGAGAATTGGCTGCGAACTACATATACATGGGTCAAATGGCTGTTCTTGGCCGTGATCCCTTGACTGGTCCTCTCATTCAGGCAAGCAATCTCACCATCCGACACGACCCTGTCATCAATGGCATTCAAAGGCTAATCGTGCACTCGCACAGGAAATGTGGGATCAGGAGAAGAAACATCTCGCAGTGATGAACAAGCTCCAGGTACAGCACCGAGCGCGACCCACCATTGTTTGGGATGTAGCTCGAATTGCCGGCTTCGGTCTCGGCGCGGTCACTGCACTGATGAGTAGGGAGGCAGCAATGGCATGCACAGAAGCCGTTGAAACTGTCATTGGCGAGCACTATGATGAGTACGTCCAGCGTCTGCCGTTTTATTTGACATCAAGCCTGAAGTCCGACATAGCCAACTGCGCGAAATGGAAGATTTGCCCACGTCACATCCAAGTGTACCACTCCTGAGGAACGTCGTACGGGAGTTTCGAGACGACGAACTTGAGCATCTGGATATTGCAGTGGAGAACTATGCTCAGCGAGCACCTGCACATGCACTACTCAGCACTGTTGTGGGAGCAGGATGCAAGATTGCTATTGAGCTCTGTAAGAGGGTATAGTGTCTCTCTATCGCCTTTGGCAGCCCCGCTTGTTATTGTTAAGTAATCGAACAACATTCTGCCCGATGGCGTACGAAGGAACAGTCTGACGCTTATCTGCTGGGCTGAACGCGTGCCAATGACTCGTTCTTCAGTTTCCCCATCCAACTCCACTTGCACTGAAGAAGAGGGTGAGTTCATGGAGATGAACAAGAGACAGTTGCAAGACTGACATCCTCGTGAGCGGCAAGGTACAGCACAGCACCAGGAACCAGTAAAAGTCCGCATACGGATTGCCAAGTAGTCCGAGGAGTGAAGCGGAAATGCTTGTACGCATTTTCGCGCTGAAGATGTGATGAATGCATGTATCAAAAAGAGAGAGACATAACGATGGGCACCATGCTGTTCCATCGCTCGATGGCGGGGTCGTGCTTCAGAAAGAAGATGTCAGTGACGATGTGAGGGGTAGACGAAGAAACGTCGACCTTTGTGTATCCTGAACATCAGGAAACAATAAACAATTAGCGAAGAAGAGATAGTGAACGACGACGAGGGCTGCACTGACCGTGGCCTGCCATGGTTGCCGTTGAGAGTCGAGGAAGGTGTTGACGTTTGTTTGCTTGCGACTTGTCAACAACCATCACCCTGAGCTCCATCACTTACTGCCGACCACTTGCTTCCTCTCTGACATGGCTTATAACCGCGAATGGGACAGAGGCAAATTTGTCCCCAACGAAGGCTCAGCCTGGCAATACAATACTTCCAGACCCAGTCTCCATCCTAGGGACGATGAATACTATTCCGAAGGAAAGCGCAGGAAGTTCAACGATGGCGTTGGTGCTTCGAATTACTCTGTTTCTCCCTACTCTCATGTACTTCAGGGATACGATACGGCTTACGCGGTTGAGCCTGCGTACAGCGACAACGCCTATGACACCAGCTTTGCCCAGGGCCGACAGACAGAATCTAATCAGGACTATTACCCCTCCGAAGACCGCCACCAACGCGGTGGTGCTCACGGCAAGAAACGTCTGGTGCCGAGCGAACCGAGCCCCCATGTGATTTTCCTCGGATTGGATCCAGACTTTACCGAAGCAGACGTTCGTCCATTTGCATTCTTCGCGTCACGGAACAGCTTATATCTTCTCTCACGTCAACGTGGCTTAGCTTCAAGCATACCTCGCCAGCAACAGTTGCAGTATTGAGACGGTCACCATAATTCGAGACAGATCAACAGGCACTTGCCCCTTCGTCTTTCCTGCTTATTCCGCAGTGCATTGACGTTCTCTTCTTCGCATCGGTTTCTTGTTCCTTTCTTTCAAGGTGTTTCCAAGGGGTTTGGCTTTGCCCAATTCACGAGCACCGAGCATGCCCGCGCATTCGTCGATCCTCTTTTCCCGTTCATTCAAGTACCTCCGCCCGCCTCACATGGCGCCTCCGCCTCTGCAGCCTTCTATAAGGCGCTCGAGATGGGTAGTGCAACGCCGCACGGCGGTCGTCGAGTGAAGATTGATTTTTCTCAGAGTGCCAGTCCGGGCGAGAAACGCGGCCGAGGTCCGCAACATGCGAACGACGGCACACGGGACATAGGCAACGCTCAAGCGGCTGTGTTGTTGTTTCGCGGTCTGGATCCCCTTTCTGGTCCACAAGCTATCGCACAAGCTATGAAAACATCTGCTGGCGTCGGTCGTGAGGGTGCTCGCGGTATGCGACGCATCATTCTCATCAAGGATAAGGTTACTATGGCTAGTTGGGGATTCGCATTCGTGGAGTTTGTCGATGTACAGGTGGGACGGTGAACTTCTTTCCTTCCTTCAGGTGCTAAGGCTCGTTTAACAGTCCGCGTCTGCGGTGTTAGGCGTCACAATGTCGCCTGAAATCCATCCCTCGGGGTTCCGTATTTCTGATCGTCCTGTCGCTGCCTCGTTCGCCCATCCATATTCTTTTCAACCACAACCCGATTTTTCTCTTCGCGACGATGCATGTCTACCGTCCTCTTCGAGTTTAGGTGGGGTTGAAGGGACTTGGGTTCGATATTGGGATGAAGCGTCCACTGCTGCTGTTTTGGAGTTCAAGGTAGAAGAGCCTGTGGAGCCTACTGTCCCGCCTGTGAAGGAGAAGAAGAAGAAGAGTAAAGGTCAGTTATTATGCTTGAGCGATGTCGTACATATTCCATGACACGCGATGCAGGTGCTTCTGAGACCGTCAATCCCCCGACTGATGAACGCCCAGCGGAAGCTTCCGCTCTTCCTGTATCGGACAAGCCAGTGATGCTGAGCTTCAAATCCACTACATCGAACAAGCAAGGTCCGGCGAATACTTTGGGAACTAGTGGTCAGCCGAAGAAGGCTGCTCCTCTGTCGCTAGCGTTCTCGATGGCGGAGGATAATCAGCACCCTGATGTCTCAGATGTCGAGAGCGATAATACGAAAGGTGCAACAGAGGATCCCAAGGGTTTGTCTCATTGTCTCGAGATGTGTGAAGGTGCTGTGGATGTGCGCGCTGACGTCTCTGTTCTCGTAATCTGCAGTGACTACGGCGAAGAAGGTAGCTCCCTTGATTGCAAGCAGGAAGGTGAGCTTAGGGTCTACCGTTATGTGGCTGGCGAAGGCCCTGTGTTGATAGAAGGAGCAGACCGCAAATAATATTACCAAATGGAACCAAGTTCAGGACGTACTCAGTCATGACACAGATCCACGTGTACCTCCGACGCCTGCTGTAGGTCGTCTTCCTGGCAAGTAGGTGGCTTTCTAATGATAACCGCAGGTGTCAACTTCGAACACACCTGTAGTGGCGACGAAAGCAAAGTCCTTGACTCCAGCACCTGTCGAAAATGAATTTGAATTCGCAGACACACATGCGATGACTTGCCTGCTGTGCGCCCGGCAATTCAAGTCCCTCGAGCAGTTGAGACGTCATAATAAGGAGTCTGATCTGCACAAGGTTTGTCGCTATGTATTATGCATATTCCAAATCTTCATGTAGGATCTTGCGTGGTCTTTTCACATGCAGAAGAATCACAAGGATGTGAGCCTTAGGGAGGTAGCTCGAAGGAAGGCGGAAGCCGTCCGTGCCAAGGTGGAGCAACCGAAGTACAGAGATCGCGCTTCTGAACGTCGTGTCATGCACAATCAACCTGACATTCCCCTTTCGTCCGAGACCAGCGTGTCTCATGGAAAGAAGAGACATGCCGAGGGCCCTCCGCCATCCTCCCCGCCTCCTCTCCCTGTTAACCCGGGGCAGGACTCAAGTAACGTGGGCAATAAGTTACTGAAAATGATGGGCTGGAAAGAAGGAACTGGTCTCGGGACGGATGGCGAAGGCAGAGTGGAACCAATGTGCGCCTTCAGTGACGCCGAGAATGAAACCTGCTGATGTCTCTTTGAAGCCAAACCGCAATTTACGCACAGGGTGTAGGACTAGGCGCAAGTAAAGGCAAAGAGATCGGCAAATATGCCGATGGATATGCAGGGTATGTTCACATGGCGCAGGATGCGGTGAGTTCTCCGAAGCTCTGTTCGTCGACGTGCTGACAAGTTCACATCAGGCGCGAGAGCGCTATGGAAGTTAGTTGCGTGCTTGCGTGCTCGCCTTGCTAGTAGCCATACATACAGTTATAATGATGTCCAATCTCAATGTGTCCTTCGAGAGTGAAACATGTTTCTGCTTTCGCGAATTTTGCAGAATTTCACGATTTGTTAATAAGTGGTACATATGCAAGTATGACCACGGCCGGACGCGGTTGTGGCTGTTTTTCCTGGACGAAGCGTAAGATGCAAGCGTAATTCTTGTCTCCTACGACCTTTCTTTCGTCTGTCATCACCTGCGACGACAGCGTTGCTGTTAACTCTCTCTGGATATGGAGACTCTGTTTAGGAAGAAGAAGAGCGGGCCTCGCCAATCTTCCGTAACTGCTAATGACCTGAACGAACGATCCTTACGCCCACTCTCGAGCACTTCTGTTGCCACCGTTCGTTCCGAATACAACCGCAACTCACGTTATACCCCCTCTGTGTCCCCCGTTGAGCAACACCATCACTTCTCTAGTTTTTCGCAGCAGCTGCATCGACTTACTACCACAGATGGCTTCTACTTTGCCCGCCCAGACAATGACGAGGATATTGACGCGTTATTCCAAAATATTATGAGGTTACGGGATCTGGGTGACATGCCTAGCCTTTCCATCGACCAGAAATGGCACATCGTATACAATGACGAGCAGCTTCGATGGAAGGAGGAGAAGCAGCGAGAGGAGCAGGCCAAGAAGCAGCACGATATAGGTCAACCGCAATCTATAGTAGAGGGTACACCGGAATGGTACATCAAGAAGTTCCTGGACAAGACCGTTAGTGCAAAACAAGCATCGAGGCTGCAAGTCTCCTTGCGAAGTAACGAGCTAGGGTGAGTCGCTACTCAGCAAGCGTGCGATGGGTTCGCTCATTCGACATTAGCTGGTTCAAGCATTTCGTATCCATCCAAGGTACTTCCGTTCTCGCACAGACTCTTCACCATATTAGCCGTAAGGGTGCGCAGAGGTGAGTATTGCTCAAGATTCTGACGCTATTACCAAAACTCTCAATCAGACGAAAGGATGACATTGATCTGGAGTATGAAGTCGCTAAGTGTTTGCGACAAATCCTCAACCATCCCGTATGTGTTCTCTCCGACGTTACTTTCTTCTCTGACGGAATGTTGCAGTCCGGAACGAAGGATGCGACGAGCCATAGCATGATTGTCACACAAGTCGCATCTTCGCTGAATACCCCCAATATACCGACTCGCAAAATAGTGGTGGACCTTCTCTCATTCCTAGTGTACTACAACGACGGCCAGGCGCATCACATGGTTATCTCTGCTCTGGAGGCGCTCAGCGCTGCTAATAATGAGCCAGGAAACTGCTACGCTTATTGGTTCAAGTCACTGGAGAATGCGCTCTCCGGCAGGGGTAAAATGGGAACCTTGGTCGGTGCGAGTGAAGAGGTCAGGAGGCACGGCGGTGTTGATAGTTCTCTAAACGACTACACAGTGGGTGCCGAAATCCTCTCCTTTTGACTGCTTTGCTTATGCCACTAGTAGTTGTCCAACATCATCCTCGTCAATGGTATTATTGACGGTGTCGACGACCTCGACCTCAGAGTACATCACCGGTCGCAGATGGAGGCTGCTGGATTGCAGCGGATCACTACTCTTTGTCACAGCTTTGGCGTGTCGAGCATTGAGACGCAACTTCAGATGCTCCAAGGAAATCTGGAGGAAGATGAGAGAAGATTGAAGGAGCGCATTGACCAGGAAATCTTACGAGATCTCACAAATCCGGAAGATGTGTATAATGCCTTAAGTGCCAAAATCGAGGATTCAAAGGCCAGGGACTATTTCCTTTCAATGTTACAACATTTACTACTCATTCGAGAAGAGGGTCCTGCCCTGGTCCACTACTACCAGCTTATTGATTCCATCGTAACCGACGTGGTTCTGGACAAAAAACTGGCTGGTGCCGAGCAGAGGTTAGGACATTCTGTTGAACGAGTCATAGCTCAGTTCAACGAGGCAGATCGTTATCAACAGGCTGAGGATGACCTGGCGAAGGCCCACGCTGCGGTGTTGCGACTTGGACTGGAGAAGGAAGCATTGGAAGAGGAGATTGCTCAAGGTAGTGATGGCCTGGTAGGCTCCCTGAAGGCGAAGGTCGCACACTTGGAGGAAAAGCTTCGGGTTTCACGCGAGAATACATCCAGACTTCAAGGTCAGCTTGAAGCGCAGAAGACTGGTTACGAAGAACAGATTGTTCAACTGGAAACTCAGATCATGGAGTTATTCAGGATGCTCAAAGAGGTAGGCAAGGGGGTTAACAAGATCTTCGACAATGCGGGCGCTATGGATCGGAAGACCTTAATCGAGACGCTGGAGAAGCACTTTCAGCGCGACAGGACAATTAGCATCCTGGAGGGCCGTGATAAACACCGTCGTCGGGTAGCGGATGATCGTACGGCTGCTCGCGATAATGCAGAAGTCGGTGAGGATAACGAGCGAATACCACCCAAGTCAGGGAGCCTCAGACGGCCCGGTCGCTCTTCAGTGAAAGATCAGTCAAAGCCACCGAAGCCGGCTGGATACGCAGACGTAGCGAACGGACATACTTCACAATTCATGGACGCAGACGATGCCATAGTGCAGGCGCAAATACAGCAACAGCTTGCCGAGGGTGCCATCGTGAGTAAGAGCACATTTCAGTGGTTAAGATGACAGTTTACATTTGTCACAGTACCCGAGGCGCGATGGTCCGTCTTCCAGTCCTCGGAGCATCAGAGGTTCACCCAAACGGAAAGAGCTCTATCGGCCTGATTATGTGATATCCACGTCGAAATTGAACAATATTTTAGCTCCAGCTGTGGATCATCTCGAAGGAAGCGGGCGCGACTCCACTCTTTTGAACGAGCCAGTTGACGAACAGGATGTAGAGAGTGAATTTGGACATCCCTCTTCTTCACGAAGTGGGCCTTCAGTACCCACAGAAGCCACGTCCGTCAGCTTCTATTCTGATGGCAGCCGTTTGCCAGTCCCTGGATCGTTGGCTGACCAGCTGCGAAATCACTTTGCGAGCAAAGGTCGACTGCCACCAGAGCAAAGTCCACACCAATCTCCTACTCTTACGACTGTTGCGGAGGAGACACCATCTATACATACTGGTGCACAACTCCTGGCAGAGGATTCATCCTCCTTAGGAGGATTTTCGTCTCCTCCTTCTCCTCCCCTTCCTCCTCCTCCGCCTCCTCCGCCTCCTCCGCCGCCACCTCCCCCAACCACATACCGAGCTACGGATAATGCATCCACGTCCCAACTGTCGCCTCCACCACCGCCACCACCACCACCGCCTCCACCGCCTCCACCACATCTCCTTTTTACTAATTATACCGCATCTACCTATACCGCATCTACTCCGGGAGCTGCTCTTCCTCCACCGCTGCCCCCGCCACCACCGCCGGTTGACCGCGCACCTATATTCTCATCTGCATGGCCGACATACAACTCGAAGGCAGTGACATCTCCTGTGCCTGGCTCAGCGCCAGGTTCAACGCGTTCGTCGATGCTCGGTGCGAATATAAGCAGTATTCTTTCTGCACGCAAAGATTTGTCGATAACTCCGAGTACAAAAATGAAGCAACTTCAATGGGATAAACTTCCTCAACAACTGGTCGCAAAGACTGTTTTCCACGAGGAAGAACCTCTGAAAGAGCAGGAGTGGGTTAGGAAGTTGCAGTCGGATGGTGTATGGATGGAAATGGAGGAAGACTTCAAGGCGAAACAACTGGTCATCAACTTGATGGGTAAGATGGATATGCATTTGTAGATCAAAGGCTGACAATTTGCTGTCTCTCTTACAGCCAAGCAGAAGCGTGCTGAGCTGAAGAGCGTTCTTGATCCACAGACCAAGAAGCGCGTGGGTATGTCAATCAGATCATTCGTATCCGCCAGTCGTCGATATTGATCAGTGTGAAGAGATTTTAATCCAGACTGTCAAGAGGCTACAGCCCGAAGAGATCGCTATGAAGATACGACATTTCGATCAAGAAGTCTGCACTCAAGTATTCTTGAGCGAGCTCAAGCCTGTTTTGCCGAACCCTGAGCAGGCAAGTGCGCTGTCGTCATTGCACGAATCTGTCCACCATAACATGACTTCATCATTTCAGGTTGGCAAGTTGAATGTCTATCGAAACGCTCAGCCAGAAGAGTTGGCCGGCCTTCACCCGTCAGACCGTCTTATGGTTCAACTTATCAAGATTGACCGGCTTGGGCCACGTATTGAAGGCATGCTGTACAAGCGTGTGTTCGACGAGACATGGTCACTCCTCGACGATGTGAGTGCCTTCGTTGTTTCATGACGCGTTGCTGACACATCGCAGAGTGCAAGAAAACTTTCCGAGGCCGGAAATGCCCTGCTCCACGCAAGATATTTCAAGGAGTTATTGAGTGTCAGTCACGCGCTCATGGAAATCCGTTATCCTTGCTAATCGTACAATCTACTAGCTAATCCTACTTATCGGTAATTACATGAATGGGACCGGCGTAAAGGGAGGAGCCTTTGGATTTCGAGTCAGTAGCATCAACAAGGTAAGCTTGTACATCAACGTCGTGTTCACGACGTTGAGACTAACTTTGCGTCTTTTAGTTGGTCGATACCAAGTCATTGCACAATACGACACTGTTGCATTTTCTTGAGCGGACCGTGAACAAGCATTTCTCTGAGATGGAAGAATTCCTTGACGAGCTTGCTGCTCCAGCAGAAGCCTATCGAGGTGCGTGATCTGCGCTGATGCGCTGTCGCTACTTATATACTCGTCCATCGTCAGTCAACTTGCAAGACGTACGCAAAAGCTTGGCCGAACTGCGCCAGGGACTGAAAGAGATACGGCAAGAATTGGCGGATCACTTTGCTGACATGGAGCAGAACGACAAGTACGGCAAGCAGATGTGGACATTCGTGGGGAAAGCTACGGCACAGCTTGAAGACCTAGTTGATGACGCTAACCACGCGGGCGCTGTGTACTCCGAGGTGGTCAAGTACTACGGGGAAGACGAGAAGAGTATGAATTCATCCGAGTTCTACGGTATCTTCAAGACGTTTGTCACCTCATACAAGGCGAGCATCCACTTGCTCAGTTCTTGAAGCGCTGTGGGCTGATCTGTACGTTTCATGAATGGCAGAAGTGTAAAGCGGACAACCAGAGTATTACCGAGGAACGAATGGCGATGGAGAAGCGGAGACAGGCTGCTGAAGAGTCTAAAGCAATGAGACAGAAGGCGGCAGAGGAGATGGCAAGTCAAGAACAAGAAGACACTTCTGTCCTCGACAACCTCCTGGAGAAGTTGCGTAATGGCGACAGTGTTGGGCGCAAAGTCCGAAGAGCCCGCGTTGGAACGGTTACTCGACCGACTCCTCCGCTGACTCTGAACACAGAAGTCCTGCTTGCCACGGCAGGTGGGGATGACACTGCAGATATCGCGCGAGACATGCTTGCACGATTAAAATCTGACGGATTTGATATAACAATGCCGGGGTCACCAACTGCTAGGCAATCAAGACAGAGAGGAGGGTTCAATGGTTCAAAAGGGATTGTGCAGGGGTTGGAAAATGGGATATCAGAGACAGAGAGAGGAAGTTCTTCTCACAAAGACTGCTCTCTCGTGGAGCCGTTCGGTGACGCATCATCAACTGTAGGTTCTGTGACTGATTCGGAATTGACACTTGTAGTGTCCACAAATGATGATGCATGATGTGGCAAGTTGTGGTCTAGTTTTATTGGTTGATCACTCATATTATTATCACATTGAGTTTCATATCTCTTTTACAGCCAGTTATGCACTGTTTGAATAATTTTTTTTCTTTCTGTTTATTGTCATTGAGGGCAGAGCCCTATGATAGACAAAAATCTACTGTACCTATACATAGTATGTACGAATGGGGTGTCAAATAAAACATGGTGCAAAAGCTACTGTATTATTATGACCACTTTAGTGCTAGATGTAATATGTGATCAAAATTTTCAGTCACTAGAATGTACTGCAAAATAAACAGAGTTTAGATAATCTGGCCTCAGACTATACTTATGACAGAGATTAAGCAAAACTCCAACCTTTAAAAGTCTTAGTTCAACCAACAGAACCTTTCTCTGCTTCTATTTTCTCCATGTATCTCATAAAAGACATTCATCCTACTCTATGCAAAATTGTAGGTGGAACAGAGCTTATCTTGAGGCACAGGACTTAATTTTCTGTTCGGATAACTGTTTGAAGTCAATTCCTACACTCTTCATCTTCTAATTCACTTTCAGTGGAAAATGTGTCTTGTTAGATTGTAGTGAGTCACACGAGGTCATGGCTATGACCAGCCATAATATTTTGGACTATTTGTGATCCTGAGTGAGGCTAGTTGAATGTGGTCACAGGCTATCTCTGATGATGTTTGGAATATGTGATAAGACTGATGGCATATCAGAAGGCCTTACAAGTGTCCATCTCGCAGCTGACCTACACTTATACCCTCCATACTGCCTTTCGTAACTGCACAACTCTCTGCCAGTCAGACTACCCCTGACATACGATTAGTGTTGCAGGGTCCAGTCTGGTCCAGTCTTTTACCTTTTTTGGCCAGGATTAGGACCAGGACTAGGACTAGGACTGAACCAGTCAAATTCTTCAGGACCAGGATCAGGACCAGTCCTGTTAGGACCAGTAAGAACTGCAGTCCTGGATCAGTCTGGACTGGTCCAGGACCAGACTCAGTCTTAGACCAGTCTTAACTGGTCTTAACTGGTCCTGGACTGGTCTTTGTTTACTTTGACTTATGTTAAGAGATTAAGACATGGTATCCACAACTTGTGAGGGGGTTGTACTTCATTATTACTAGTGTTTTTGCATTATATCTAAGTCTTACTTGAATTCTAGCTTTTTATCATGCCAATTTCTCAGCTTTGGCCTAAATTTTGATGTAAAACAGGCTTTAATAGCACCTAAACAGTATCAGTCCAGGACTGGTCCCAGACTGGTCCTGGACCAGTCCTGACAGTCCTGAGAATTCTGAAAATCTTCAGAACCAGGACCAGGACCAGTCCTGGACTGGACCCTGCAACACTACATACAATGGCTCACAAACAACAACAAATACTGATCTTTATCAAAATTGCTTGGTCATCTCACATCGCCATCCTCTTCTCTCTCTTTCTGCCCCCATTATTCCCTTTGACTAGCTAGTGTATATCATGCTCTCATGTGAGGCTATCTTTTTACTCATGGAAGTGCCTCATAGTCTCCATGTGCTCTGCCTGAGCTTCAGATTGGCAGATACATTTAGTCCCTCACAGATGCTGTCTGACAATCTCTGCTCTAGATACACTGACATGATGTCAATGGGAATTTGAAGGTTGAATGGAGGCCATGCTTATTGCACAAGCAGCAACAGATGATGCAGCAGCGATGATAAAATTCTCTTGCAATGTATGATGATCAGCGCGATGATGAGTTTGTATTTCCGTCGCAAGCCGGGAAGGTGGAGTACAAGTCCACGTGGGGTCTGAGATGCAATGGAGGAGAAAAGTCTATTCCAGAAGTATGAGGTGGGTAGCCTGATAGCGTAGCTAGGAAAATCTCTGTAGTTGCAATAATCACTGAGTAAAATCGCACTGCTCTAAGGAGAATGCTGAAATGCGGAAATGCAAGACTGCCCAGAAAATGCACAAATGCAAGACTGCCCAAAGATGCACAAACTGGATGGGATGGGAATGTGAATGAGGCTTTTGCAAGCGTACCTTCTGGGATGGTGGGTTCTCCCCGACCTCTTCTCCTGCCATTATACTTAAACAGGTCCTGACCTTTCCTGCCCTCCTGATACTGCCCGCATCTGCTTAACAATTGCTCCGCTGAATCACTGCCCATCATGCCATATATCGCAATCCTGTCTGCTCATGTTCCTACTCATTCCGAGGGGTCGTCCATCACTGAGCCCGCCTGAGTGCCTAATAAGCACCCGTCTGCCTCAGAGGCATATCTTCCATCCTGAACTCAATCTTCCATTCATGGATGCTAGCATCATCCTTCGCAAATACACCCTCGCGGAAGCTCTTCTTCGCATTGAGATCTTTACCGAGCTCATCGATCTGATCCTGTGGAAAGCATGGGCAGTCCGGATGCACGTCCTGCTAGTGAGGCTCCCGCGAGCATATGTTTCTTCGCTGTCTGACCCTCACACGTCCCTCAGGTCTTCATGGTCCAAGTCCAGTCTGAAGCGGCCAGCATGAGGATCATTCTACCCCTCCTGCGCGATATCCCTGTCCTCGCCCAAGTGGAAATACATCTTGCGACAGCTTGCACTATGGAAGGCAGTCGTCGGATGGTACCTCAGATTGCTGACCACCTTCCTGCTGTCATTCCTCGTGGTTTGACTGCCCGCATTCTGTATGATGACCCCACTGTCTGCGAGGACTTTGGTTTGGGCCACCCGCTGGATGGTCTCCCTGACATTGGTGCGCGGTTGTCCTATCCCTGTCTTCCTGGAATTGTGTTCCTTATATTTTTATTGCCATCAGGAACCTTGCGCCTTCGGGTTGAGACGTTGCACGATGTGGCCTGCAGACTGTACAATGTCATGCACCTCAGTGCACCATGTGTCCCTTCAGCGAGTGTACAAAATCTACTATGGAAAAATCTGCTGGCAATCTCCAAGATGGGTGCCAGCTTGCCCACCTTCAACACTCTCTCACAAGGTGAGCACTTATTGAGGGTAAGGAAGTGAAAGGGAAAAAAATCAAAACAAACACAAAACCTGCTTTGAGTCATTCTGAACCCTCACTGACATTGCAGCCTCATCCTTCCCATCCTCTAAGTCCACCGTAGCAATGCGAGCATGAGCACAACTTGAACCATGAGAGAAATGACCAGAACCTTGAGACAGGGAAGGACACTCACTTGTGGGGAGTGGGCCATTGCTTTGCATGGCAGGAACGATTCCTGAGGTCCTGTGTTCCTGCCTTTATCTCATCATCTAATTGTTCTCACATGCATTAATTATTTTGTATTACTCCTTAGTAGTTGATTACTTGTGAAGAGCGGTCCATTGCATTGCATAGCGTCCTGTATTTTTATTCAGTATCTATTTAAAGGTTTCACCATTTGTATTCACTCAAAACAGTTACTTTAGGTGAAAATCTACTAAAATTTGATGTTATACTAATAAGTGTAAAGAACTCAAGTCTTTCTTGTTAGTGTATAATTTTTTGAAGCTCTGAAACTTTGTTTTTATTTCAACTGCATTTATGTAAAAACTTATTTCATACAGATACGAAAAAGAAATAGAGTATTAGAATGACTTATAATACTATTTACATACTCTAAGTATTATTAATAACTGCATTCCAATATTTTAGTATGCTATTCATCTAATATTTTACTTACAAATATTTGGTAACAGTACTGCAATAGTCCAGCATGCCATCTATATATTTATACAAAAGAGTTACAAGAAAATGCTAGTGCTTTTTAAATAAAAGCATTATAATAGTGTATATTGTTATTCAATAACTGGTATATTGCTTAGTAATATATAGTATGCTTCTAATAATATTATACTCTTGACTTACTTATCAGATGTCATTTGATTGCAGTTTATAAAAATCTTATAATAGTATATAAGAGTATGCGACATACTTTATAACAATAATATGTTAGGTTATCACATGAGCCTTATATGTCTGCTACATCGCCTACTACCTTTTCCCATACCATTTAATATGATTTGATAATGTAGTATAATGTATATAATAATTTATTTGCAGCTGCATGATAATAGTCTAACATATTGCTAAGTATCTCAGAGTAGAATTATGTAAAACATGGCTTTAAAATGATATTACTCTGTCCTTTTATCAAAACTATATAAGAATGTTACTAAAATTGTTAGTATGCCTCTCCTAAAAATCACCTTCAAAATTGCTTTAAAATGATACTAATATGTTGTTCTACAAGAAGTATACAAAACATGACTAAAAGGTGACCAGTATGCATTCTAAAAGACTCAGCTGAAAAATGGCTTTAAAATGATATTACTATATTGTTTGCAAAAAGTATATAAAAAATATGACTAAAAAGTGACTTGTATGCATTTTAAAAGACTCGGTTGAAAAATGACTTTAAAATGATGCTACTATGTCATTTTATAAAATCAATATAAAAAATTACTAAAAAGTGATTAGTATGCATTTTAAAAGACTCAGCTGAAAAATGGCTTCAAAATGATATTATTATGTCATTTTATAAAAGTTATATAAAAACATGACTAAAAAGTCATTAATATTTATTTTATAAAGATTACCTTAATAGCCTATGATGTCATGCACCTACTGCAAGGTAATTATCTGATAGAATTTTAGATGCTATAGTCATGCCAAATTCTAGTAAGCTCCTACAATATCTTACTATATATTTTAATAACTTGTAGCAAGTTGCTTAGTATTCTGACAACCTTATAATAGCTTGGTATGCCACCTAGTATTTATTTGTCAAGCCTTCTAATAGTCTGAAAGGCCACCTAGTATCACTTTGTAGGAGTCTTACAACAATCTACAATGTCATCTACTAAATCCTAATATACCACCTATAAACCACAAATAGTCTATTGTATTCTCTACTAACTCCTAGTATGTCATATAATAATATCTAGTAAGCATTCTACAATATTGAACTACACTGAGTAGTATGAGTTGATAAGAGCCTTACAGTGACTTACAAATTTATCTACTGACTCTTAATCCATAAGAATCACTACAAAAAATGACCCTAGAAACTGTTACAAATGCAACTATAAGAATCACTACAAAAAATGACACCAGAAACTGTTGCCAATGTGACTATAAGAATCACTACAAAAAATGACCCTAAAAACTGTTACAAATGTGCCTACAAGAATCACTACAAAAAATGTTACCAACATGCCTATACAAACCACTACAAAAAAGAACACTAGAAACTGTTACAAATGTGCCTATACGAATCACCACAAAAAATGACACTGGAAACTGTTACAAATGTGCATATAACAATATATTAAAATGTATATGAGAAGTTGTCATTGTACTCTCTACTAACTACTAGTATGCCATTTACAGCGCTTTTCATGCAAATTTTTTGAGCTGGTGGCGCATCAAGTCCAGGACCCCAAAACCACTGAGTCTGGCTGGGTTCACCTTGATAGTATTCCTCCGCTGTCTTGTTCTGAGCTCCTTTGTCCTATAATGTCTGTCCCTCCTGAGGAGCTCCCTGACACGTTCAACACAAAATTTGTCATTCAGCTTACCATTTACAATTTCTGAGGTACGAAGAAATCGTTCTTGGGATGAGCCTTCCGCCAAATTCTGAGGGACATGTCAAACTGCCCCTATGCGTGAGAACGACTTTTTAATACAAATTTGTATGCATGACATGCACCCAGTCCTGGGTTAGGTCTAGGGTTTAACTACAAACTTTGTAGTGCCTGTTCTTACTGTACTATAGCTTGCATACAGTTGGTCTTTCAAAGTAATTGTAATAGAAACTAACACGACTTGCACAAATAGTAATCAACAAAAGTGCCACAGCAGCCACAGAGGATCAATGCATCATAGTCAGTGAAATTATAGAAGCACATACTAATTTCAAACACATAAAGCAGTACCATTGAAATCTGTGAAGGAAATGGAGCATAATGCTCTCTTAACCAAGTAAAACTGGCTGAGATATCTGAGTTTTGGATTAGAATGCTCAGTCTGAAGTGCAGGAAAATTGTATAAATGCCAGGAAAATTTGAGAACGACTCTAAAATGCACATAAACATGTCAGATATGGTGCCTTATTTTTACAAGCAGTGCACATTGTTTTTTTCCTTGAGAAAACAACTAAAAGTGAGAGAAAACTGAGAAAACAGATTGTAGCGCTTCAGCAAGTGATTCTAATGTTCTAAGAGTAACACCGTCAGATTCAGCTTGAAAATATGGTCAGAATGGCCACATGGTTGATCCAAATCCAAGCAGAATTGAGTGAACTACAAGTCTGGCAAGTTTGGCTAGAAGTGTGGGAACAAGTGCTTGAAGCCAATAGTGTCACATGCTACCCGAGTCACATTTCCCGCCATATGAAATGTTAAGCACCATAAAGTGCTTAATGTTTCATACAGTAATATGGGCACACCCGACACAAACACCTAAACCCAACTAAAACAAGAAGGAATCTATGTGTGTGTGAGAAGGACGATGCAACACTGTAAATGGTGCAAGTGGGTCCCAGAACCTCGACCAAAGCCTAAGGGGGATGCAACCTGTAAAAGAATGAGGATTCACGATGTAAATGCGAAGTCGAGTGACAATCTACGATGAAGTCGCAAAAGTCGGAAAGTGGAAAGCTAAGGTCACAATGTAATCGCCAAACTCATAGGTGAAGATGAACTAAATCGCAAAGGGGAAGAGAAGTATCTGTAGGGGGAGAACACTATGGGGAAATGCAGTATTCGCCGTCTGAGTGAAGTCGCAGTCAGTCTAACGCAAAAGTCGGAGTAAGACTAACACAGGTGGTATATCACTATGTCACTATGTCGCTATTGCAGCATCGCTATTGCAGTCGCAGTCACAGTGTTGCTATCACAGTGTTGCAGTCTTGCTATGTCACAGTGGGGTATATCACAGTTCAAAGTCGCTATCACAGTAAACGCAATTTCTCGGTGATCTGAAGTGAAGGGGGAAGTCTTCTACTGGTCTTTGATGATAATCAACATAGATACAGCAGGTATTTATAGAGGGGTAGAAAGTGAGAGAAAATGCAGAAGTCGCGAAATGTCAGATGATGGATCCTGACATCGGAAAGAGTTGCAATGGTCTAGGACCATGGAAAAATAGGTAAAGTAAATGGAGAGGTGAATGTTGTATGTCAGCGATGAATAAGAACGATAAAGTAGAGGAAAAGCAAAGGAAAACATATGTTACTTGTCCTGAACCACATGGAACACTTAAACAGCATCTCTGGTCCAGCACGAAGGTAGAGGTCTTAAGGAGGAAGATCAAATGATAAAGGGCATGAGATTTGCAAAATATAGGGGTGTGACCATCAAGCAACACTGATAAGTCAGTGCAACAAACCAACAAGTCGGCATGACATCCAGAGGCAGCACGATATTGGGGAAGTACGGACTTATAAGGCAATCAGTCAAGGCGCATTGAACTAAACCAAAGGACAACAGGTAAGTGGTATCCGACATCTGGACCTCACGTGTTTCCTAGCTAGTTAGCTTGTCATACGTACCCGATATGGCAAGCTAACTAGCTAGGAAGACATACACACCTTACACTCCGAATAGCACCTCTAAATAGCATCAATGTAAGAAGATATCTCCTTGTCATCAGAGATAAGGCTCGGGCACCGTTGAAGGGACGCATAGCGTGCTGAGGTGGGAATCGCATCCGCGAAGAGGTCTCACATTTCGGAGATACCACAGGGTGCTACACAACAGACCCTAGTCCGACAGCAATTGGAAGCTGGTTATCGGAGGAGGGAATGCTACGAGCCCGAATGCTATTTCTAACTCCTCAACTGTGATCCGCAATCGCCTCAAAGTACCATCCGCCAACTCGCATCTACCGGTGATCCCGCGCATGACATCGTACAGTTCGCGGGCCGCATTGCGCAATGTCTCAACCCGAAGGCGCAAGGTTCCTGAGGACAATAAAGCAGAACTAAGGAACACGATCCCAGGGAAATGGGGATAGGACGACTGCGCACCAATGTCGGGGAGACCATCCGGTGGGTGACCCAAACCAAAGTCCTCGTGGACAGCGGGGTCATCGTACAGAACGCACGCAGTCAAACCACGAGGAATGACAGCAGGAAGGTGGTCAGCAATCTGAGGGACCATCCGATGGCTGGCTTCCATGGTGCGAGCCGTCGCAATTTCCACTTGGGCAAGGACAGGAATATCGTGCGGAAGGGGTAGGATGATCCCCACGCTGGCCGCTTTGGACTGGGCTTGGACCATAAAGACCTGAGGGATGTGTGAGGACCGGACAGCAAAGGAACATATGCTCGCAGGAGCCTCACCAGCAGGACGTGCATTCGGACTGCCCATGCTTTCCACAGGATCAGGTCGAAGGGCTCGGTAAAGATCTCAATGCGAAGAAGGGCTTCTGCGAGGGTGTATTTGTGAAGGATGACGCTGGCGTCCATGGATGAGAGATTGAGTTCAGGATGGGAGATATGCCTCTGAGGCGGGCGGGTGTCTATTAGGTGCTCGGGTGGGCCCGGTGAAGGACGACCCCTTGGATTGAGTAGGAGCGTGAGGGGACGGGATTGTGAGATATGGCATGATGGGCAGTGATTCAGCGAGGGCAATTGCTAAGCAGATGTGGGCAATATCAGGAGGGCAGGAAAGGTCAGGACCAGTTAAGTATGATGGCAGGGGAAGAGGTCGGGGTAGAACCCACCGTCCCGGAAGGTACACTTGCAAAGGCCTCATTCACATTCCCATCCCATCCAGTTAGTGCATCTTTGGGCAGTCTTGCATTTGTGCGTTTTCTGGGCAGTCTTGCATTTCTGCATTTCAGCATTCTCCTTAGAGCAGTGCGATTTTACCCTGATGTGTTTCCAGCGATTATTGTGACTACAGAGATTTTCCTAGCTACGCTTTTGGGCCACCCACCTCATACCTCTGGAATAGACTCTTCTCCTTTATTGCATCTCAGACCCCACGCGGACTTGATTCCGCTCGTACTCCTCCTTTTCGGCTTGCGACGGAACTACAATCTCGTCAACTGGAGCCCACCGCGAGGGGTCTTCGTGCGACACAGCAGAGCAGTCGCCTTGCTTCCAAATCGCTCCAAGAGGAGCTTACCTTGGCAGCTTCCCAGCTGCCGACTCCAGGGTCCCCAGCGTTCATGGGTCTGCTTCCCGACAATTTTGCATACCAACCACCTATCGACTTTGACGATCCGGAGAACCCATTTGTTGACACCCGTCTTTCGATTCCCTCTTCCTCCAGATCTCACAAATCGTCTCCCCTATCACCACTTCTGGGGGACCTCTCACTCATTCCGTCTTATCCCCCGTCCCCAGTTTTATCACCATAACACCCAGATGTGACAGCCATGGCGGACCAGGAACCAGCCCCCAGACCGGTCTCGATGCTGGCACATGGTCACTTAACGGCGCCCACCTTTGATGGATCCCCGTGAGCCTTGATGCGATATTTCGCTGATCTGGAAGACTTGGCAATGCGAGCACAGCTGGATGATGATGCAAAAATCCGAGCAGCTTGCAAGTACATCTCGTTGGATGAGGCGGATCTTTGCATGGGTGTTACGCAGCAGGAGACATATGAGCAGTTCAAGACTGCAGTCATCGCGCTGTACCCGGGAGCGGAGGATGACCGTCGCTTCACGCAGTCCAACTTAACCCAGATTGTACGGGCAGCACAGACGAGAGGAGTGTCCAGTCGCATGGAGGAGGGACAGTACTATCAGGATTTTACTTGCATCACATTGTTCTTGTTGTCCAGGGGTCGACTGTCAGCCTATGAGCGGGACCGGCTGTACCTTGAGGGATTCGAAGCGTCCCCCTTACATGCTATCAAAAATCGACTTGCGATTAAGGTTCCCGATCAGAATCTGGACGATCTGTATGCCATATCGGAAGTCCATTCCACAGCGCAGCACGTTCTCAGTGGGAGTGGGAGTGCATCGAGCGCTGTGGCAGTGTCGAAGCCAAGCACGGGGACGGTGAAGTTAGAAGGGAATGAGATGGATGCGATGCAGTTTCTAGCAAACATGTTGCAGCAAGCGATGCGAACATCGGGAGGGGGACAGGCACCGGTAATGCAGGCTAACATTCAGGTGGCGGTCGCACAAAACCCTCTTCCATAAGCGCTCCATGCCTGTAACTTCTGTCTAGCCATCGACCATTTCATGCGAAACTGTCCATGGATCGAGGACTACATCAGGACATGGAAGATTAATCGCGATGTACTCAGTAGGATCATTCTCCCGAATGGACGGTTCGTTTCTCGTGACCTACCTGGATGTAGCATGGCAGAGCGCATTGATGCGTGGCATGATATGTATCCTGGGAACCTTTTCGGCGATGGTCTGGGGCCATCTGCAGCGCCTCCACCCAACATTTCCAGAGATGGGCGTGACCAGCCTCCGCATATGGTCAGCCTATGGGAGATCGCGAAGGAGGCATTTAACCCCAAGGAACCGTCATTGGCGTACATTGAGGAATGTCTTGACGACTCCACAACATCAGTGTTAGAAGCCAATGTGGCTCCGAAGAAAAAGACGGTTCGGTTCGATGACAGCGCCGCGGGAAAGTCTGCAAAGCATCCTCCCGGTGTTCCGGCCTCCCAGGTCCCTGCGTCAATTCTCAAGTCGGCGTTGGATCCATCTGCAGCGCCCAGAGGAGGCACAAAGGCATCTCTACCATCTCCGGGAAACCGCACTACACAATACAGCTATAAGACACCAGTGGAGGACAAGGTGAATGTGCGAGATATATTCGAGCGCGTCCAAAATGAAGTCTGCATCTCGCTAACGCATCGGGAACTGATGGCATTGTGCCCGGAGATCTGCAAGCTCGAGAAGGAGGAGATCACTGCGAAGCGAGTGGTGATGATGGGGAGCTTCGAGGCTGGGGACTGCAAGGAGGTTGCGGAGGCTCTCTTAGTGGATGTGAGCGATGGCGGCGGACCACTCGTGGTGGCCGATGATTCTCTTCCATTGTGAGCAATTGATGCCCTGGTTGAAGGCAAGGAATCAGCGGAATGTATCCTTGACCAAGGCTCACAGATCATCGCAATGCGACGGGACATCTGGGAATGCATCGGGTCGGCGCTGCAGTCCGAGAAAACACTCAACATGGAATCAGCTAACATGGGTATCAACCAGACGCTCGGACGCCTCGCTAACATTCGATTTGGGTTCAGCGAGATGGAGCTGTATCTTCAGGCCCATGTTCTAAATGATGCCCCATTCGAGGTACTCTTGGGTCAGCCGTTCTTTACCTTGACGGCATGCAAAACACTCAACTTTACCAATGGTGAGCAACACATTACTCTGCACGACCCTAACACGTGTCAAGTAGTCACGCTTCCCACTCACGAGCGTCGCCCAAGGCCACGGCCAATGCCACCTCCAGGAATGAGTTTTCAAGACTCGAGGAGTCAGACTTAATCCGAGGAGGGTCCACAATGAACAGGCACCAGTGTGCTAGCGATACCCCTAAAATAACAGGACACATCGGGGAGCAGTCCCTTGTGGATGGTAGAGTTCCCCATATTCCAGAATCAGCGTCTTCAGTTTCCTCTCTCTCTTCCTCTATGAATTCGTTTCCCTCTCTCCCATCCTCTGCGGCTCCGGTTTCCTCTCTCTCTTCCCCTATGGCTGCGGTCTCCTCTCTCTCTTCCTCTATGGATTCATTTCCCTCTCTCTCGTCCTCTGCGGCTCCGGTTTCCTCCCTCTCTTCCTCTGAAGAATTATTTCCTTGGATCATTTCATTGCAAATCGAAGAGCCCCACATTCTTTATACCCTTTCCTCATCTTTTTGCAGTATTGGAGCGGCCAGCAGTGTGACCGCACCTGCGGTGGCCCCTGGTGCATTTCAGATAGAGCATGAGGCCGTAGTCCACGGTTATGGATATAAAAAGGTTGACAAGCGTGTCAAGCCTGTTCCAGGAATACTGGCTGACAAGTTCCAGATCATGCAGCGCGTTCCCTGCGACCCCATGCAGAACCTCCCATCACTCCCCTTTCACCCACCAGACTTCATCGGCAGATCACGTTATACAGAGGAATGATGGTGGGACCTTAACATCAACAGCGACGGGTTTCTCTGGGAGGAGGAGGTGAAGCTGTTCAATCACATCCTCTATCTCCATGAGCAAGTGTTCACCTGGGATGAGTCCAAAAAAGGGAAATTTAGCGACGAATATTTCGAACCGATCCGAATTCCCTATCAGCAGCATGTCCCTTGGGCATTGCGCAACATTCCTATTCCATCGAGAATCTGCGAGCAAGTTATTCAAGTCATTCGCGATAAAATCACATCAGGTGTATATGAGCCATCAAACTCATCCTACCGATCACACTGGTTCTGCGTCCTGAAGAAGGATGGGAAGTCGCTACGTTTGGTACATGATCTCCAGCCACTAAATGCCGTTGTGATTCGAGATTCGGCAGCACCGCTGCAGATTGAGAATATAGCAGAGGCGTTCAGCAGATGCTCTTGCTATGCGAGCTTCGACCTGTTCGTCACATTCGACCAAAGGACTCTTCACTTGGACTCCCGTGACCTGACGACCTTCCAGAGCCCGCTCGGAGCACTCCGCCTGACCAACATTCCAATGGGATATACCAACTCAGTCCAGATCATGCATGGCGATGTGACCTTCATTTTACAAGATGAGATACCACATGTCACGATTCTCTACATCGACGATGTCCCTGTAAAGAATGGGACAACGCGATACAAGACGTCTGACGGAGGATACGAAGTTATCCCCCAGAACTCCGGAATACGTTGCTTCATCTGGGAGCATGCAGAGAACGTCAACTGCATGATTCATCGTCTGAAGATGGCCGGTGCGATGAAAAGATGAAACAACAAATATACAGCCTAAAATACATCTTCTGCTAACAGTGGGACATCCTTATGTACCCCTGACACCATGGAACAACCAGTAATACTGGGATAAACAATTAATGTCCTAGCCTAGTAGGATATCCCACATAATAATCATCCCATATGCCCAGCCACTACCCTATCTATGCCCTGGACAATGCCACAGAATGCCCTGGGACATAATAGGTACCATGGTCAGTCTGACACTTAAGAAGCTCTTAGCTATGACATACTATAGAAGATCTTGTTGCTAAGAGCTAGGGATAAAGAGTACCCTGAAGTGTGCTTATACCGCGAGCAGGAGGGTACCGATATATCGTACAAGCACGCTGCTTACTTACATCATATCCCGAATGGCGAATGCTCCGTCAGGAAAATGGGTGGACCCTTGGCGCATTCATCTTTGAAGAAATCCTTTGGCGCTGGGGGGCAGTCGCGGAAATTGTCACTGATAATGGCTCCGCTTTTGTTCAGGCATTAGACTATTTGGCTCAGCAATACAAGATTCATCATATCCGAATTTCCCCATATAATTCTCAGGCAAATGGGCTTGTAGAACGCCGACATCTGGATGTGCAAGAGGCTGCAATGAAAACGTGTCTGGGAGATGAGCGGAAGTGGCTTACAGTCATGCTCGCAGTTTTCTGGGCAGAGCGCGTCACGATTCAGCGATCTACAGGATACTCCCCATATTACATGGCGCATGGAACTGAGCCTTTGTTCCCCTTCGACATCGCAGAAGCAACTTACCTGGTTCCATATGAGGGTGTACAGATGACTCGGATTGAACTTTTAGCACATCGGGCGCGTCAGCTCCAAAATGGGAAGAGGACCTGGTGGAGGTAAGCGAGCATGTCATCAGAGCGAGATACAAGTCCATGGAGCAGTTCGCACAAGAGTTTCATGGGACAATTAAGTCCTACAACTTCAAGCCGGGCAATATCATGCTGGTTTGAAACTCTTGAATTAACATGGAGCTCAATTGTAAAACAAAGCCACGTTACTTGGGACCCATAGTAGTCATTCGACGAACTGAGGGAGGATCGTATATCCTCGCGGAACCGGACAGTGTGGTGTCTCAGCTACAGTTTGCAGCATTCCGCATCATACCTTACAAGTACCAAACCCGTGCCAATCTCCACTTCACCCCGTTGTCCGATGCGGATGAGACGGACAGCGCTGCAGGATCAGATGATGAGGCTTGACATCAGCATGTATCCATTTCAGTTTTATTTCCTCCAGAATTTTACTCCTTGTTTAATTGATTATGAGATTCCTTGAGAATGCTCCATTTCGATCCAGTGAATATTGTACAAGTTATAACCACAGAAGCGAGTTTCGCGGAACACAACAAAGATATCGTACACTACTGCGACAAGTCGGCCGATGCATTTCCGAGGCCTCGCATTCCCTTCACCTTGCAGCCTCTAATCCTCCTCATCGAAATCGAGCCCTTCATCCCCACCGCTACACGAATCCATACTGGGGTCGAAGGCACCTGTGGAAATGCTATGGATGACCTCGTCTTCCTCCTCGGAGGGGAACTCTGCATCCGAACCCTCCAGCTCGCTGACACGTTCCTCCAACTCGGCCAAACTCTGGCTCAGCTCGCGCTGCTTAGACGGGATCACATTGACGCGAGTGGCATACACCCCGAACCGGGTGGCGAACGCGGCGGGGTCACCCCCGAGGGCACCCATGATGGCATCCAGCTGGGAGCGCATAACATGCTGGCTGTCCTCAAGCGCACATGTGCGCTGCCAGCTATGACAGAGTGCCGCTTCCAGCATCGCGATCTGCTCGCCCGGTTGCATGGACCGGAAGCTCACGGGGAGAATGTCGGCAAAGTGAGAGTGAAAAGCTGGAGGGCGGGGCGGATCATCAAGAGATATGGCTGGGAGCATCGGACTGCCATAGCTACCTTGGGACCCACTGCGCTCAACTGGGGATGGCGCGATGCAAAGGGACCGCGCGGAAGCCTGTCGACTAAGGGAACAATCGGATGGGCACCTGGGAAGTGCAGCCGTGACGCGAGGAGAGGGGCGGGCATACGGCTCATCCATCAAATCTGCAGTGACGGCTTGCGAGTGTGAGGGCGCACTCATCTGAAGTGGTGGGGGAGGCATGGCCGATGCCGCAGCGCGGATTGTCGGCGGGTCATCGATCACCATGGGATCCGGCTGCGGGGAGGCAGCGTGACGCTTCACCGGATGCTCATCTCCCGTGATCGATTCGATCGGTAGCAGAGATGGTTGGCGACTCTGCAAGGACGGCCCACCAGCGATCGTAGCGACATTGGGCATGTACTGAACGCTGGATGCGCGATCAATCGGATGAGCACCGCCCATCTCGAGGTTCAAAGTAGGTGGTACGGTGCGTGGAGTGGACCCCGTAAAGGCAGGTTGAGGAATGGGTGACACGATTGTGGGCTTACTGCACGCGCCTGAAGTCAGAACCTTGGCACCAGATGGGAGGGGCAGTCGTGGGCGGTTCTTCGCCTTCCCCTCTTTCTTCGAGGTTGATGAGGCCGGAGCGGGTGCCATGAGGGAATCGTATGCTGCCAACGCGTCCCGGATATCGGTGTGTCCATCCAGAGTGAGGGGGACTTCTGACCTCTTAGCGAGTAAATAAGCATGCATAGCCCTCGCACGCTCCTGGCATTTCGGAAGAGGACCACGGTCAGTCCTGGATGGTCAATAGCAATAGGGCACGACGCACGATACGATTTTTTAGCCCCTCTGCCCATCCGTGATCCCACGTGCATGGGACCTTCATCTCAGTCACCAGGCCAAAAACGAAGACCGCATAGTCCTTCAGTTGGAGGTCAGGATATTCCAACGACATGATGTGAAGGGAGAAGAGTGTGAGATTTTGGTAAAGGGATGAAAATAAACACGATGTGTGGAAGTTCCCAGGAGGCCGGAAGCTATACGGGCACACGCATGCACCTCGAAGTGCGCGCTCGTGCCCTGCACGCGCCTTCGGGAGGAAACTCACTATTCCAGGGAATGCGGAGCGGCAACAATATAACTACAGCTCGATCGTGGGGCATAATACTAATACAGTGAAAGACTGTAAAGGAAACGATTCCGCTCAGACCTCCGCGTCCCCGTCATCGTCTTCAGCTTCACCCTTGGGCGCGCTATCCACATCGGAGTCATGTTCCTTCACACCCAAAGTCGGGATCGTCACTCTAGCCTGACGCAGCGCATTCGCGACAGTGATAACATCCGCGGTGACCCGATCCTGCCTTTCTCGGATGAAATAGAGTGCAGTCTCGAAGCCGTTGACATGAACAGTGAGGTCGTCAGCACCACCAGCAGGGGCGAGAGCGCCACGAAGCTTGTTGAGGAGAGCAGTCGCCTTGTTGTTGTCGCATTTGAGTCAGTCCTGTTCTTCTTCCAGGCTTGTAATATGAGCCTCCAGGTCCTGCATGAGCCCTTTCTGCGACTCACGAGCAAGCACATCATGGTGATGGTGAGGCATAGGGGGCACGTCGACGTAAGGGCCGCGGCTGATGACAGGAGCTGCACCCGTGGCAGAGGACGACTCCGCGACGTGACTGCGGAAGTCACTAGTTGGAAGGTAGTAGCAATTCGCAGGGTAGAAGTGTGGGCGCACCTTGAGATTTCGACCTCTGCTTCACATAGGTGCACCTGCACCTCCTCGCCTGGCACCTGGCACAAGTGCCTCTCTCAGAGGTGCCGAAGACGCAATCAACTTCAGCTTCTTGGCACGCCTCGCATCCAGGATCGTGAATCAATGCAGGCTGGGCCGTGCAACGTTCGAGCGCAGTGAAGAAGTCCTGGCCCAGTGCCAGCCGGGTCATCGCACACTAGTGGTGCCCAGGATTGTATTACAATTGCCCAGGTGCCTGCTAAAGTCATTGTGCATAACCTGGTCACATTGTAGAATTGTAATTTACTAGGCAGCATTGTTGTTGTAATTAAGGTGAGCCATGTTGTAATACAATGACAAATTATACAAAATGCACTTGCACTCAGCAGAAATTGAACCCCTGACCTCACCGACATTTTTGGGAATTATATAAGCAAACTTCTAACCATATTACCAACTCAGCCATCGTGCCTTACTTAAGTTACAAACTCAATTCTATATAAGGCTACTTCTTTCTTTACTACATATTCTAATATTCTGTAATAACTACTACATTCTGCTTGTTACTATTGCTTCTAATACTAATATATCTATATGAAACTGCTTATCACCATTTTTATAAGCTTTGTTATACATATAAATATGAGAATATTACCTTTCTCACAGCTTTAATATTAATTTCAGTCTTTAAAATAAACTGATAAATAACAAATACTGAAAAATGTGTTTTTAAAGAGACAAATCATATTAGAAGCAATAGTAATAAGCAGAATGTAGTAGTTATTACAGAATATTAGAATATGTAATAAAGAAAGAAGTAGCCTTATATAGAATTGAGTTTGTAACTTAAGTAAGGCACGATGGCTGAGTTGGTGATATGGTTAGAAGTTTGCTTATATAATTCCCAAAAATGTCGGTGAGGTCAGGGGTTCAATTTCTGCTGAGTGCAAGTGCATTTTGTATAATTTGTCATTGTATTACAACATGGCTCACCTTAATTACAACAACAATGCTGCCTAGTAAATTATAATTCTACAATGTGACCAGGTTATGCACAATGACCTTAGCAGCACCTGGGCACATTGTATTACAATGGTGGAAACTACAGCCAGCATCGACCTCCTCTTGGGATGGGTCCGGAAGATGCAGACTGGCGAATGATTACATGCGCGCATACAAGACAATGTCGATGAAGGTCGTGCGTATCTCGTTGACCTCCCTCGGATCGAAATCCGACTCCCCGAAGGCAGTGAGGACCTGGAAGTGATCCTCCAGAGTTCTCTGAGGGACAAGAGGGGTCAAAAGCGGACAGCGAGGATACTGAGACACTCATCACTAGGTGGGACAGCTCGCCGATCCACGCCTTCTGCGCCTCGTCTCCTCCGGACCCATCGGCCTTCGCAAGATAATGATTCACATCTGCTATGGTGTCGCACACATCGTATTCAGCAATAATGCAGGCATTGGAGGGTTGAGTCATCTCAGCATGGATCATTCAGGGTTGTAGGCCGGGATACAAGGTGCCCTGCGCGCAAGGGAACCACGCGTGAGACTGCGGGCGCTACTTGCATGCATCTCTTCGCACCGCACGCCCGGGCGCCTGTGCCAGTCTCGCGGGACGCCTGATGAAGGGCCGGTCTCACGAGGCGCCTGACTAGTAATACTCGCGGGGTGCCAACTGGGAGGATCTCAATTAGCGCTGAACTGAGACAATCTCACGGGCGCAATCGGGTGTCGCGTGGTACCCGTGGCTCGTTCTTGTATGGGGGCCCAGGTACCCTGACCAAGGGCGGTCAGTATTTGAAGTGTTGAGAAGATGAAGGAACGCATAGCGCGCTGAGGTGGGAATCGCATCCGCGAAGAGGTCTCACATTTCAGAGATACCACAGGGTGCTACACAACAGACCCTAGTCCGACAGCAATTGGAAGCTGGTTATCGGAGGAGGGAACGCTACAAGCCCGACAGTGATGTCAGTTATGAAAGATAATCTTTTCCATCAATAAGTAGCAAATTTTCATGAGAATTGCTACTTTTAAGTAGACTTATTTGTAGGCGCATAGATTAACTCAGGATAATCTGAAGATTAGCAATAAAATACAATTTTAACTTTGACACCAGCCAGGATTGAACCCTGGACCTCAGGTTGATTTTATAGAATATAATTCCAAGTGACACTTTAGACCACTTGATCATTAGGCCATACATCATAACTATCTTATCTTAAATTAGACATATTTTTTTTGAAAAAGACTTAGCCAAATTCTGTCTATTAGAAGAGAGTAAGTAAAAGACACTTGACTTTTATCATAGATAGACAAGACTTATAGACAAATAGTACTCTGCATCTTATTATAGTCTTGTCCTACAGCTTACAGTTTTTGTAAACTATCATGCAGTACTATAGAGTATCTTAATGTAGCCATCTATAATACATAACAAGTTATTGAGAAACAGTATTTTACTTGTTCATTTTAGGCTTATACTCTAGAGTCTATTATATTATAGACTGAGCACTTATATATACACGATTTTTATAGCTATCTTCCAATTGTATGGCAAAGTTCTGTTTTACTGAAGCAACTATAGAAACTTATATTCTATTAATTACATATTATACTACATTATATGAAGGCTGCAAGCATTAGAAAAGACTATAAGACTCAGAGTAATGTTTGTCTATAAGTCTTGTCTTTCTATGATAAAAGTCAAATGTCTTTTACTTACTCTCTTCTAATAAACAGAATTTGGCTAAGTCTTTTTCAAAAACAATATGTCTAATTTAAGATAAGATAGTTGTGATGTATGGCCTAATGGTCAAGTGGTCTAAAGTGTCACTTAGAATTATATTCTATAAAATCAACCTGAGGTTCAGGGTTCAATCCTGGCTGGTGTTAAAGTTAAAATTGTATTTTGTTGCTAATCTTCAGATTATCCGAAGATTATCCGAAGATTATCCGGAAGATTATATTAAGATTATCCTAAGATTATCTGAAAGATTATCCTGAGTTAATCTATGCGCCTATAAATAAGTCTACTTAAAAGTAGCAATTCTCATAAAAATTTGCTACTTATTGATGGAAAAGATTATCTTTCATAACTGACATCACTGTCGGGCTCGTAGCGTTCCCTCCTCCGATAACCAGCTTCCAATTGCTGTCGGACTAGGGTCTGTTGTGTAGCACCCTGTGGTATCTCCGAAATGTGAGACCTCTTCGCAGATGCGATTCCCACCTCAGCGCGCTAATTCTCATGAAAATTTGCTACTTATTGATGGAAAAGATTATCTTTCATAACTGACAAAGATGAGCCCGAATGCTATTTCTAACTCCTCAACTGTGATCCGCAATTGCCTCAAAGTACCATCCGCCAACTCGCGTCTACCGGTGATCCTGCGCATGACATCGTACAGTTCGCGGGCCGCATTGCGCAATGTCTCAACCCGAAGGCGCAAGGTTCCTGAGGACAATAAAGCAGAACTAAGGAACACGATCCCAGGGAAATGGGGATAGGACGACTGCGCACCAATGTCGGGGAGACCATCCGGTGGGTGACCCAAACCAAAGTCCTCGTGGACAGCGGGGTCATCGTACAGAACGCACGCAGTCAAACCACGAGGAATGACAGCAGGAAGGTGGTCAGCAATCTGAGGGACCATCCGATGGCCGGCTTTCATGGTGCGAGCCGTCGCAATTTCCACTTGGGCAAGGACAGGAATATCGTGCGGAAGGGGTAGGATGATCCCCACGCTGGCCGCTTTGGACTGGGCTTGGACCATAAAGACCTGAGGGATGTGTGAGGACCGGACAGCAAAGGAACATATGCTCGCAGGAGCCTCACCAGCAGGACGTGCATTCGGACTGCTCATGCTTTCCACAGGATCAGGTCGAAGGGCTCGGTAAAGATCTCAATGCGAAGAAGGGCTTCTGCGAGGGTGTATTTGTGAAGGATGACGCTGGCATCCATGGATGAGAGATTGAGTTCAGGATGGGAGATATGCCTCTGAGGCGGGCGGGTCGGACTTGATTCCGCTCGTACTCCTCCTTTTCGGCTTGCGACGGAACTACAATCTTGTCACCGTGCCGGTGGCCCCGCCCATCGGATCTATAGATCCCAGACATCTTGTCCCACCCATCAAGCTCTCGGCTTCCACCGGCTATCTCACCACACATTCCCACCACCGGGCGCGCCTCCGTCGTCATCACTGCCCATGATGACGATGACAAATCTCATATTTCTCACTCATTTTCCTGTGTTTTTTTCGGCTTCCTTTTGTTTTGTACATAGTATATCTGTTTAATAACATACTGGGCTGCATACGATACCGGAGTGGAGCTCACACACCACATTGAGTGTTCAATGAGGTCATGTGACTGTGCACCCTGCCTTGCACCTGCCAGCACCCACAAGTGGTGCACACCTTCTACACTGCTTCTCTGATGACAGGCGCAAGAGGGACAAAGCGGCAGAGCTTATCGCGTTCAGGGCGAGTAGCTTCCCTCACGTCTTCTGGGAGCTCTTTGCACCGACGTGGACAGGAAGTCGTCTATGGTGCCAAGGCAATCGCTCTCGAGCAGCAGTGGGCACAGGAGCTATACAGAGCCAACATTGCAGGTACATATATACTTTTAGTGAGTTATGTCACTTACATGGAATACAGGGCTTTCGGGAAAGTCTCTCCAAGTCCTTGCAGACATACAAGGAACAGATGCCCCCATGGAGGATGTTACCACATTCGACGATGCAGAAGCTCCAATCGTACAACTTACGGGACCTGCGAATGAACCTGACAGCCTTGATGATCAGACCCACGAGGCGTTCATTCATGCTGTGCGCGACATGGCCGGGGAAAGGTGCATGAGCATTCCACCATTTGGTTGTATATCTAACGTCAGTGTCATAGGTGGAAGGACCGTTCATACAAGGATGCTAGGACATGGCACCAACACATCCAGAGGATGGACAAAAACTGGTGCCCCCTCATACCTGAGCTCATCGACGCTAGTGTATGGCATGGGTATTGCCAACCCACATGGGTTGTAAGTATGGGTATCCATGGGTATGGGTATGGGTCAGCAGTAAGTAACCCATGGAAACCCATGGGCCATCTTATGGGTTTGTTATAAAGATAGGGTTCCAGAAGTGTGGTGGTGGCATAACTGTACAGTACCTTTATTAGGTAATTCAAACCTGGTATCACACACAGTCTCATCACTTCAAAAGCATGGCAGGTGACAGTGCAAAGACTTGCATACTGCTATTGTACTATGACTCCCACACTGCAACCCATGAGATACCCATGATGGGTCTTGACCCATACAGACCTATAGCTGACCCATACCCAACCCATGGAAAACCCATACTCATGTGATGAATATGGGTTTTCTGTGGGTATAGGTGTGGTTATACCTTATCAAACCCATGGAATACCCATGCTAGACTCTGGTCGACGCTTACCTCACCTGGCGACACCCTGCCTCAGGCCCTGCAGCCAATGAAGCACAGGACGATATGGCTTACAAGTTTGATATCGCAGTGCTCGACATCTATTCACTCTCGCCCACCATCACAATCGCTCGTGCTGTGGATGCCAGCTCTACAGCCCAAAGCCTCGTACTCAGTGGATACCTGGGGACAACACCAATCAACCCATCGTTGGCGATATCGCTGAACACCTTGGAGCTACTCTGATCAATCCAACTCTTCAAAGCTTCGTTCAGCATTGAAGCCTTCACTAAATTGCTCTGTCACTACTACAAGGTGAGTCAAGAACCAGTAGTCCGGAAATTAACTGAGTGGTCCTAGGAGTTCGTGTTGTATCCAATATTGGGTGCAACTGTGCGTGAGTGCTCTGAACGATGAAGCCTTGCAAGCAACGTTCATCGCGGATAAAGGAAATGTGAACTGGAAAACATGTAACGAAAGTGCGCACTGCCACCATCGTCTTCGCTTCACGAGAGACCTATGCCCATACTCCGGGACCTGCAAGGCGATCTCTACGCCAGGCGACTGGGCGGACAAGACGTCCTCGTGCAGCTGAAACGCTTTGCACGAGAACATACAGGGGGTGTGCATGCCGTCGATGTTCGCGCTCGACGAGCGGCGAACCCTTCGAGGACAAATTCGAGGGAGGTGCGCTTTGAGATGACGGTCCGAGGAGCTCACATTGTGCGCTAACATGACGAGAAATCTACGACGTGTCGAGTAATTCCATTTTCTAGGAAATCGGGGGAGCCGCGAGATGTTCAGGGCGAGGGACTACAATAGTTAGAGAACTCACACGTATCCCGCTCGACAATTGCTGCATAACCTGGACTAGGGAACGTGCAAAGCGGCCGTAATCGAAGGTTAGCGCGTCCACATAGCCATCGCTCGCTGTGCAAAGTGTCGGCGATCGTCGCGATCGTAGCTGGGAATGGTTGTGCTGAGATGACGAAAGGGAAATTTCGGTGTCGGAGAAGTGTCTCCGATAGTATAGGTGAACGGTCAGAGAATTGGAATGAAGGTCTTGCGTGCAGTGTATAAGTCACAATTATCATAACCAGAGTCGAAAATTGTCTTTCCATGACGCGCTTCGGGTTGCTTCCTCCGGTCCGTTTAACATCAGCATTGGGTCAAGGGCGTAGCTAGATGGTATTCATGAAGGAGAGAGAATAGGAATATCGCAACGAGGGAGAATCGATGTATTCGCAAGTCTAGCTGATATATGCACAAATCTCTTGCAGAATCACATACATGAAATTGCTGTCACTGAGTCCTTGAAAAGGTAGAGTCAAAGACGGGTGATCGTAAACCAGGAAATGTACGTCTTTATCCCAAGTCCCAATGGCCGATACCTTCCCTCTGCGCCGCACTCGAAACTACAATTGTAGTCCAAGAAACTCCTGGGTCAGTGCGTATTGGCAATCCTCCCATCAGCGGCGTAGGCGAACTGAGGGCACCCTAGTCAGCCATAAAACAGGACAAGCTTTGAACGACGCACCTTCCCCCATGGCCAGGAATACTCACCTGGGACACATACAGCATTATTCATGGATGCATTTGAGATCTATCTCACCATCCTGCGCGAGGTAGACCAGCGCATTGTGAAGGTCCTTGGTTGAGACATGGCCAACTGGTGCATGAAGAATGCTTGCCCGGCCTGTTACGATTCCTGAGGAATGAAGAGAATCGTTCTTATAAGTGGTGGGTCTTTGGAGGCTGAGGTGAACCGTGACACACTTTTCTTTTAACTGTGGGAAATTTCTGGAGGTAGAACTTAGCTACAAACATTCTAATGGCTCTTCTTGTCCAACTATAAGTTGACTATAGGTGAATGTTCAAAACAGTTGTAATGAAAACCGGCGCGACTTGTATAAATAACCATCAACAGATGCATGGCTGCAGCACTTAGATTAGATAACAGATAACAGCTCTATCTCAGAGAACATTGAAATTATGTTCTATAGAGTGTTATACTAAGTTCAATGCATTGTAACCATCACCATTGAATTGAAACCAAAAAATAGCTCTAGTTAGCACTTTAAAACATTCAATTTCATTAAGATTTGAGTGACAAACCACTTTTGCAATACTGAGGTGAATGACATGAAGGCCTGCTTAGTCAGTTTCCTAATTTGGAAACTGACTTACCTAAGGTACCCATGGTTACCTAGGTCATGTTTCTAAATTTTCCGCCTTTTTCTGCCTTTTAAAAATATTTCTGACCTCAAAATACACTTGCCCAGATGGGGAAAGTCAGGAGCTGTTGAAGTTACAACTCTTGAGAAATAAAGAGAATCATTCTTACCAGTGATGAGACATTGAGGGCTAAAAAGGTTAGCTAGTATATGTGTGTGATGACTATATAAGATTATAGAAGTGTAATTAGTATACATTTTTAAGAACCTTACAGTGCATGATGATATATCTAATCGTCTCTACTAAATGATATAGTATCATATATAACAGCCTACTGCAAAAAATATCACTGAAAACTGTTACAAATGTGCCTACAAGAATCACTACAAAAAATGTTATCAACGTGCCTATAAGAATCACTACAAAAAATGACCCTAGAAACTGTTACAAATATTCCTACAAGAATCACTACAAAATTGTTACCTATAAGAATCACTACAAAAAATGACCCTAGAAACTGTTACAAATGTTCCTACAAGAATCACTACAAAAAATGACCCTAGAAACTGTTACTAATGTGCCTACAAGAATCACTACAAAAAATGTTACCAACGTGCCTATAAGAATCACTACAAAAAATGACACTAGAAACTGTTACAAATGTGTTTATAAGAATCACTACAAAAAATGTTACTAACGTGCCTATAAGAACCACTACAAAAATGACACTAGAAACTGTTACTAATGAACCTACAAGAATCACTACAAAAAATGTATGCAAAAAATTGTTATTATATTATCTACTAACTCCTAGTATGCCATCTAATAATGTGTAGTAAGTGTCCTACAATGTCCCACTATACATTGATAACAGTCTACAAAGTCACCTACTGACTTTTAGTATATTGTCTAGTAGCATTCAGCAAGTCAACAATAGCCTATTACACTGGGTCCTAATGTACTCTTTAGTATTGGTTTGTAATGAGCTTACAATAGTCTGAACATGTCACCTGATGTCACTTTGTAAGGATCACTAGTAACCTACAATAGTGTCTAGTAATCTCTAGTAAATGCCTTAGTATGCGAGTTTATAAGGGCCTTACAATAGTTAGATATGTCACCTAGTGTCAGTTTATAAGATGCTTACAATAGTCTAGTATACCACCTAGTATCAGTTGGTAAGGGCCTTACAGTAGCCTACAAAGTGATATATTGACTCCTAGCATGTTGTATAGTAATGTTCAGTAA